GCTTCAGGAAATGATATAGAAAAGGTCAGATTATTGCGGTAAAAACACAAAGCCTTCCGGCAAATAAATGTTCTTTTGTTTATCAAGCTTTTCTTTTTAATTTCCGTACATACGAACGACGCAAGTGTAGCCTCAGAAGCTCAGAAGTCTTTGTTGAAAATGAAGATAAAAGTCCCAAAATCATCTCCAGAGAAGCGACAACCTAGGAGGTTTTATCTCTTTTGTTCGTCTTTGGAGCGGGGTTTGTAATCAAACATTACGTTCATTCTGAACAACATTTCGAGCCACAGCAATCGCTAGTGGATAAGTTAAGCCTAAATTTAGTTTCGCCTCCAGGTCGATGCACACAAAATAGGTTACCATACAGAACGAAACTTTTGCCGGTTATAATTTCGGTGAAGTTTGCAGACTGTCCTCAATTCGTAAAAACTTGTCGTGCGTGGGAAAAATATCCTACACAATAAAAAGCTGTCAAAAAATATGCAAACTTTGGTCCACCTACAGGGCCGGGGAAGATAGTGGGATAAGGGTATGAATTTTTTTCTCTTTTATTTTGTTGTTTGTCCACTTAGATAGAAAAGCTTAAAACTTAAGTCTATTCTACATACTGCGTTGCGAAAAAAAAAAAATTAAGCACTTTACGTTTTTTCTGCGTTACTTTCCTGCTACTTGGACAAAAAAATCGCAGAAATTAGTTTCCTAAAGAAAGCTTAGTCATCTCGAACCTTGGAAATTTTTTTTCCCCAAAAGACGAAAAATTCGTCGAGCCGAAAAAGAAATTACTCGCACAAAATTTTTTGGCGAAGTGTGTACGTGCCTCTTTCGAAGGCGGCATCACTCAAAGTGTCCACTTGGGTTACCTTGTTTTTGAGCACGAGGAACCGATATCATGGCAAACATGGAAATATTTAAGTTATTGCTATGTCAAGGTCAAGAGCTCAAATATACCTGTATTTGTTTCACCTGAGCAAATAAACCTCCATATAAACAGGATGTCAGTTGTGAATTGTTAATGCTCAACTGATTAATTTCCTCCGAGGTCAAGACTCACGTAGCTATTTAGTTTCTGAGGGGGGAGGGGGTGGGGCTTTTTGTAGAGGGTAAGGGACTGGGCACTATTTATCGCGGGAAAGGGGGGAGGGGGAACCGGAGGATTTTGATTGTGTCGCGAAAAAATTTACCTGTACAAGTCTCAAGTGCAAGTCTTATGACTCCCCCCCCCCCCCCCCAAACCATGTGATCTCACCTAACATCCTCCAAACTACATCAATGCTCTACGATTTTGGATCAGAATCGACAAACCCAAGCTAGCTTTGCTTTAACTGTGGGGTGTGTTTCGATCGAGTGTCTTTGAGCCACTACGTCATTACCCTACGTCATTACATCGGCCAATCAGAACAAATGACAACGCCTTAAGGAACCGATTAAAAAAAGAAAAAATGGAGAAGCAACTTATTCAAAGCGCTGGAAAACGCAGCTAACCAGTGCTTTTAATTGGTTAAGAAAGTGGCGCGAGTTTTGACCAATCACGAATCATAGTGAAACAAAAGTAATCATGCATGACAATCCTGAGAAACTTTTCGATACTTATTGATCTTTGCTCTACAGCTGTAGATGTTATCAGAAAGATAAAAGCACTTATATTGCATCAACTTATCTGGGGACTCTGCATAATATGTGGGTGGGTTTGGTCGCCGTTTCGGTTCTATTGCTCCTTGAGTTTCCAGTGTTGTGGAAACACGATTTGAGTCCTAAAGACTCAAAAAATAACTCAAGACCACCTTCGATTAAAAAAAATAATAACAGAAAAATTTTTTTTGATGTGTTTTCTAAAGGCGAAAAAATTTATCGTTCTATTTTTCATCGCTTGAAAATCGACAAGGGCGGGGAAAGGATGAACATGTTACAAGAGAAAGAATGAACAGGTCTCTTTCAATTTAAAAGGTTTCCTCTTTTTGCACCTGGACAAATGAAAGAACCTGTTTGTTTGGTAATTTCGATTTGAAACTGTTATCATCATTTGACTTTCATCGCCGCGGGCAGGTCAATAAAGCAAACTAGTTGTTGTAAAAACCATGCATTCCCGTCAGCTTTGAGTACATTGGAACAAAGTTGTTCAACAGTGTTATTACATTACTTAAAACTGATGAGATTTATCTCTATACAAAAGAGTTGCGTGCGTCAGCGGGCAAATTAGAAAATGAATGCTTCGGGTTTGGTTTCTTTTGAAAGGTTTTGAGGTCTGTGCAAACGTCAATTGGATATGGATTATGTATATTATATATACTTCAATTCCACAAGGATAAGAGCCATCTGTAGAATCTGAGGTGGGTTTGTTAATCCCTTTTTGAGGGAAAGATTGTCGAACTTACCCACGCACTCACGCCTATTGTGATCCTAAAGTTTCTCTTTCAATATTTAGAAAAACTTGTTTCGAAAAATTTTATTGAAGATTTATGGGTATCATATTCAACTTGAGAGCCCGGGTTGATTTTGTTTATTTCTTTGATTGCTCTGTTATGTTTTGTTTCGTTTTTTTCTCAATGTTTGTTGTACAGTATGGAAGATTTGCGCATCAGAACTCTTGTCTGGCTAATAGAGAAACGTAAGAAGACCTTTTCAAATTTCTAATGGATTTGACCAGCTTTGGGCTATCTTCTCCCACATAAAGGCAGAATCTAGAATAGGTTTGAAAGCTTAAACACTAGCATTCTGTGGCGTTTAGGAACCGCTTCTTCTTTGTGAATAAAATGAAGTTCTACAAACTCATATGCGTTGAGTTTTCATGTCCGGTACAAGTCTTTACCAAATATCGCTCTTATATATGCTCATTTTACGGTGTTCGGCCAATATCGTGTTTTACAGTACGAGGTTAACCATATGTAATGACAACGAAAGCAGTACCTGCATCAAATATCCCAGAACAGAAAAATTTCTCACCTTCAGAATCAGATCTAAGAACAGTTCTCCACAGACTTAGTTTTCACTCTCAATTGTTTCGCACAGGATGTCGCCCAACTGGTTTAAAGACTAATATGTGGACGACGAGGAAATTGTCTGCGAATTTATTGCCAACATCAACCGACGCCCAATTACTTTTTTGACAAGTGGTTTAAGATTGAAGATGACAAGATATCACTTAAGCCACTGGACGCCAACCATTGTTTTTTTCAAGAACTCCAAAATGTATAGCTCCTTATCAAGAAAGCTATCTTACATAAATAAGGGAACAACTGAAAAAAGTATCAAACAAGCTTTGATATCTCTGATAGTGGTGAAAAATTGGTCAGTTGATATGGACATTTTGAAGAACAGTGTAGCGGTATATTTGCTTTGAAGAAGCATCAAGTAAAATGAAATCACTTAATCTCACTACTGTACCTCACAGCACTTTGGGCTCAGTTTGTTTATTTCAGTTTGTTAATTCATTGTGCAATGATCGCTACACTTTAACTTAAATATAAACCCTATTTCAAAATCCTGCATTTTTATAATTATACCCCCATATGAGAAGATGGAAAAAAAAAAAAAACGTATCGGGACATTAATAGGCATAAAAAACGTAATACTTTGTAATCTAGCGTAGCTGGCATACAGCGGTGATCCCGCTGGGTAATAAGCTGAGAAAAGCCATTAGCTCAGAGCTCATGACATAATAAAGCACAGAAGTATGAAATTCAGAAATCACGGTGCCATATGAAATAATTTGTGAAGGGAAATCATTAACCACCTAACCTAAAATGATACCACCCACTAGATTTGAAGAAAGTTTATTTGCCAATGTTAAAATAATTGTTACAAATATCGGCTTTATTTTGGTGTAATGGAAGGAGATATTCCGGTGCAATCTAACGCAAATTTTAATGGGAACATGTAAGTTTTTCCCGTAACAATTCAAGGAAAGCTCTTGTCATACATGCAAACTGATGTACGGAAACGGACAAATCGCTTTTTTTTCCCGCCAGTTTCAATCCACGTGCAATGAAAGTTGTAAAGAAATTACATTGTACGGGAATCGTGTAAGATAACCAGCTGGCATTGTACAGGACTGCCTTTGTTTTGTTCCGCCCTTCCTGAATTTGATTCTCGAAAAGTAAATTAAATGCGGTTTGATGTAGAATATCTATTTCCTGTGCCTGCGTAAATGAACTTACTTCAAAAAATACTTCAGAAACTGCAAACAACGTTCTTTTATTCGGAACTAAACTGCATGAAAAACAAAACAAAAAAGACGGAAACAGTCGGGTGCTAAAATCGAACAACGGGACGTAATGATTTACACGAGCCACGACCGTACATTTGTCGTAATTTTTGGACAAGAATTACCTGAGGCTAGAACCCGAATGAAAATAAGACAGTTGATATTTTCGCCGCGGTATAACAAAGTGAAATGTTTCCGACATGTCGGCTTTTTTGTTATCCTTGATAACTTGGTCAAAAATAGTGGACTTTAAACCCAAACAGTGCATCGATCTCAATCAGTAACTAAAAATTTTTTGTAAACATGTTTTTCGAAAAAAAGAAAAAACATTTATGAGCGGAACACAAGAAAAATCTGAGTTCACGCATAACTGAACACCAGCTATCGTTCGCAAACGAGGCCGAGTTCGTTATTTGAATTTACCATAAATTTAGCTGACTAAAACCTACAAACACGAGTGAAGCCGTGTTGACTTAGATGAACGAGCGAAAAATTGTTTCTTCTCTACTTCGGCGTTCTTCATTTGAATAATTAAATCTAGAAATAAATGTATATTCGTGAAAGTAAAGTGAAAAGAATCTAACTGCGATTTGCAGAATTAAAAGAAGCTTAAATTTCTAAGCTAGGCGCTCCAAGAGAAATAGCGGTATACCGTAACAATTGGTCATATTTACCCACATGCCCTTTCGGTGCCACTGAGTACGTTTACACGAGCGTTTTTCTGGAAAACTTTCTCGATTCTCACTCGAAAAAGTGTGCGTCTATAACAAAAGGATGTTGGTGATGACAAAAACTTTCCATCCAAAGTTTGCAAGAAATACATTAGCATGACATCAACTTAGCTCGCTGTAAGTAACAAATTTAAGTCACTCTGTAGATAAAAATATTCTAAAAATCCCCTCCGAAAGTCAATTTTATTTAAAAATACTAACAATTTCAATCAATAAAATAGTATCAACTTATCACAACAAATACATTTATTTGTTTAACAAGTCTTATCATGCGAATACTGTGAGAACAACTTTCCTCTCGCAAGGTTACTAATACTAAATTGCACAAATCTCGCGCAGCTAAAATGTATGAAACGCTCAGAATTTTAAGTGGGAGGTATTTATTTAAGTTACTTTGGTGTTCGTTTCTCGTCTTTTCCTCACTGGGAATCTACTGATGAAACGAATTTCGGGTTTTCATCACAAAGCAATGCTATATTGCGGATAAACTTCACCTGTACGAAGGTTGGTGTAAACGATAATCTTGCTGTCAATATACGACTGAAAAACTTGTACGAACAACACAATATCCTTCAGTTAACTTTACTTCACAGTTAAAAATTATATAGGAGTTTGCTAATTAACTCAGTCACTACAAAATGATTTCATTTTTATAACTTTGGCCAAGATCTTTGTGCGGCAAAACAATCGAGTTAAGAACTATTACTTCTCCTGGTATTGTTACATTTCGACCTGAAACGCAAATAAAAAAGTTGCGGTTTAATCATCAGCTTGATGTTCGAAAAATCTTCGTCGTCTGAACTAAGAATACAAAATTTTTAGAATATTCTTCCACTGAGCGACTTCAAATCATAGCCGACGTCAGAAATAGCACGACCAAAGTAGTTTCCAGTTAAACGTTTCAAAGTAAAACGCATTTCAATTGAGTGGCGTAACTTCAAAACCAAAGTCATCACAACAACCAATCAGAACAAAGGGAAATATCAAAGGAGCCAATGAGATCTCAAACAAAAATCAAGTAAGTGCCCAAAGCGCGGGAAAACGCGAGTGACCATCCGCGATTGATTTCACTTTTGAATCTGATTGGTCGAGAAAGTGCGCGAGTTTTCTGGACAATTCAGAGAGTGACACAAAGCAGACCAAACCGACCCCAGATTGCTTTCCACAATCGATTGAAAATTTCTCTCTTACAAGAAGCCAAAGAGGGCTCAAGGTCAAAAAAAAGTGAGAAGCCTGGTAACGTGCGGGAAGCGCAGGAAAACGCAATTGACGAAGATTCCATTTCACCATGTATGTTCCTAAACTGTGACCCAAAATCCTTTTTTCTCCTACCTAGAATTGTAATAGATGGAGTCAATTTGCCATCCTCTCCGAATAAGGATTCCCCATCAGGCCTTGAAAATTCCTCATTTGGGTTTGGATCGCAGCGACTGCCCTCGACACGTGACCACATTCCTATCGAACAATTCCAGCCAATGATACTGTACAGAATACAGCAGTGGTCCTGAATAAAAAATAAGCATGAGATATGGGTATTAAGCAGCGTCAAATTAAACCAAACTTTCCTTTGGCTCCTAAACAAACTCAACCTAAAGACGTTGGACCGAAGTCAGTATCTGAGCAACTGCTCACCTATCCCTCCCCTGACTCAAAATTAACCCTAACTTGTTACTAGTTGACGATTGTTGGTAAGGAGAGGGATAGGTCTGCAGTCTCTCAGATACTGACATTGATCTTCATATATTCACAGTCGTTCATTCATCACTTCAAGCATTTATTACAAACCAACAAAACGATCAGCTCCCAGTTGGTTTGTTAGCTCAGTTGATAGAGCGCTGCACCCGCATTGCAGAGGTCATGGGTTTAACTCCTGTTCAGGCTTTGTTTTCATTTCTGCTCAACTAATGTTCATTACTGCAAAGATCACTCCAATAGTCATTTATTCATTGAATATGTTTGTTTAACCCTTTAACCCTTTAACTCCCAGAAGTGATTAACATAAAACTTCTCCCTACAATATCCATACATTCTTCAGCAAACAGGTAATGAGAATATTCAAACTTATCAGGTAGAATCTGCAATCTCGATCTAGCACCACGTTCTCATAACTAATTTAAAAGGAAATGTGTAGCAGCTACAGAGGAGAATTAACAATCAGATCTTGGAAGTTAAAGGGTTAACTCCCAAGATCTCATTAGTAATTCTCCTTACTGTCTGCTATACAGTTCTTGTGATGTTAGTTTGAAGAATTTGGTATTGGATCAACTTATAATCACCTAACTGATATTTTTCTATATTCTCATCATTTGTCTGCTAGATATTGTTTTGATATTGTAAGGAGAAAACTCTGTCTTGGTCACTGATGGGAGTGAAAGGGTTCATACATTCGCAGTTGTACATTAATGTCTAAAGTATGTACATCCTGGATAATTAAGTTCAAAAGTTAAAGCCATCTATCACCTTCAGTTCAGCTCCATCCAGTAAAATTGTTTCTCTCACTCGTGCTCCAGCACCTATTACAACATTGCTTCCTACTGACACATTAGGACCAAGCTGTCAGAGACAGGGAAAACCAGTCATTATTTACTATTTACCACCTTGGGCTGAGGGGGGGTTAGGGGGATTTATTTAGCAGATCACATGATTTTCAGCGGGAATGGAGAGGGGGACAGTGGCTGTTAACAGAGTATAAAGGTCAATGATCAATGCATTGGTTGGTTGGTTGGTTGGTCAGCTTGTCAATCAGACAGTCAATCAGTCCATCAGTTCACCAGTTAGACAATCATTAAATTAGTAGATCGGACAGAAAATCAGTCAGTCCATCTGTCAGTCAGTCAGTAAGTTAGTCAATTAACCAGTCAGTCAGTCCGTCAGTCAGTCAGTCAGTCAGTCAGTCAGTCAGTCAGTCAGTCCCTCAGTTTGTCAGTTTCTCACTCAGTAAGTTAGTCACTTACACAAGTAGTAAGTCAGCCAGGTGGTTGCTCTTCAGTTAGTGGGTAAGTCAAATGATAACCAAGTCAGTGTCAAGTCAGTTGTTGATTCAATTAGTACGTCATTCACTTGATCAGTCAGTCAACATATAAGTTAAGAATGTTTCAGTAAGTCAGTCAGTTAGTCAGTTGTCTGCTGGGTAATTGGCCAGACAGACAGACAGACAAACAGAAGGTCCTATGGACAGCCAATAAATCCCTCTGACAATAAATAATTCAACAAGGGTAAAAAATATTTGAAAGCAAACAAGACCATTGGAAATTATCTTACCACAGCTGATGGGTGAACAACTGCACTTGGATGAATGTATACATCACCTGAAACATGACGTTAAAAAATAACAAAATAATTCATATACTGCAGGTGACATGATGCAGTAGTATGTTATAGTCACTTCATGCTAAAGAAATTGGGTGAGACTTCAGTTAGATGGATCACTCAGCTCAAGAATAGACTTTCAGGAAAAATAAACAGAAAATAATTTTCACACACAATAGATGCTGATGGACACTAAGGTAACTTATTGTAACATGCCAAAAATCTCGGGGAGTAAAGAACAGTGAAGTAATAAAACTGGGATTTCTTTTGAGTGACAGAATAGTTAAGGAAAGAACAAACTCCAGAAGAACTGTGCACACCTACTAGTTCTCACCTCTAATGTGTGGTTGGCCTTTTCCACTCTGAGCTAAAAGATCTGGATGAGTTTTGTGATACATAGCAAGTACATTTCTATTTGCATAAATTGCAGACCTGTTCAAGAAAAAATAAAAGTTTGGCATCAGTTAAATTGCCATTAAATTAAAATTTAAGATGGCTGTCAATGCCCCTACAGGAAAGTAGAACCTTAAAGAACTTGATAGATTATGATCATTATAGAAATTTTCAGTTGAGCCTTAAAAGGAATCCTCATTGGCTGGCCAGTGTAAAGCAATTTTAAGGGCAAAATGTTTAGGGCATTAACCCTCTGTCAAAGTAAAAAGAGGAATCACAGGTTGTGTGTGGTTTATACATGGTAAAATGGAGCTAAGCTATTGGTGAGAACATGGCAACGTGAAAAATGCAGGAATAAGTTAGTTGAATGAAAAGCATCGATTGATATTGTGCAGAATAACAGAGAGGGACTTGAAAGATAAATTTTCAAATTATGGAACCAGATTCAACCAGAGTTGGCCACTTGCACTTTTTAATATGCAAGGCAGTTTGCCAGTTTTTACTTGGAGGTCTCAATACCCTCAGATCCTAACTTGCTCACAAAAGTTTCTTACAAAGGGTACTGTCTGAGAAATAAATTGAGAAGTTCAAAATCACCACCACCTCTACAGGATGTTTAAAGAATTACCCAGCATTCTTGATAGATGACCAGAATGAACTTGACTTGAATGCGTACAGTGATCCTGCACTGGCCAATGTAGCGAGAACATCCTCACCCATTCTGACAGATTCCACATTTCCAGGAAATGGTTCTTCACTAAAGTAGTAAAAACAAACATGCATGATCATTATTAGCAGTACTTTAAACTTTGCTAACTGAACAAGACAGTAGGGCAAAGGACAAAGGACATAGGGCAAAGAGACAAGAAATGAACCATCAGGCAGGAAATTGGAAATAAAAACAAAAGTGTGGAGATGAATGTGCAACATTTCTCAATAAATGGCAGAAGATGAGAGAGCTGAGCACACAAGGGGGAGATGGAAGGGGGACAAAATTTCCATCTCTGGATTCCCCACCCTACCTCTCTTTCCACAATGCAAAGGTATCTGACCATGTTGAAGAACGAAATAGGGTTGTTCTTTCCAAAATATGCCCACTGACATACCTATGATTGAAGATAAACATGAACTTATGACTACTGCATACCTCATCTTTTGATAATTTTTTTGAATGATTTCCCCCATCAGTTTAAACAAAGCAGCTGGAGAGAAGATGTAAATGCCACAGTTGATTATTTCACTCACAAAAGTCTCTGGCTTTTCCACATAATGTAAAACCTAATAAGCATGAAAAAACAGACAAACCGTTAGAAAAAAGGCACAACAGATATTATCAAAATGGAGTAAATAATTAGATGGTTTTGACTTCCACAGTGTTTAACATGTAAGTGCCCACCTCAAATAGGTGCCCACCTTTAAAGAAGAGAAAGTTAACCCTTTAAATCCTGTGAGTGACCAAGAGAGAATTTCTCCTTACTACATATATACAATATCATGCAGACAAGTGACAAGAATAAAGAAAAATATAAATAATGGGATTACTAATTGATCCAATACCAAATTCTCCAAACTAATATAATGAAAATCATTTGGCAGACAGTAAGAAGAATTTCTAATGAGATCTTGGGAGTTATAGGGTTAAGAAGGGAAATTTAATAATAATACAGCCTTGAATAGCAAACCCTTACAAACCTCAATAGGGAGCAAGGGAGTAAGTCTCTTAAGAAACTGTGCTGCTGCATTGGTGGGAGAGTATAACAGAGTAATAATCTCCATAAAGAGTTTCAAGAGTTTGGAGCTCTGACAAAGGGCTAACCCTCAAAATGTCATTTTTTAAATTCTTTACAGTAGCCAATTTATGTTATCAACTCAGTTGATAATACTTAATTACCCTCCTTTACAAACCTTGTGTGTCTCAGGGTCTTGAACCAAACAGCCAAAGTTGTGGGCTTGCTTTTTGTTAGCCTGTTGGTGAAAGTTAAGGTTAGAACTTATCATTCTCAATGAAGACTACTCAAAAACTGAGAAAACTGTGGAAGAACAAAATTATGTACAGCTGATGTATGACTAGAGCCAAAACAAGAAGGGATAACAAAAGAGGTTTTTTAGTCTTAACCTTAAAACTCCCGGACATAACCAAGGTACCAATCAAGCAGGCATGTGATGAGAATGAAGAAAAATATCAATTAGGGGATTATTAGTTAATTGATCTAAAACCTAATAATCAGAACTAACAAAATAAGAATTGTATGGAAGACAGCAATAATTAGTTAATTGATTAATAAGTAATTATTAATGAGATCTTAGGAGTGAAAGAGTTCAGTGCTCATTGTGACAAGTTTCTGTCATGAGCAGCAGTTTATTTACCTCACCAATGTACATTTATGATCAAATTATTGTTTTACTTTCCTGCTGAAGCAGTGAAAATTCTTCTTCAGAAACTGATAGACTTGTGACATTAATGCCAAGCAAAGTTTAAGCAAAAAAAATAATTCTTCCTTATGTGTTTGTGTAGGTACCAGAAAAATTGTATTTCAGGACAAGAGTAGTAAATGTTGGCTTATCACCTTTAACATTGGCAATAAAATATGGATAACTGTGAAGAATGGTTCCCCGAAAAACTATGTCAGCCAACAGGTTACTAATTGGCAATCTACCTCTACCCTCAAGTGAACACCTTGCTGTGTGATACTGAGAAATCAGGCATGTCACCATGCATTATTTAGTAATCAAAAGTAAAGAAAAATAATTCTTCTTGCCTCTGTTGCCAGAATAGAATGTTCTCCTGAATGTTTCCTGTGAAATTCCACAAAGTCAATGAGAGGGTAATCTCCAATGATGTCTGCATTCAGGACAAGGAAGGCCTCAGGATCACCCATAGCAATCTGATCTCTAAAATGATAGATTCCTCCTGCTGTGCCAAGTGGCTGAAATTCTTGAAGGTACCTTGTAAGGAGTAAAGTATAGTCATGATCAGTGAGCCAGCCAAATGGCTTATCTGATTGGAGATTATCTTGGTCAAATAGTAAAATAAATACTGTAGCACCATTTCTACCACTATCCTGTAGTGCTAAAAAATGACTGATATAAACATAAACTGCTCAAAAATTCCAACTGGCAGGAGGCTGACCAGTTGGTTACTTACACAATGTAGCCAAGGAGTTGAACTTGGGGCAACCGAGAACAAATCCAGTGAATGGCAGGGTGGAGGACTTGAGCTTAGGACCACCAGATTACAAGCACCCTAACCACTCACTAGTCTTCCCATAGATGAGATTCTAATCTAACATCATCACAGCAGTACTAAGAGGTACTACAAGTGGTAAAGTTTACTGGTTACTGCCAGAAAAGGAGAACACTGGGTCTTATAGAATATTTCAAATCTTTTCATGGAATTTATGAAGTCTTGACACATGTGCAATGGCTGATATTGTGAATAGCTACAAGGCACCAAACTCGTACTTTTGTTTGTTTGTTGAGTTGCTAAACTCCTCTAGGAAGCCAATTCATGCTACTAATGGTAATACTTCTCCACTAAAGAACTATACTGTATAAATATCAAATAACTTAATATCTATATATTTATTCATAAATAAATTAATATTTACTGGTTATATCTAGCTTGTTACACTGTCTACCATCTAAATTAAAACAGGAGGTATGTATAAGCAGGTGTACAATTCATGATTCTGTGTAACAATAAGAATACTCTTAACCCTTTGACTCCTGAGAGTGATTAGCATCTAATTTCTCCTTACAATATCACCCCTGAATCAAACACAAAGGTCAGGAGAATAAAGGAAAGGATCACCAACTAAAGAAGCTCTTGATTGTTACACAAATTCGCCCTTTCATCACCTTAGGATATGTATTAAGAACAGTATGGAGGATATGAATACTGGTATTAAGGTATAAAAGGTTTTATACCTGATGGGAATATTAAATTCTTGTTGAGCATTCTGAATAAATCTTGACAAACTTTCACTTGACTGATAAAATCCTATTAAGATAATCTCCTTGAGATCTGGAATCTAAAAAAAAAACAAAATTATAATTCTCATATGAAGCTGAAAAATAAGTCCAAACCATTAAGTTATCGAATATTTAAATCTTGGTCTCATCTAAGAAAATCACAGGTATAGTATTTTGCAATAGACCCCGACCAGAAGAAAGTATGAGATTCTCTTTCTGCATCCGTGAAAATTGCATGAATCATTCTGGATAATGACAGTGATGATTTAGAAGCGGAATGTTATGATTCATTACTTTCAGCATATTTCTTTGAGAATTAGAATTTCTGTGTACATACGCATTTGGACAGCCTAATGGTTTTTTTCCTTATTTTCTGATTTCGATTTAAATTACGAGAGGCTAAAACAAAGTAGGAAATGATTAAGAAATGAACGACAAAAAAAAGAATAATCGATAGGTTATTAAAAGGAAATCATATGATTTTATTGTTAGTTCGATCAAAGTTTAAATTAGCAGTACCTTTTTACAAGCTTCTATATGGTGATACACAACTGGGAATCCTCCGATGGGAAACAAAGGTTTAGGTAACTCCAAGGAAAGTGGACGGAACCTTGTTCCTGTTGACCGAAAGAAAAGCAAGGTTAAAGAAAATTGGATGATTTATAGCTAATTTTGAAGCCCAGCTGGGAGACGTGCAATCCGTATTCGATAACTTACCTTTCATTGGACCTCCAATGAGAATGACAACCTTGATCATGTTTTTCTCGGAGTCTTACGAATCACACTTGCGATCAAAAGAATAAAAACCGTAAAATGTTCCTTGAGCGTTCAAATGTTCTTCAAAATACAAGTTTCTATGGATATTTGCTATAAATTCACAAAACTTCAGCCACGTAACCTCTCGTGACTCAACCCATCCCCTCCCCTGGTACGAAAAGAATTCCGTTCTTTCTCTGGGGTATGCTAAGAAGAAATTTACTCGAGCAGTGAATCCTGGGTACTAGCTTCTTCACGCACGTGCAAAGTAAATTCGCCGCCATTTTAGAGGGTTTTGTTCCGCAGAGGAGAATTTTTTATTGAGGGTAAAATGGCAGACAAAGGTAGTGATTCAGGAGAGGAAGAGGATCCAACCATTGCTGAAGATGTTGTTGTCACGAAGTACAAAATGGCGGGTGATATGGCAAACCGTAAGTACAAATAATGCTACTCAGATTCTTAGATTTTCACAAAAGAGATTTCCACGATGAGGTAACTGTACTAGTTATATCATGTCCGACGAAGATCTTCCACCGGTTTTTTTTAACAACTTCAGCCTTGTTCATTTTGTTCTCGTCTGATATAGATCTTGAAAAACACTTTTTCGCCTGAAGTGCGGAAATCAATAATGTTCTTCCAATATCTTCATTCAATTTTGGTTAAAAATTCTGGAAATTTAAGAATCTTTGTTTATAGTTTGAATACAATTCTCGCAGCATAAACTGTTTAATCGAAGCCTTTGAATAAATCATAAGGCATCAGTGTAGTAAAACGCCCAAAACTATTCATTACTAGATGTTTAGGGTTGTATAATGTACAATCATGTGTGAACTTTGTTTAAGTAAAAATTATAATCTCTATGGGGTGTATTTCAAAAGCCTCTTAAGATACAGAAGTAAGTTACATGATAGCCTGTTAATTTGAAAATATTTTGCATGTCTTGATGGAGATGTTAAGTTAATTTAATGCTTTTTCGCTGGTACTTCCCACAACATTAATATAAATGTCATTTCAGTCGTATTTAATTGTCTCCTTACCACTAATATAATACAGTGGTTAAGTAGCTTGAGGAAAAATCTTCAGAGCTTGTCATATTCAGGCTACTTGTTAATAATCTCAAGAAAATAGAGATGATGGTAAATAACTGATTAAAAATAAAAGGGAATATTTAAGATCAAGATCTAGATGAGGTTCGAGAGGTTTCTTAATTTATAAGACATTTGAATACTTTCCAAACTATAAAGGTGCATTGAACTATCAATAACAGTTTTGATCTAGAAACCAAATACAGATAATTTCTTCATCTAGCTGGTGATAGATAATTCAAGAATTCTTTTCTAGGGTCTCGGGGCATGCTCTCCCACAAAATATTATTTTGAAATGTAGAGGCTCTGAAGGGTATTTTATTAATTCATTTGGAGGTTTATGCTCAGCATTATAGCCTTTGGTTGTCTTGGTAAACTTGTGGCAAATAGAGATTGGAAGGGAGTAAAACCACAGGAGAAAGTTGTCTATTTTTGAAATTTTTCATAGCAGGGACTGGTTTTAGGTTTTATTAAAGTTAACTGTTCATAACTTTCACGCATTGTTCTACAAAAAGTGTGCAGCTCTGAAATAAACATATTGTAGCCAGTTTTTTTTTAGCTGGTGGTGGCCGGCACTTAAAGAAAACTCCACTCATGCAACTGTGTTAAGCTCTAGCAAGTAGATGTTAGCTCAGAATTTGCGATCACCCTTCACATACTAGTAAATTGGTTGGGATTTTAGAAGAATTTCTTCTTAAAGTTTGCAATAAATCCCTCCATGCACTGAAGCATTATAGTGATAAGTGTTTTACATTTGTATTTCCGAAAGGCATTCTCAAGAAGATCATAGATGCCACAACTGTTGGAACTACTGCACGCACATTATGTCAGATGGGAGATAACCTTATTGAGGAGGAAACTAGCAAGGTTTTTAAAAAAGAAAAAGAACTGAAAAAGGGTAGACATCATTTTCTTTTTGTTATTATTTTATGAACAACATAGCCTTTTAGTTCTACTGATCCTGGTGGGATTTTGTTTCTGATATTTGTCATGTTAATCAAAGTTCTTCTATACATGCAAGGAATTGCATCTTTTCATCGGGTGGATAATGTTTATGTGAGCTGCATTGACTTCATAAATAAGTTACCTGACAAACAGGGTAGCTTTGTACCTAAAATTTTCTGTGTTGTAACACTTCTTTGCCAGCTGGATTACCAAAGGGTTTCATAGAACAGGAAAGTTCTTCTATTTTGTTACTGTTGGCTTACAAGCCAAAATCTTTGCACTCTAAAGTAGTTAAGGCCTCTTTGGTTTGTGTAATGAACAGTTTCTAAAACTGAGATGAACATCCCTTTTAATTATTAAACCAAGACAGCACACACTCACGGGGGCTAGTGCAACAAATATTCATGTTCATGGCACTTCTGACCTCAATACAGTTGAAGAATTTAGGCAAAATGCAGAGGACAGTGAGGTTTACCTCCATTGAAGATCTTCAAATCCTGTGTCACTTGGAGCCAATTAGATATATTTATTCCTATTTTGTTTATATACTTCATTCACAGTTTGTCTTTTAAGCAGCTTTGTAATTTTTGTTATTGTTTTACAAGGTATTGCTTTTCCGACGTGCATCTCAGTAAACCACGTTGTCTGCCATTTTTCACCCCTTTTGAGTGAGACTGACATCCCCATTAATGATGGTGATATGGTGAAAATGTAAGTTGGAATGTGATTATTATCATCAGTATCAGTGTTCTCCAGAAGCACTGGCAGCTGGCTTTTTCACCAGCTACTTGCATCTCAAGCGCTGGCTACTTTTGTTAGACAAAACCACAGAAAATTATTCTCTTTTTTTTTGTAAGACTATTTCAAGTGAAGCTTGAATTTGGGCTTGATTTGGAAGCACTGGCTATTTTACAATCTTAGCTGACTACTTCAAAATCTGTGGAAAACACTGATCAGCATTTATATCGTCACATTTTCCATACTCTTCTTTATGCATTCCCCTTGGTACTGACAAGGACAATTCATTTAATTACCAAAGCTTGTTAGATTGGCCATCATTACCTTAATTCTCACAATTACAATAAAATATTTAGCAGGATTACTGTGAGGAGGAGAAATTAGATGCTGATCACTCCAAGGGGTTTATAGGATTTAAGAGTTAATATGGCACATACTGTCGCAATTACATATCTTGTATTGCTATGGAGTGTTAAATTATTTTTGGACCAATTGAATGACATCAGCAGCAATTTGAGTCCCATGACTTGGAGCAACACTGAACTCCAAGAACACAATTGATTGACATTGACCTGGTCTTACTGTTTATTTTAGTCCTGCAACATCAGTATCTGTATTCTCCATACTGTTCTTTGTACATCTCCTCTGGTACTTAAGGAGAATTTGTTTGACTATCATAAGTTTCTTAAATTGGTGATCATTTCCTTTATTTTCATGACCTTCAGGTTTGATTAAAGGCAGATCCTGTGACAAGAAATTAAAAGCCAGTTACTTGTAGGAGACAAAAGGGTTTAACAATGCTGATGTGTAAATATAGCCTTGAAATAATTTGTTTTTCTTTTTTGTTCATCTGTTTTTCCCAGAGACCTCGGTGTCCACATTGATGGATATATTGCAGTTGTAGGACACACAATTGTTGTTGGTGCTTCTAAGGTAATTTAGTTTAATTTTGGGGAAATCAGGATTTGAATTTGAGTTTAATTTGTCATAGAAATGACAGAGTAATAGTGTAGTTCGATCGTCCTGGTGAGTGTAGTCCTGAGAAGGACTGTTGTCAGGAATGGTGACTGATGTTTCGACAACCTGAGCAGAAGTTATCATCAGAGTCAAATGAAAGGTTGTTGTCAGTTGAATGTACTTAGTCTGGTGAGTGTAAACTGATTGGTCAGTTTTGCTGTGATGTTATTGGCTGTAAGACTCAAGTGGTGTAGGTCAGTCATGATTGGTCGGTTTGGATCTGTTAGTGAAGTTAGGTTGTTCTGTTCGGTTTGTTTGTAATGTTAATGTTGTGAATGAGTCGTTTGTATGGTGCCGGTAGTGGTTGACACCTGTTGAAGGGAGTCTGTTCCAAGTTAGTAAACCAGCTTTACAGGGTCAGTCGTTGAAAGTAATTGGTGCTGTAGGTTAGACATTGCGCAGAGTCTCAGTCAATAGTGTGGTTCATAAGTCGGTGATGTTCAGCAATGTGATTGTTGACATCGCCTTTCCTTGGTGCTTGTTTCAAACCATTTTATGTAGAAATGACAGAGTTTGTTATATGATTTTAGGACAACAAAATAACAGGCGCAAAGGCTGATGTTCTTCTAGCAGCACATTTAGCATCTGAAGTAGCACAGAGGCTTGTGAAAGCGGGCAGTGAGGTAAGATTGAAAGAGTTTTACAAAGAGAGCTTATACTGCATAGAAGAGGGATGTTATTTGCTTAGTTATGATAAGAAGATGTGCAAATAAGCCAGAATGTTCTGGAGGATGGTTGTCATGATAGCAAAAACTACATACAAATACTAAGTGGCCTTGAACCACTTTCTAAAATAACCCAAAATTTGATGGGATTTTTTCCCCCAGGTTTTATTTAGGGGTAAGTGATTATAGGCATTATACTGGTTGTTGTAACATTTATCTATAAAAACATAAGTTGCAACTCAACAATTTTAATTCCATTGCAGAATTATACAGTCACAGATCAAATACAGAAAGTTGCCGAGGCCTTTCAGTGCAAGCCAGTCGAGGGTAAGATAATTTTGCTTAAATCACTTTAATCTTTGTTAGTTCTCTTTCAGAAAATCCAAGGGTTTCCCCTAAAGCTATGTAAAGTCTTGAACAAGCTAGAGCTTTGATACTCTTTTTTTCTTTTCAACAGGAATGTTATCACATCAACTGAAAAGAAACATCATTGATGGTGAAAAGGCAATTATACAAAATCCTAATGAACAGCAAAGGTAATTGAACAACTAGTTCATCTTTCATCCTTGAAGTGACTAAAAATGAATTTCTCTTTACAAAATTCTCACATTTTCAAGTATAAAGTTGATTAGAAGAAAGAAAAATATGTTAAAGGCTTTAGTTTGATTTAACACTAAATTCTCAGGGCTAAAATCATAAGAAATGTATGGGAATGAAAGACTTACTAGTGAAGTAACAATTATTTTAACCCTTCAACTCTCATGAGTGACCAAGACAGAATTTCTCCTTACAATATCAATACAATATCCACCAGATAAGTGATGAGAATTAAGAAAAATATCAATTTGGGGAAAACAAGTTGATCCAATTCTAAATTCTCTGAACTAACATTATAAAAATTGTATAATTGACAGTAAGGATAATTACAAATTTGGTGTGAGAGTTAAAAGGTTAATAGACTATATGTTTATCCTCATGTTTGCTGCAGTGGTCTAATGGTCAGTGTACTGGACCACAGGTCAAAAGGTCTGGGTTCCAGAACTGCCTAGGTAATTGCATTGTGAGCTTGGGCAAGATAGTTTACTCCCATTGAGCCTCTCTTCACCCACGGGTGTAACAGGGTGCTGGTGAAATGTCAGGGAAACCTGATGAAATGCCAGCTGGTAATGTTGTGATTTACTGAAACCCCATCCAGGGGGAAGTAGTAATACTTTTAGTCATTTCATGCTATGGAACCTGGGATGAGCTCCAGCAGGATGTGGCGTGTGGCATGAGTGTGGACTTAAATTTTTTTTTCCTTTTTTGTTAGGAAAGACCATGCCAAGTGTGAATTTGCAGTACATGATGTTTTCGCAGTTGATATTCTAATTAGCACAGGAGATGGTAAAACCAAGGAGAAAGATACACGAACAACAGTGTACAAAAGAACTGAAAACAACTATCAGTTGAAAATGAAGGCCTCTAGAGGTTTGTGGTCATATCTTTCCATTTTTTTCCTGAATCGGTAGAATAAACAAATGTTTTCTTGAAGCTTGTGAGTTTTTGAGATTTTCTCTTCTTAAGGGAATGCCTCCTATCTTTCTTGCAGCTTTTTACAGTGAGGTGTGTAACAAATTCACCACCATGCCATTTACTTTAAGGTACTACCACATGTTCTGTTTCTGTGATTATCATTTGACTGACGCCAGGAAAAGTTTGGTGACTAGGTTTTGATCAAAGGACTACTGTGCAGTCACAGGTTAACTTCCTCCTTCCTTGTTTCCAATGAACACCGTCTCTCAAGAGATGTGTGTTGCCAATTTATAAACATGAAAGCCCACTAAAAGAGGTCAAACATCATGTTTCCATTGGAATTGAAGCCTGTTTCCCATGGCAACGACACAATTTGAAAGTGAAAACCTGGTTGTCAAACTTCCGTATCACCCTACTCAACTAAAAATCATTAAAATTTGTGAATTGATATCAAAAACATCAGATGGCTATCATGAAAATTGGCAGAGGTTTTAGATGCATGGTATCTTGTCATTTTATGTTACTAATCTACCCGCTGCACTCTATTTCACAGAGCTTTTGAAGATGAGAAAAAAGCAAAAATGGGTGTCGTAGAATGTTGCAAGCATCAACTTCTAGAACCATTTAATGTCCTATGGGAGAAAGAAGGTCAGTAGAGAAGACAGAATGTCAATGTCCCAGTCGTGTTCAGAGCTCAGAGAGAAATATTTTTTTAGACAAAAGTTTGCTTATAGATGACATTTATTCTTAATTATTTTTATCCCATATTGAGACACCAATATTGAGTGTGATTCCTTTTTCATAGATAACTCTAATTTATTTTGACACCTAATTTTTTCATATTATTCCTGGCGACATATTAAAATATGAAGCTGAACCCTCCTCACCCCCCCATTCTCACCATCTTCATCCCTTCCTCCCCTTCCCTTGCCATCAGTTTTTCTCTCACAGCCTGCTGCTTTTTATCTTTTATTCCAGGAGAATATGTAGCCCAGTTCAAATTCACACTTTTAATCATGCCTAATGGACCAATCAGGTAAGAAATAGCTTCCATATATCTCCATGTACAATTTGTGATGAAATAAATTTCACCTGACTAGTTACTTGAAAATCATATAAAGCCATGATCCCTGCAGGTGAGCTGCAATTTAAGCAAGCTGGAAAAAAATTCAGGCTCATCAGGAATCACACCCATGCTGTTACAGCTACTGAAACATTCTTTTTTCTCCCTAGGATTACGCAGGGACCTTTTGACCCAGAAGTAATACAATCAGAGTACTCAATAAAAGACCAAGAGATTAAGGTGAGGTAATCTCCAGGAGGCTCTGCATCAAAATGATTTAAATATTTTTGTTGTTTTTGTGTGAATTTGATCATGACAGAATTTCACAGTTTTTGAGTGATAGAATTTCTCTAAACAACATTACTACTATGTTAAGACAAGTGATTACAGCAAAGAAAAGTAACAATTAGGGGGTTATTACTTGATCAAATACAATTTCTCCATACTATTATCATGAGAATTGCAGGGTGTGCAGTAGGGAGAATTGCATATGAGATATGGTTTTTCAATGAGAGAGTCCTCCATATTATGAATGACTCATTTTGAATTTTTGAAGTTTGTCTGGTTTGAATTTCATGAATGTTTAACTCTTTAAACCCTAAGAGTGACAAGCATCTAATTTCTCCCAACAATATCACCCCTGAATCACAAACTAAGGTCATGAGAAAAAAAGGAAACGTTCACCTGGGAAGGAACCTTTTGATTAGCAAACAAATTCTCCCTGTCAGCACTGTAGGAAATGTATAAAGAGCAGTATGGAGAATATGCATACTGATGTTAGGGTGTAAAGGGTTAAGAGAGAAAAAAGAACATGATGTATTCAATTGTTTTGTCATAAATTCTTTCTTTTCTTTTTTTTTACTTCCCAGGACATACTTGCAACATCAGCAAGCAGGAAAACTCAAAAGAAGAAAAAAAAGAAGGCAAGTAAACACTTTTATAGCTCTTTTGCATGATGACATTATGTACTGAAATTTCCCTTAACAGCTCTGTGTTCATCACATTTCATCAGTTTTTTTTTTTATGCATAATCACAGATTGGCTTTTCTGTTTATTCTTTGTGCAGGCTTCAACTAAAGCATCCGATGCAGTGGTAGCAGAAACAAAGAATGGTGGAGATGCTGGTGACTAAACAGTGACTGTTTGTTGTACATGTACCCTGTTATGTAAACTTTTCCTGTCTGGTTTTCAGCCATGTTGCATTGCTGAACATGATCCTCTAAGTCAAGTGGAAGTGTTTCTAAAGTGCAGAAAATGTTATTCTGGTCCAAGAGTCTGTCAAGTTGCATATTGAATGTCTACACTTAGAGAACAAGTGTTGAATAAAATTACCTTTTTTTCCTTGCTGAAGAGAACTACTGTGTGGTGGACCATCATCTTTGTTAGGTCTATTAACAGATATCTCACTCCAAAAAAGTCCCTTTAATCAGTTTTTTTTGTCTTTATGTCATATGAAGCAATCACAAGCTGTTCTCAAAGTATTGGGGGTTGGTTGTACACAGGCTAGGGGCGAAGTACTACCATTTGAACAGGATGCCAGCCCATCAAGGGGCCTCCTTCCCCAACGGGTTTGAAAGAGGCTATACATACACATGCTGTTACCATTTAGTGGAAGAAGCTTCAAGAGATCAAAATATCCTATCCATCACTGATAAAAAGTAAAGCCTTTATATGGGCCCAAGTGGCCCATGGGGCCAGTGCTTAACTACGGTTTTCTTAGCATGAAGAGGCTAGGAGTGCTGCTACTCCCCCCTGGATAGGATGCCAGTCCATTGCAGGGTTACCCCTAGCACATTTGCTGGTACCCATTTGTACACCTGGGTGAAGAGAAGCACTGTGAGAGTAAAGTGTCTTGCCTAAGAACACAACACAATGACCGCAGCCAGGGCTCAAACCCAGACCACCCGATCCAGAGTTGAGCACACTAACCGTGAGGCCACTGTGCCTCCACATCCATCACTGATAGGCAAAGGCTCTTTGTTGTGACCTTCAAAGACAGTACTGTACAGGACTCACCTGACCACTCCCTATCACTTTTATCTTCCTCTGTTTTCCCCCTCCCCCCCTCCTCTACCTTGACTCCCTTTGGTGATGACTATACATAAATTAAACCATGACAAGAAGCTTGGATTACACTTTTATTGTGGCTATCAGTACATTACAAAGATCACTCCCTTTTATTTTCTAATTATACTACAGCTTTTCAAAAATAATATTCTGTAGTTTTGAGTAGTATAAAAATATACAGTACACAGACAAACATCATTCTTAATTGATTTGTATCATAAATTTGACCCGAACTCGCCCTGCTTGCAGGGAAAAGTGAAAACCTTGAAAACTCTTTTTAAGCTGTCATTAACCCCTTACACCCTAACATCAGTATGCATATTCTCCATACTGTCCTTTGTACATTTCCTAAGTTGCTGACAAGGAGAATTTGTTTCCCAATCACAGACTTCTTTTGTTGGTGATCATTTCCTATATTCTCATGACCTTAATGAATGATCCAGGGGTGATTTTGTGGGGAGAAATTAGATGCTAGTCACTCTTAGGGTTTAAAGGGTTAATCAAATGTAATTCTTTACAAGTTGTATCGAGGAAAGAGGAAATTGCAGTGAAGTGAGCCGCAATCTTGTACAATATGACCTGAACAAACACGTGGAAATTTTCAAGAAAATTTGTCATTGCTGTTGTTATGATATGAACAGAGCTTGAAGTATAGCCATTTCTGAGACATAGAGGACTGATGGTGGATGAAAGTTCTTTTCCCTTAAGCATATGAAGTCTTAAAGATAAACCATGAAAACAAGGGCTTTGCACCAAAAGTAACAGTAGTCACATCATCCTTCCACTTGCCATCTGCATCTCAAAAATGTCTGTGCTTAAGTTCCCTGACATTTTGTGCCCACAAAATGCGAATACAAACTGGTTTAACTTTGGCATCTATACAGTTACACGTGTTGGAAGCACTGCATAGCAAAAGCTTTGTTGCTGAGACATAAACAAGGGCCTTCAAGCCTAACCACTTACATACATATCTAACATTACATTGATTGGTTAGAATGACCAACAAATTTTGAAATACAGAAGACACTGGCAAAAAGACACTGGCAAACAACTAAGAAAATAATATTGCTAATTATCACCTAATTACATAATCATAGCATCCTGTGTTGTCAAAATTGGTTTCAATGCAAAACCTAAGCAAAGATTGCTTTACTCACAGTGTTATGTTTGACATGACATAACAGCCCAAGAGCCTTCCTCATACGTCTAGCACAAGAGAAAGCAATTAGGCATGTTAAAGCAAAAACCATGACATATCAATGAAATCCTGAAGATTGCGACACTCCAACTGCTATGTAGCTAGTCTTCATTAGGCCCTTCTGCCTGAAGGAGACTTGTAACATAGCATCATAAGATCATAAGATCACCATCTACTCTTGATGGTGACTGAATTTTGAGACAAATGAATCATCATTTGTTTTTTATCTTTCCAAAATGAACAACCATATCTTTTACAATTCTCTGGTTCCCAGGTAACACTTCAGAGCCTCCACTATGGTTCTCCACTTAACATAAACTTAATACTAAGAAGTTAAAGGTTTCTATTTAACCTCTACTTTATCTTAACTAGAAAAACAGGAAAAATCGGGTAGCAAAACTGAAGAATATATATATATATAAAGATTTCTGCACTTAAATTTTAATCTACATTACAAAATATCACACTAGAGAAATTTCCTTTGAGATTTTCTTTAAACTAGAAATGCTTTGCATACTAATGATCCCTGAGAATATTGTACTGTAACAAAAATACCATCATTAGCATGAACTTCAATAGGTACAAAATTAGATGTAAAAGAAGTATATAAACCTACATTTAAAAATTAGTAGACATACAAACTTGTTTCACATCAAACTAGCAATCATATAATACATTATGTCTTCATGTGCAAAGATAAACACTTTCTATGTATAGAATAGATTATAACCCCTACCTTTGAAAACTAGCACTCAACCATTATCATCAGTAAGCTCAAATTATCAGACAAGCAAAAATATAGTGTTTAGAATGTGTTTGAAGATTTGAATTTCAATCTGCTCAATTTTTTTAAATTGAAGAAACTGTAGCCTCTATATACACTTCATTCCAAGTAACAAACAAAATCAATGTCTTGGTTCAAAATTGATTAAAAAAATTAATAACACCTGCATTCAAACAAAAATGTTTCCTAGGTTCTTAGAGTATTGTGATCTACGTATAAAATGTAAGATGGCATAGTTTAGCATTTCAAGAATATGTTACAAAAACCAATACAGTGAATGGCTCTTCACTACATCTTCTTGTTACCTCAAATTAATGACTAAAGAGGAAATTTTCAAGGGCATTTAAAAGTCATTCACAATCGTTCCAGTACGTCTTCAAAGTCACACAATTCTTACTACTGAAATGTTTGTCATTAAAATTTACTTAAGTTTTCGACTGATAAGTTTTGAAAGACCAAATACCCTTACAAATGTAATGATAAAAATAATCCAAATTTTTTATAAAACAATAATTTCTACAAAACAAGAAATAAAACCTGAGAAATATTTAGGGGTTAAAAACTTCTTTTTTGTCAATCTTGTCATCAAAGCAGTAATCCTTCAGGTAAGCAACACAGATCTCAGTGCTTTGGTCAACATCACCTTCCTAAGATTGTACTGAACCTACGATGTTGTTTGTTGAAGTCTTTTTGGCATCTGTTTCACCAAACATATGTAACTGAAGCTTTGGAAACAAGATGAACTCAATACCTTCTGCCCAAATCAGAAGAAGTTGGGAGAATGACATAAATCTGTGTAACTAAATTATTTGACACAATGACAAATTTCAGAACTTTTTCATATGTAGTGGCATTAAAAAAAAAAAGAAATGTTAAATTCTTTAATTAAAAATCTGAAGAGTACTTGAAATTCAGCTAGTGGTGTTGAGTTCCAAGGAATTACATCTCCCTTTTAGGGTGTTCATATTTGCATTTCTCAAATATGCACAGACATCGTCAGCTTCATTTATTGATTCAAGGAAGGGAATTAATTCCAAAAGCTCCATGTCTGAAAAGTCGTCAAACCAAGACGCAACTGGAATCTGGGAACAGCAATAAAACAATCAGTTTAAACAGTTGAACATTTATCAAAAGTAATTATTCTTTCACAAAACTACACAATGCTTTTATGGACATCTTGTAAAAAGTGATTGAACACCTTTCTTTAGTAAGTTGCTTGGTTAGAAAATAAATAACAGGGCAACAGATGATTTGTTTTCACCCTTCCACTCCTGAGAGTGACGAACATCTAACTTCTCCTTACAATATCACCCCTGAATCACACTTTACGGTCATAAGAATAACAGAAATGATCACAGACTAAAGAGGCTCTTGATTATTACAAAAATTCTCCTCCTCAGCTCCAGCAGAAATTCATGGAGAACAGTGGAGAATATGCATACTGATATCACGACAGTGAGGGTACTCTCTTTGTTCTAATCTATGAAATGAAACAAGTTATGAATTGCAAAATTGCCAAAAACATCAACACTTACTGCATTTTCAGGATGAAAACTGTATGATGCTGGTGAATTATCCACAATTAGGACCTTTTTTAAATCCCTTCCTAGTTTACTAAGATCCTGTGTAAACAACAAATCCACAAAACATAAGTCATGAAAAAGAGGGGGTTGATTTATTTTAAACACTGAGGTAAAGCTTATGTTTTGAGCATTAGCCCTTTATTCACATAAAATGTCAGCTTTAGAATCTCTTTACAGTGGTCAAATTATTAAAAACCAAATTATCTTGTTATATCCTTCACCTATGCAGTACCACCATTTCTTGCGATACTTATTCCCTTTAACAATATTTTGTGTTGGGTAAGAACATTAAAATATGGAGAACAACATGAAAGTGGAACTTCTAGAGGCCTACCTTCACATAATTTCCTCTATGAAACACACAAGACTCTCTAAAGAGCCTGGCTCGAAATGATCCATACTTGTCCAGCAAGTCGGCGACTGGGTCAGCATACTACAAAAGCACACAACGTGTTAACCCTTGAACATCCAGGAGCAAAGAGAGTGTAATTTCCCCTTATGATATAAGTACACTACCACGCAGGCAGGTGAAGAACATAGACACAAATGTCTTCTTGGAGATACCACTTGATGAAACACCAAATTCTCAGAACAAGTAAAATAAGAAATGTATGGCAGAAAGTTGAGGAGAATCTTGGTTGATATCTTAACAGAGAAAGGGCAAACAAACTGTTATACATAGGTGATCAACCCTTACAATTAATATTTTACTTTAAGGAACAATCTCACAACTTTAAGTCGTCACACGACAACTTTGACATTCACCCTTTCACTCCAAGGAGTGACCAAAATGAAGTTTATCTTAACAACAAGAATTAACAGGATGAGAAGAAAGAAACAGATGAAAAAAGGAGATGTTGCTTGATTTAACACCAAATTCTTCATGCTCAAATAATAGGATATGTAGGGTGTAAGATGGCAACCTATACAGACATCAATGTGAGTAACATTTTCTTGCAGGCAAGTGAAAAGTCTGGTCTAGTCATCACCTCAAGGACTATATTTTTGTATGTTTTCACCCTTTGACTCCCAAGATCTCATTGGTAATTCTCCCTACTATCTGGCATAAAATACTTTATTTCAATTTGGAGAATTTGGTATTGGATCAATTTGTAGTTCCCTAATTGAGTATTTTTTCTTCATTCTTTTACTTGTCTGCTTGATTCTGTGTTAATATTGTAAGGAGAAATTCTGTCCTGGTCACTCATGAGAGTTAAAGGGTTAAACCAAAAATGAGATGACCCAAGTTCAAAAGTACCTCATATTGTCTAGTTTTACTTCTGTTTTGACAAAAAAAAAAAAAATGCAAAACTTGGTTTAACCCTTTAACTCTCAAGATGTCATTAGTATGTCTCCCGACTGTCTGCTATACAAGTCTTCTGATGTGACTTCTGAGAATTTGGTATTGGATCAACTTATAACTCCCTTATTGATACTTTTCTTGGTTCTCATCTCTTGTCTTCTTGATTTTGTATTGATGTTGTAAGGAGAAATTCTGTCTTGGTAACTCATGGGAGTTGAAGGGTTAAGTTGACATCAAACATCTCCATCTCTTGAAACACATTCTGCCTTCACGATTGCAGTTTGTTCTTTTTAGTACCAGCTCATTGCAAAAAGTTACTGCATTTTTTACACATTTTTGTAGAATCACATCAGTTGTCCCTACAGGTTTATACAGATGCAGCTTTTAAATTAGCCACAAAAAATTTACTGCTAGCGGCCAATTTTCTGTCACTTTGGTACCAAAAGGGGACAAAGGAATTTTTTAATTTTAGGCCCTGGTATGTGTAGACAGTGAGAATCGATTTAAAGATCTCAGACGTAAAATGGATGGAGTAAAAATTCAATGATACGTATTCTTTTGTCTCACCTTTGCTAAGCTAGCGGTAAAAAGAACGCATTCAAACAACTCCCCAACTCTGCGAAGAAACTCGTCAACATGAGGCCTCTTTAACACATAGACCTGTGAACATAGTGCAAATTTACACTAGTTAAAAAACTTAGTTCAAAAAAGTTCTTTTAGGCAACAAATATCCTTGGGATGGGCTTCTATGTTTTAACACAACTTTGAAAAAATTGTAAAAGAAAAACAAGGATTTGACAAACCTGATGAATTGTGCCATCAATCTCCACAGGAACAATGAAATCTGCATTATGGACAGGCTTATATGAACAATAAAAAAAAAAAAAAAAAAGCATTAGAGATTTAAATACTGCAAATTTTTTTTAAAGTATAAACTTTCTTGAAAAATTTTACATTGTCCCTGTTTGTAAACTATGAGGAAATAAATGCTCTATTCTCACTTCCATACAGGCTATAAGTTAATGTGAAATGATGTAATATTCCAAATTTTGCTTTTACCCAAATTGGAGTATGTTTGCAAATGTGTTTCTTTCATTTGAGGGTGAACTTTCTCCAAACTGCTAGCTAAAAGTTTATATAACTTCATATATGGTACCCAATAACAACTTATATGTAAAAACAAATTAAACATAATTATTTTGGCATTATACTCTCTAAGACACCTTTGATTAAAGGCTAATATTTATTACCGACAGATTTGCCCATCAATAACTTATATTTCCAACCTGTCAATTAAGCATTAATCTCCTCAATTTTAAAAAAACCCTGTAATAATAAAGATATTTTTAAAAAAAATGTTTAGTATGCATCAGAGAAGGGAGGATTGTCTAGCCACTAAGCAGAATTGTCCACCTAAATTCAAAAGCTATTTCTTGGCAATACATCTACAAGATTCCCTTCTTGCTTTTAATTTTTCTCCTCTCTTTTCATTTGTTGTTGATGACCCAGAACAGCCTGATAAATTTAGTAAATATTTACCTTAAATGAACTGTGAACCAGTGTTTCATCCAAGTCTATTACAATACATTTTTTGTGCATATCCTGATGTCTGACAGCAGGAAGTAGATATTTACAGGGCTGAAGAAGGAAATAACAGAAAAAGAATAAACAATTTTTATCACAATCACATAAAGCTTTGAGGACTTTTCGTCAAAACCTCCGGGTAAATATAAAACCGGATCTATATCATAAGTATCTCGAGTTTGTCCTAATTGACAAATGGTACCATTTTCAATTCAAATAAGCGACAAGGAATTAGAAATTCATTTACGTGAGTCAATATTTAAACATACCTTCATAAGACAAACATGTCCTCGAACATGACAAAAACTTAACTTTAAAATAACTTAGTTATGAGTATGACCATCAATCACATCATGAAATATAGACAAAGGCAGTTTTGGTAAGAAATACTGGTGGTTCAAAGTCCAAAAATCTCACTCATACATGTAATTGGGCAATTTTAAATGACTCCCTCAGGGTTTATTGAAATTTTGGGAACCATGAAAGGTTGTCAAAGAAACCAAACATAAAATATTTAAAGTCTCCATCTAAAAATCAAGGGCAGAATGGAAAGCAAAATTCTTGCAAAAATGGTAGGGTTACAATAACAATATTTCATACAAGTCCCTGTGCCAAAACAACAAAGACAAATACAGTGCAGCTTGTTCAGATTTTACAACTTAACCCTGACTAAAAATTTATTCTCCTAAATGAGGCATAAACAGTGTCATGAATATACCTTTACTATGCAAAAACGGCCCTTCTAAAAGTTAAAAATTAATAGCTGGATCTGTACACATTTTCCAAAGCGCAAATTAAATCAACACTGAAAATTATACAATACAATTAACGACTGTCTATCTGCTATGAATTCTCATCAAATATTGATCACAACAAAATGTACATGAAACAGGAGCAAAATCAAGAGCAAAGATGTTTCTTTGCTTCATAAAAGACTCGTTAATTTAGCACTGAATTTACACAGGTCTTCCTTCTTTTTGGTAAAAAGCTCAACTATTTCCTTTTACAGGAAATAGTTTCAAGTTCTTATACTAACTTATCCCATCCGATCTGGAGTTAAAGCAAGACTTCTGTGTTTAGTAAAGCAAAGGAGGGCATTTAAAATCTTAAATATGTTATCTTTTGGAAATTTGCGTCAATCGAGTTCGTTTTCCGTGCACGCATCATCTTCTATTTTGCGGAATTCATGCAAACAGTAAAAGTACGGAATGTTCCTTGTTCGTGGCCACAAAAAAAGGAGCACGTCGTATCCATTGTAAGATTTATCAAGCACTATTTCCCCTACGAAACCGATTCCGCAGTTAGGTCGAAATAGGTGCTATACTGGAGAAGAAATTAATTCTAAGAGTTTACGTCAAACACAAACAAGTATACCGAAAGACAACGGCCATGATCGTGCTATTATATTGAGAGTACTTCAAGAGTGCACCCGACATTTTCTGTCTCCTTTCGCCTAATTTTAGTATTTAGCAACGTTTAAATACCTTTAGAGGAGAAGATTAAAGGAAAGCAAGCGCGCGGTAGAAAAGAACGCACAGAGAAGCCTTTTGAATTTCAAAACGCACGTTCCTTCAAAGAAACAGACAAGTTGGAATGTCAACATGACGGAGCCCTTGAGAATCTTATTAATTCGGATATTAAATTCACACCAAAATGGCAAAAAATACACCTACCAAACAGCTCTATTGCAAAGCGAAGTCTCTCAAGTGACGGAATAAAAGAAGGAAAAAGGGGTTGCTGTTACGCAATGATCCGAAGATACGAATTTATACCCTTGAATTGCTCGAAGAACGACATTTGCGAGTATGCACAAGCACCAACGGAAATGGGATCGGAGATCGCTTTCAAATTAAACGTTGTGTGGATAACTTGAAGCGAACACCTGCACGATAGATATGTAAAACAAGAGTATCGATCTCTATTTAGAAATGCTAACCTTTGGCTCTTTTTCTTCAGTGGAGATACTAAGCGAGTTTTCATTGTGATTGTGGTTGTGATTCGTGTGGGTGACAGCAGTTCTGTATGGACCTCCGGCAGCAGCAGCAGACTGGGCGCCAAAACAGCAAAAAAATGAGGAAAAAATGTTCCGATTCCTTGGCTTTTTGGTGACTGAAGAAGGTACTGCAGAAGAAGAGAAATAAAAAGTTGAGCAGAGAGAACAATCGTGCTCAGATGGTGAAATCGAGGTTGACAAAATGCTAAACGTCATTTGCAAGCCAACAACTAACTCGATTGATAAAATCAAAAGCTAGAGTAACGATTTTCACTGACTAGATTGACCACAAAGAGAGACTTTTGTTGCAACTTGAAGTAAGAGAGCTCGAAAAGAGATAGTTTCGGACTATTCTCTATAGGTGAAGTTAAGCTTACCACGCTAACAAAACCTTGTGATGCAAAATTCGCGCCGGTAACTGCGTACTTGTATCGAAGCAAAGTGAGCAATATGGAAGTCGTAAAAGCGTACTCACGTTTGTTTTGTGTGTAGGGGCTCACTTCTGCCGACTCATCGTCCTTGTTAACTTGCGTTATAATGGACGTGCTGTCCATCGACAACGCTTTTTAAACAGAGCCCAAACTTTCCTTCTGTAAAGCACAATGACTGCTCATTTGTTTTCATCCAAATCTTCTATTTGCCTTCTGTTGAACAGTTAGAAAATTATGGGCTGTCATATACCGAGGAGGCTTTGATTGACATAGAATACACAATGCATACTTCTGATTGGACCGCCTATCCTGATATTTAGCATAATTTGAACTCTTGCTCAATTGATCACTTTGAAATTTAAAACCAGCTGGCAAGAACTCATTTAACCAGACAAAGTAAAATAACAAGCAAAATCAAAATGGTTGTTGACATAACAGGACTGATACCGCGGAAAGTAAAATTCACGCGAAATACGTTGTATTAAACGACTTTAACGAGAATTTTTTTTTTTAACAATATTCAATGGGTGCCTTGGATTTCAAATGAATAATTCAAGCCGTCAAGGCAGTGTCCAATATAACTCCAAAACCCATGAAAACGTTCTGCACACGAGTTCCACATACTGAAGAGTGCAGCGACGTGCATCAGCCATTTATACGCCTGCGGTTTTACAGGTGAGTTCTTAGGTCCTCCCTCATTAAGGGAAAATACCCGACCCCACTTTACCCGCCATAGCCTCTTTCTCGTCATGATTAAGTTAAGATTAATGTGACAATTTAAAAATTATAAAAGGATAAATAAATTTGAAAAAAACACAATTACATAACCGAGATTGTTGACCACGGTCGCTATCGAATAGAAATCTCATCTTGAGCACAAACAATACTAATAATTACTGGATAAAAAACAAATCAACCAAGCAATCTGATCTTATCTCCCCCACCATTTGCATCGTAAAATAATCCTATCAGTTTTGACTAATGATTTATGTCTGCCAGTCACCTGATGCAAGGTGGAAGGAAAGTCCTTCCTAGTATTTGCAAGGGAAAAGAAAAAAAACAAAACAAAAAACAAGCGAAATCTGTCTACCATGAAAGGATGACACACTTGTAAAATCTAATGTTTATTAACCTTTACAACATTTTATATTCTTCATATTAACCTTTTGAATATCTCAAATTGACGAAAGTGCTACTGTCATTGATGAAGAAAAATTCTCAAAATGCAAGGGGAATGAATGCATGAATCACCTAAAAATACTTCGATTAAACTATAATTTAAGTTATAAGAGTTCAGAAACAAGAAATGGGGATTTCCAAAATTAGCCTTAGGTAGGCCTTGACTGATGTAGATTCAATTTCAGTTTCAATGCTCAAGATGGAATTTTCGAATAGATCGGTTCGGCCTATTTCCAGACTGCTTGCTAAGCACCGAGAAAATTTTACACGACTGAAGAAAAACGACTCAAAACTAAAAACAAACATATGACAAAATAGGACAAAGAGTAAAAGAGAAGAAAACGAGGAAGATATTGATTTTACAACCCCCAAATGAATAAACAAAAAAGAAGAAAAGCTCATATGGCTAATCATTAAGGCTATTTTGTAAAGTTGGCCATGATTTTTCTTAAAATAGGGAACGTCTTCAACTGAATGAATCGCTCGACAGTACAGTTACTTCAGCGTATCTGCGGTGGATGGTTTAGTTATTCATTGTATAGCGATTTTCTTAGTGGACAGCATTATTGGACCTTCACACAGATGGAGCTAAAATACCGAACAGCCTTATCGACTGGACAAGGACTGGGAAATTCGTTCAAGGAGATCTGCTTTGAAATAGTACGTCAGGTGAATTAAAAATCAAGATAGCATTTGACTATCGCTTCACTTTGACACATTTACGTGACTTATTCGTTACTAGATTAGTTTCGACCGTAACTGAATAGCAGACTTAAAGATATACAGTAATGGTTTAGAAATGGGTTAGATTTGCCCTAATTCGATCATAGTTTGCTTTATTGAAATATTTCCGCGGGGCAAGATCCAGAGAAGGTAGAATTTTCTTTTAAACTGGGAATAAATATCAGGGAAAAAAAACGGAACAGGTAAATGGGAGGAAATAGAAATAGAGAAGTAAGAATGAGATTTTTAATAATCCAAAATATCCTTGTAAGACCCCGTAAGCATGCCCTCTAATTAATCTTTCAGAACGATGACATTTCATGACGACGGAGTTTTAACTTTAGGCTTTGTACCAAGTAAGCACGTTTAAGAGTCTTCTTATTTTGTCTAACAGTTTTAAATGAAGACACTGAGACCAAGATAAAACTACAGTGAATGGACACGTAAGCTCGAAACAAACCTAGCAAGTTTTTTAAAAAACAAGTCTATCAAACAAATGTTCGTGTTTCCAGTAAAATGACTCTACGGGAGGTAAAGGAAGAAAAAGAGTTTCACGGCGTGCATCTACTTAAAAGAGTGCTCTTCCATGCCAGCCGCCATGGAGAGATCCGGAAGAGGTTTGTAAAATCCTTCTCTTGTTTTTAAGAAATACGTAAGGATGCTCCCCTTGCCCTGAAAGTTAAATGAAAAGCGTGATTACAATGTATCGTCATTCTGGACAAAGCACGTTGAGTTGGGATTTTAGGTTATCGTAAGCATCGAATGTACAACTTATATTTGCTGCTTGAGAGTACTGATAAGACTACTCGCTAACTTATGGCAGGTCGTCGTCTGAGGCAGTTACAGATGATTCTACGAACATTTGAACACAAACTTCAGTATGCATTCGATCCTAATTGCTTCATGCCAAGGATATTCTGATAAGCTCTGGTAGTAACAAAGCACTTGCTCTAAAAGATTTGATCGTGTAAAATAGATAAAGGCTCCCTTACCTTCATTTCAACGAAACCTCTTTCTTGCAACACGTATCCACCAAGTTCATCAAGAACTTCTTTGCATTCAGGACTCACGTGAATTCGAAGAGCTGAAAAATCGTAGGGCTATAGTAAGTGAGGGAGTCAAAGCCGGAAAGGCGGACTGAAAATGAATTGCCAACAATTTTGAGAAAGGGATAACCAAACTGCGGAAATGTTGAAAGCTACTCCATAGATAAATGAAATTTGAGTTAAATTTTTTATGTGACAAAGGTACACGCTTATTAATGGAAACTGACTGAACGAGAGTGTCTGGGAAGGGAACAAGAAGATCAAAAATGTCATCGGTTCCAAAGAATCATGTACAACTGCTCAGCTCAACGCTTGTTAGTTAGACATCATACATGCAAAATCTTTCATACCCAAACAACCTAGGCCCTTTATGGAACCCTCTTCATTGTAGGGAATAACACTGAAGCCAATTTAAGATTGAAATCAGCGCGAAAAAAAGGAATTTCCTACAATTCTCCCGTGTGAGTGTAAGGCATGCTGAGAAGCTCTTCCTTACCCAAACCGGAAGACTCCATTCTTGACGCATAGTTGACCGTGTCACCAAACAGGCAATACCGCGGCATTTTGAGACCAACAACCCCGGCAACCACGGGACCTGAAAGGAGGCATTGTTTAAGTCAGAAACACAAATAATTTCCTCATACCAAATCTTTTATTTTTCTTCTGTTAAATTTTCCAGGGCTCCATAAGGGCGACGCTGAAGTGGTGATAACTCCCATGTTATGGTGATAATTATTTTATAACTTGGCGTGCCCCTTAAAGTCAGCAAGACGCTAATCTCAATATCCTAGAAACTGAAGATTCTTACATGGAGCCTGATGAGATAACGCTAAAATTCAAACAAAGCACAACCGGACCAAATTGAACCATTTCTACAATATGTTTCGTACACTTAGAAACTCTTGGACTTTCTCTCCTTTACAACTGAACATCTGTCATTTTCCTTTTTTTCTGTTCTTGTGTATCCTTTCGTCTTTTTATGTTATATTTCTTCATTTCCGTTTTATTTCCAGTGTAATTAAATTAAGTTAGTTAGGGAAAAAAATTGTATCGCCTCGATTAGCATTTGCTATCTGCGGGTCAAAGAAATCTCTTGTTAATATGTATGAAAATAAAAATGAAAGTGTGAAGACCTGTGAAGTGTGAATCATGTACATAGGACTGATCCTCACATTGGAAGATCCCGTTAAACCCTTGTGCAAGTCAGTTTATGAACTCATGACCTGGAATGAAGCTGAGTTAGAAGGTTTCTAACCTGTATGAATCCCAATTCTGAGCTGTAGCTGCCTTCCTGGAACATGCCTTATTTTAAAAGTAGTCATTGCTGACAGCAAATCTAAGGACATGTTACTGATCTCGCCAGCATGTCTAATTCCATTCCTGTTTGGTAGCCCGGAAGCGACTACGTAGGCATCACCAATGGTCTCAACCTGAATTATAAGCAATGGATGAATAAACGTGTTCTCCTGTCAAGGCATTCTATTAAAGTGACTCAACTACCGATGAGCTTAACCTTGTTTACGCTGGAGAAGACACTTAGGTACTTAGTCATGTAACATGTCTTACCTTGTAGACATCATGCATGTCAATGATTTCGTCAAAGCAAGTGTACAGGTCGTTAAGCAAGTCAACAATCTACAAACACATAAACCAAAAAAAAGTATTTTCTAACAAATCGATATCACGAGGTCGACTTACGACATGTATATTCGGTAGCATATGTACCTGTAAGGGCGTGCTCTCAGATGCTAGCTTGGTGAAACCAACGATATCACTGAAAAAAAGTGTAGCGGAATCAAAGGTTTCGGCAGTAACAGGCTGCCCTCTCTTAAGTTCCTCTGCCACAGACCTGTCATCAAACAAAACCAAACAAAGAAGTAAGTAGCATGAGAGTGATTACAAAAGATGTCATCGTAAATACCATCAAATATCAGCGACCGTGAGCACAGGTTGTAAGACTGGGTTAGAGAATACACAAAATGGCGGCGTATTTGGATCTTCGGAAGTAGTTGAAATTTTCCACAGAGATAGTCAAGAATATATAAGTCAAATTATGGAAAGAATAAAAAGTAAGATTTCTGAACAGCCTGAAATCCAACCAAACAAAGCCTTCATCACCTCTTGGAAACCATAGCTGGATTGGCACACGCCATGCGTATACCTGACACCAAATGTATATCAAGGTACCGTGAATGTTGACTGTTGCAGGGTAAGGCAGCTGGCTTATTCCTTATTCTTATATGAATTGTATTGAAAAAGGTTTGCATGGTACTTAATTCTAGGCAGTTTTAAGTGCAATTTACTTTGGAAGCATCCTGTACAAAAGCTCGTCAGTCTTTGCTTTCTCAGCTGCAAGCTCAGCTGTTCGCTCAGCGACAATGTCTTCCAAGTGATCTGTGTACTTTTCCATCATGGTGATCATAGTATCCATAATGTTGAAGGCCCTGAAGAAAACAAGCAGAAATTAAAACAAATTTACGAATAGTGTGTCTCTCGTAAGCCATCATCATAAATGCCTCAAACCCAAATTCTGAAATTACTGACAATACCTTACACATCTTTGTCTTTAAAATGTGTAAAGCAGAGACTTAGTGTTTTGAGATAGATGTAACAAACGTGTGTAATGAAACTCTAATTACAACAGAAACCTTCCAAACTCGGTCATCTGTTCACTTACTTTCCTTTGTTCATCTCCTTAAGATATTTGATGCAGTCCGAAAACTTAGGCCTGGCGAGTGGGTCCTGATCCCAGCACAGTTTCATCATGTCAACATAGAGAGTATGTCCTACAGTGTCCTTGGTGATACGTGGGCGGAAGGATGGGATCTCTCCTTTTTTAACACGCTCAACAACAGCTTAAGAAATGTTAAATCAAAGTTATACATAAGTGGAATTTTAAATCATAAAAATAAAAACTTCAACCTTACTTGAAGGTATCCTTAGCTATGCTTGTGTAAGTGGTAGTTTTATGTACCATTGTTCACTTTGAGTGGTGGATGAGTGAATATGAGCAGACGAGCAATAAAATAGGTGGAATTTTTAGGTTCCCCCACAAAGTGTACCCATTTATCTAATATCCTTCCTGCATGTGAAAGCTTCAGATTAGCAGCAAAGTATACAAGGCTAAACCAACATTTTGGTTTGTTTTAAAGCACTAATTCTCTTACAAATCAGTACTGTCAATACTTGATTCTTTTCAAATGGTATCAAACAAATTCCCAATTATTGCAGAACTAGTAGGTTTCCGTTTCTGATAATTGTAGGTCATTGAAGCAACACTCAATCCTCCTAGAAGTGCTTCCAATCATTAATTTTTATCTTTCTGGGTCTAACTGATAAAAAATGTTTGTGACCCTGTTTTTATTGGGGAAACTAAATCAAAATAGCTAGACTTACATTCATGTAATGTAGTTTCAGTGCTACCTTTAAAAAATTGGCACAGAATACATACCCTGAGCTGACAAGTCCCCATACATGCTGAAGGGTAAACCACGAGTTACAATTTCAGAAAGGATGATTCCATAGCTGTACACATCTCCAGGTTGAGAATGAGGATACTGGTCATTGAGGATGTGTTCTGGTGCTTTCCAAAGATTGTCTTAAATTAGAAAGGAATCAGAAAATTATTGGACTGAACCAATCTCCTTTTCACATCAAAAATGTATTTACCATAATACTTGGAATCTTCACCAGCTTCCACATCAATCTCCTGTCCTTCTTTGAAGAGAAACAACCCATGGTCAGTTAGTTTGCATGTCCAGCGGCTGTCAATCAACACATTTGATGACTTCAAGTTGCCATGTATCTGAACTGGACTATTCTGCAGGAAGTGCATGCCCTGTTGAACAATAAATTGATGGAAAATATCTTTTGATGAATGAGACTATGAATTCAGCTCATGCTATGGGATTGATTAAAATGCAGCTTATTTGAGAGACAGGAAATGTTTATTTTCCTAGAAAACCAGGCAAATCTCAACTAAGTTACACTGGATAAAAATTATTTTCACTACTAACTAGTTATTCAACTAACATACTAAGGGTGTTGAATTGTTCATTTTAAAGCAGTTATTAAATAGGGAGGAAAGTGACAAAAAGTGCTCAGTAAAAATATTGTGTACCTTTTGGTAAGAAGTCACATGGAATTTATCTCAAATTGTGTAGCTAGAATATGAAGATGGTAAGGTTGATAGAGCATCAAACTGACTGCAGTACCAAAAACTGTACACACCTTTGCAATGTCCGATGAAATTGACATCTGAAACATCCAATCCAACTTCAAGCTGTCATTATGCAACACATCCTGAAAAATATTCAGTTATGAAAAGAGTGCACTTTTTTGGTCTGAAAAAATAAGACCTCAAGACCCAGTTAAGTGCGAGATATGCTGATAATTTGTCATTTCAAATCAGTTCTTATTTTACCTGGAGACTTCCTTTGTTGCAGTACTGGGTTAAGATGCAGATGTTTCCAGGATCAATACAGGCACCAATGAATGTGTTAACATTTTGATGGTTGATATCTTTCATCTGAGTAAACAAAGACCTTTTCGATAGAAGTCTTATAGCAATTGCAAATTTACAAAATAAATAAACATTTTTAACCTCATTTTGATGGCTTTCTACTGTTCAGATACATCTGATACATTCATCTGACTCAGACTTTTGGAGCTTTTTTTGTTCTAAAAATATTATAATGTAGAAGCAGGGAAAGTTATCAAAAAGAGGGAAGTTAAGACTTCAATTTTCTGTTTTACCTCTTTCAGTTCCAACAGCACTTCACGTTCCAGAGCAACTTTGGCCTTCTGTAATCTTTTGACAGCCACTAAATTCCCCTGTCAAGAATCAGAGTCCATAATTGACAAGGGTTACAATTGTTGGGAAAAGCTGAACTATGTAATTAAATTAATTAATTACTTATAAGTAATTAAATTAATTGAATACATTTATATAGCGCCATCTTCTATTAATTGTCCATGGCACTTTATAATACTCTAAAAACCGTAAAAATTAAAATCCTAAGAATTAAATACACCACAACTACCAGTAAAAACTACAAATCAATTGCACGCTTAAAAAGATAAGTCTTAAAATTAGCCTTAAAAGCTGCCTCTGATGACGAAAGCCTGATCTGGAGTGATAGTTTATTCCAGAGCCTTGGTGCCACCACGGAAAAAGCCCTTTCACCATATGTTTTAAAATTCGTTCTAGGCTCATCAAGCAACCTGTTGTTTGAAGATCTAAGTGTGTGATGAGAGTCATTAATTACTTCAATAGGTCTTTAATGTAATCTGGGGCCAGTCCATTCAGAGCTTTGTAAGTCAGCAACAATATTTTTAAAACTATCCTATAATGAACTGGCAGCCAATGTAAGCTCCTTAGTATTGGTGTGATATGTTCCTGCCTTCTAGTCAAGGTAACAAGGTGAGCTGCCAAGTTCTGTAAAAGCTGAAGTCTATTAATCAGATACTTCAGGAGACCATACAGTAGGGCATTACAATAGTCCAAACGTGATGTTATGTAAGCATGAACAATAGCCACAGTAGTACTCTGGGATAGGTATCACCTAATTTTAGCAATACTGTGAATGTGGAAAAATGCACTCTTGCATATTACTTTCACAGGTTCTTTGAAATCTAAATATTGATCGAATCCAACTCCTAAGTTCCTGGCCTGTTTACTAGATTTGATTACTTCTTTGCATATAGTCCAGGGGTGGTCGTGGATGATAATTAGAACTAATAACCAAAAGTTCCGTCTTATCCTGATTTAACTTGAGTTTGTTGCACAGCATCCAGCCTCCAGTCACCAATGTCCTTAACAGATAGCTCTATTGCCATATGTATATGTTGACAAAAAGTAAAGACTTTAAGTTTTAATACCTTGTTTTACTATGAAAGACATTTTTAAGTTGGCCTTTGTGCCATTTGATTCCTTTAAATAGTTTTTAATACCTTGATTCCTAAATGTACAACAAGTTAATTTATAAAGTGTTAAAAAGTAGGGATGATATACAAAATGAATAAAGAAACTGCATCAACTGATAAACCCCAAAGTGATATACAAAATGAATAAAGAAACTGCATCAACTGATAAACCCCTAAGGCCTTCACAAAATCAGTTATTTAATCTAAAATTATGCAGATTCCAAGTTTGCAGCATTTCACTAAGAGAGCTTTTTGTACAAGGTATTTAAATTGCACCAAGTATTTTAGTTACAGTATACAACCATGAATTTCACATGAATAAATATTTCCTCAAAGATCAATTTCATGTTTGTTAAAATGACAATCCTAAGATGAGAAATCTGACGAGTAAACAAATAAATTAGCATTTGTTCCTGATGAGAAATAAAGAGTTAAAGAGAACCTCATAAATTCCAAGAACAGTGAATATTTGTCCTCGGAGGTCCTCTATAGAGCCACGCTCACTTGCGGCTGTCATACTTCGCTGCAGAGAAGAGTTAAGAAGAGTAATTTATTAGTCTAAAATAAGTATTGATGCTTAGATCTATGATTGGGCAATTTTGTAACACAGTCCAAGTTTTCCATGTTCTCTCTGTTCATTAAGATGTTTTCATTATACAAGAATGGTTGGAGAATATGACTAGAAAATAATACAAATTTAAATAGGAATTGACACAGAGCATCAGTCATATCAACACTGACATACCCCACTCTTTCTACTCCCTAGCTTCCCTTTATTCTTTGGCCATTGTATGTCATCATATTCCACTTTCCATGTTTGAGCCAACAGTGATGCTTCAAAAGCTTGTTTCCTATTGAACACCAACAAAGATGAAGGTGAAAAAACAAAAGAGATTTCAGAGACTGTTGTTAATATTTTGGTGGGTTTAAGTCTTTTTCTATACCATTTCTCATCCAGGACGTTAAAGTTCAAGAGATTACTAATTTTTTTCTAAACACTTACAAGCTTACCTCTGCCACAATAAAAACCCAACCAGAATTGAAACAATCAAAACAAAGGTAAGACATCCTGCCAAGATGTATGGCCAAGTAGGATCCTCCTCTAGAAAACAAAAGTTATGACAGTTACGATTGAAATCAATGATGAACTTAAAGGCGTGATTATGTTGGAGATGTTAACTTCACTTTTAGGTGCACTATTATTATAACCCTCTGGGCTCAGTTTTTTAGTGCTAACCCAGGGTTAAATTTTAATCCAGGTTTCTTTATTTCTTTGTTCAAAAGCCTTTAAGGGAAAATTTTCCTAATTCTTTTTAGAACATACAATGATCAAATTACAAGCAAAAAGATGTGAACTGAATTTTCTTTTCAAGTTTTCAGACCTGAAATCAAATTTCACACTGTGTTATCTTAATCCAGTTTTGAACAACCTGGGCCTGGTCTTTTGACAGTACATTAATTAGCCCCACAACCTATATTTTTGACCTGGTTATCTGCATGCTGGAATTATCATACACTTTCTCTTGCTTACTGTTTCCAATGTGTACAGGGAACTCATATCTTGTTCAACTAGACTCTATAAATTTTTCCTTTACCTTTTGCAGCCTCTTTGCAAAATTCATTGTCAAAACCACATGCTGGTCTTCCAATGGGAATCTTTGTGGTACCACCATGCCACATGATTGTTTGATTCAAAAACTGAAGTTCTCCAGTTGTGCCAAAATAATTTGCAATTCTTGCGAGTGACTTGCCGGGTAGAAATGATTGCAGCCTGTAAGAGGCAACTCTGTCTCCCTTTTCATCAATACCAACAGGACCTGATGCACCTATTAGCATTGGAGAAAAAAGAATTCTCTTCAGCTCTTACACATGAATATTCACAAGCTTTTTTTCTTTGGAGCTCAGTGACACTGTTTTGCTAGAAAATTAATGTTATTGTCAGTAGTGATGTAGAATAATGACACAAAGGTGGTTTATCTGTACTTAATAAAATAATGCAAATGACAATATTGCTTGAAAGGGACATTTTAAATATATATTAATAGGTGAAACTGGGTGTATCAATAAGGATCCATCTTATCAAAAATTTTGCTTAAAAGCATGCTCACCTATGAATTGCTTTCCTATCATTGACTTAGACACATTTGCTCCTTCAGTTATGGCCACACCCTTGGTCAAAGATTCATTTAGGGCATATGCATACAAAAGAATGGCATCATGAAGGTAAGCAGCATAGAAGCTAGTCTAGCAGAAAAAAAGCAATAATATAATTAAGTCATTTTATGATCAGTAGGCTGATAATGAAGCGTTGGGATTGATAGGGGTCTAGGGAAGACTTATTCATGATATAACTTGGTGCATTGTTGAGTTTTGTCCTCTTTAATTTGTTTCATTTTATTTCATGAATCACAGTTGATGATTTCAGCTTTAGGGGTAATGTCTTGCTTAAATACATTTCAGGTGTGTAAGAGGTGTACTTACTTCATTAGGTGCACTCATTGCGTAGTTCAGTTCAGGCATCCTGTTGTAAACATCAGTAATAAAGTCTGTATAGTCCTGTGAATCTGGAATGTACTGACTAATGTCAATCATTCCTTCATAAGCTTTGCAAGCCTCATCATCTCTTTCATCACCAGCTTGGCATGACTCATAAAGTATCTCAGCGGAAATTATCACATAATCCCCATTCAACAGGCCCAGCTCGTTGAAGATAAGCACTAGACTTCTCATAAGATCATTATAGCAAAGTACCATTACAACTGTAAAGCGAAGATAAATTGGTCAATTTACAACTCTATTTTATCATGATCTTTTATTTAATATAAATTATTAAGCTTACAGCAGTTAGCAATTGTAATAAAGAACACAAAGGTTCATGAATATAAGCCAATATTGTCTGTATGCATGTCCTCTGTCAGGTTTGTTCTTGTTACTTACCATGTGCCTTGGTTGCCATTGACCTGACCATGGATTTAAGTTTGAAGAGGTCAGTTGCTCCAGGGGAAAAGCTACCAAAAAAGGGTACTGAATATTTGCCATCTTTCTCTATGGTGACCTTTGCATCATTAGCAGCCGCTGAGAAAGCTGTTTCTGTTGAAGACATGATTGCTATGCGATCCCATTTGAATTTTGCTAAGATGGCCCTTAAGAGATCTCCCAAACCAGCAAATGTACCAGTTGTCCGTACAAAATAAGGATAGAGTGTTTTGTCTGATAGTACTGTCGCTGCGCATCCCCAAGATACCATGGGAATGTTCCAGTGAGCTGCTATGTAGGCACCAGGGACACATCCCACTGAACATCCAGGACCAATGTAGACATCAACTTTGGGGTTTTCTATTGTGTAATAGTCCACCAATGTTGCAAGAGATGCTCCTGCTTCACATTTGCTGTCTTTAAGTACAAAGGTCAGGTTATGTCCTTGAAGCCAGTAAGGGTCACTGTTTACTTTGTCCCTAGCAATCAGAATTGCTGATGCCATCCTGGGACCACCAGTCCAACCACCAGTGAAAGGAAGAAAGACCCCCATTTTGATATCCCTTGCATAAGAAAGAGAAACTAAACAAAGGATAGATCCAAGCACAAGAAGAGGATTCATTGTTGTTTCCTCTGATCATATGTTTCTGAAAAATGAAAGAAATCCATGAATAAATAGGGAGCTCCCTTTGGCTTATTATTAACGCAGAGGATGTTATACCACCTAGATTTTTCTCAAAGAGCTCTTCAAAACCTGACTTCAAAACAACTGATGTTTATTTTTCTTTGTTTTTAGACAGGTTTTTTTTTTAAAGCTGTCTTACTTTTCCAAACACAGCAAATCAAACACATGGCTATCTGACCTAATTTAGCACAGGATGAATAACCTATAATTACTTTTTAAAAAAGGATATATCAACAGCTTTTATATTTTAAGCTTGACAGACAAATGAAAATGTAGCACCCACGCAGATGATTTCTGTTATTGAACCTTTTCTCACGTTTTATCAGCCGTTTAGGATGAAAATTTTCACTGGTTGGAATCAGTTTTTGGCATTTTTGCAAATGGGGCTTGTCTTGCAACAAAAATGTGAAGGTCGTTCATTTTGAATGAAAAGAGAACCTTGTTAAGATAAAGTCGAATATCAATTTCATCTTAGTATCGACTTCAGTTTCTGTACATTTGTTTTTTTGCTTCACCGGCAAATGTAAGAAACAATGAGAAAACTCTATTAAATCGAGCAATATTTAATTTTAGAGGAATTTATGGAGAGGACTTAGTCAGAAAAATGGCGAATATTCTTGCTCTAAGGAGTTTGCGCAAGGTCTTTTTTCGTACTTTACCACTGTGGTGAAAACTGCCGTCCGTATTCGCCATGTGGCTGCTGTTAACGATATAATATTTTTGGGGTGCATTGGAAGTCTTTGGTCCAATTGTTTCTCCAAATGCTTGCATTTATTACAATCAAGTAAGTTAACGAGTTATGTCCCCTCATACTTATTCATCTCGTTAGTTACCTCAGGTCACCTTTTCTAGAAGTAAGACAAGCCTTGTAGAAGACCCTTAAAGAACTTCGATCGAACTCCTGAAATCCCAACCTGTCACAACAAAAAAGAATATTTGTCAACTGCCTACTTAAAAAATTATCCTTACCATACTTTAAAACCCATTCATGATATAACCATTAGACATAAATTTCAGCTGGTTTTGGAGCAATAGTACGTTGTTCTTTCAACTATGCCATTTGATCTAAAACTCAAATTTTTCTCTATGAATTTGAGTTACTCACGTTGTGATATTCCTAGTAAAACTTTTTTTACAGTCCTGTCAAATCGTAACTTTTTCCGAGTGTAAAACCCCTTTTAAGCTAATCACGAAAAACAACGAAACTATTATGGCACAATTGCAAAGGTTTTCAATGAAGAAAACAATTCTTCAACCCAGGAGGCGTTGACACCAAAATGTGAGGGCGCTGCGAAACACAAGGCGAAATCTGATTGGTCGGTACATCAGATAACGCATTCTGATTGGTGTGTTCAAATGAGCCTTTTTAATGTATTCCCGCCATTTTGTCATGACGTACCATGCAGGGTGTGCGCACTGCATGAAGTAAAATTTTGAAGAGTAGACGATGAATGAAAAGGATAAAGCGGAAAAATTAAAAATGTTTCTTACTTTGAGATGGATTGTATTAATTCCTGTCTCTGTTTTATGTTGAAAGCAGTATCGAAATGTTTAACTACCTTCGGTGAATTGCACGATGCTAGGCAGCTTTTTGATGCAGGAAAGGCTGAACCGAGTAGAAGGGTTGGGAGCTGGGCGGAGGTGGGGCGCCCGGGGCGGGGGGCAGGCAGAGGGGAAATTTGCCACCGATTAGGCCTCTAAAAGAGGCTTTCACTTCTAATTCCTGCCTTTCATTCTTCTCATCTCAGCAAAGAATATTGGTATTGATTAATAGGATTCACAGGACTCGTCAAAATCCTAGAGATGTTTCTATTACTTGGCCAAATCAGCGGTTAATGGTGAGGAAATGTTGACTGACTTTTCGTATTAAAGTCATCTCTCGTCAAGGCCACCAGAGGATCAGAAAGACAAAATTCTTGTCAATTCTAGACTCCTAACAACATATCAAGTAAAAGGCACTTTGATCATTTTACACATAATTTAAAATATCGTTTTTGCCTGATTTGTCTCGACTACCTTTTGATATTTTTTTTACGCACGGTTGTTGTTGAGAAAAAAAAGAAAAAGTATTTGTCTGCAATTTCCTGATTCCTGCATAGATGTGACATGAAGCCAAAAACTGTCTTGTTTTGTTTTTCCGGGAAAGTAAATTGGTGACAGGGTAAGGCACCTTGTCCAAGAACAAGGAATAATTAGTTACAAGAATTTGGTATTAGATCAACAACAACTTCTATCTGATAAGTTTGTCAATGAGTATTTTCATAACCTGTTTGTTGGATAACGTATGGATATTATAGGGAGGAGTTGAATGTTCATCAATTCTGGAGTTAAAGGGTTAACTACACATAATGTATACTTTACAGAATGCAGTCAAGATAATGGCTAAAGATCTTCTGAGAACCAATAGATATGTCGAGAAATTTATGGTGATGCGTGCAAATGTCCAGGCGGTTTCACTCAAAATCCAGGTAGGTTGAGCACTGTCTAAAGGGGGCCTCTATCAGTTTGAATGCTTAACCCATTACACTCTAAAATCAGTATGCTTCTTATTTTGTATAACACTTTTAAATGATGACACTGAGATCAAGATAAAACTACAGTGAATGGACAGATGAGCCCGCGACGAGCCTGAAAGGATTTTAAAATAACAAGTCTTTGAAACAAATGTTCATATTGCCAGTAAAATGACTCTACGGAAGGTAAGGGAAGAAAAAGAGTTTCATTGCTTGCATCTACTTAAAAGAGTGCTCTTCCATGCCAGCCGCCATGGAGAGATCCGGAAGAGGTTTGTAAAATCCTTCTCTTGTTTTTAAGAAATACGTAAGGATGCTCCCCTTGCCCTGAAAGTTAAATGAAAAGCTTGATTACAATGTACCGTCATTCTGGACGAAGCACGTTGAGTTGGGATTTTAGAATATCGCAAGCATCGAATTTACAACTTATATTTGCTGCTTCAGAGTGCTAATAAGACTACTCGCTAACTTATAGCAGGTCGTCGTCTGAGGCAGTTACAGATGTTTCTACGAACATTTGAACACAAACTTCAATATGCATTCGATCCTAATTGCTTCATGCCAAGGATATTCTGATAAGTTCTCGCAGTAACAAAGCACTTGCTCTAAAAGATTTGATCATGTAAAATAGATAAAGGCTCCCTTACCTTCATTTCAACGAAACCTCTTTCTTGCAACACGTATCCACCAAGTTCATCAAGAACTTCTTTGCATTCAGGACTCACGTGAATTCGAAGAGCTGAAAAATCGTAGGGCTATAGTAAGTGAGGGAGTCAAAGCCGGAAAGGCGGACTGAAAATGAATTGCCAACAATTTTGAGAAAGGGATAACCAAACTGCGGAAATGTTGAAAGTTACTCCATAGATAAATGAAATTTGAGTTAAGGTACACGCTTATTAATGGAAACTGACTGAACGAGAGTGTCTGGGAAGGGAACAAGAAGATCAAAAATGTCATCGGTTCCAAAGAATCATGTACAACTGCTCAGCTCAACGCTTGTTAGTTAGACATCATACATGCAAAATCTTTCATACCCAAACAACCTAGGCCCTTTATGGAACCCTCTTCATTGTAGGGAATAACACTGAAGCCAATTTAAGGTTGAAATCAGCGCGAAAAACGGAATTTCCTACAATTCTCCCGTGTGAGTGTAAGGCATACTGAGAAGCTCTTCCTTACCCAAACCGGAAGACTCCATTCTTGACGCATAGTTGACCGTGTCACCAAACAGGCAATACCGCGGCATTTTGAGACCAACAACCCCGGCAACCACGGGACCTGAAAGGAGGCATTGTTTAAGTCAGAAACACAAATAATTTCCTCATACCAAATCTTTTATTTTTCTTTTGTTAAATTTTCCAGGGCTCCATAAGGGCGACGCTGAAGTGGTGATAACTCCCATGTTATGGTGATAATTATTTTATAACTTGGCGTGCCCCTTAATGTCAGCAAGACGCTAATCTCAATATCCTAGAAACTGAAGATTCTCACATGGAGCCTGATGAGATAACGCTAAAATTCAAACAAAGTACAACCGGACCAAATTGAACCATTTCTACAATATGTTTCGTACACTTAAAAGAAACTCTAGGACTTTCTCTCCTTTACAATTGAACATATGTCATTTTCCTTTTTTTCTGTTCTTGTGTATCCTTTCGTCTTTTTATGTTATATTTCTTCATTTCCGTTTTATTTCCAGTGTAATTAAATTAAGTTAGTTAGGAAAAAAAATTGTCTCGCCTCGATTAGCATTTGCTATCTGCGGGTCAAAGAAAGCTCTTGTAAATATGTATGAAAATAAAAATGAAAGTGTGAAGACCTGTGAAGTGTGAATCATGTACATAGGACTGATCCTCACATTGGAAGATCCCGCTAAACCCTTGTGCAAGTCAGTTTATGAACTCATGACCTGAAATGAAGCTGAGTTAGAAGGTTTCTAACCTGTATGAATCCCAATTCTGAGCTGTAGCTGCCTTCCTGGAACATGCCTTATTTTAAAAGTAGTCATTGCTGACAGCAAATCTAAGGACATGTTACTGATCTCGCCAGCATGTCTAATTCCATTCCTGTTTGGTAGCCCGGAAGCGACTACGTAGGCATCACCAATGGTCTCAACCTGAATTATAAGCAATGGATGAATAAAGGTGTTCTCCTGTCAAGGCATTCTATTAAAGTGACTCAACTACCGATGAGCTTAACCTTGTTTACGCTGGAGAAGACACTTAGGTACTTAGTCATGTAACATGTCTTACCTTGTAGACATCATGCATGTCAATGATTTCGTCAAAGCAAGTGTACAGGTCGTTGAGCAAGTCAACAATCTACAAACACATAAACCAAAAAAAAGTATTTTCTAACAAATCGATATCACGAGGTCGACTTACGACATGTCTATTCGGTAGCATATGTACCTGTAAGGGCGTGCTCTCAGATGCTAGCTTGGTGAAACCAACGATATCACTGAAAAAAAGTGTAGCGGAATCAAAGGTTTCGGCAGTAACAGGCTGCCCTCTCTTAAGTTCCTCTGCCACAGACCTGTCATCAAACAAAACCAAACAAAGAAGTAAGTAGCATAAGAGTGAATACAAAAGATGTCATCGTAAATACCATCAAATATCAGCGACCGTGAGCACAGGTTGTAAGACTGGGTTAGGGAATACACAAAATGGCGGCGTATTTGGATCTTCGGAAGTAGTTGAAATTTTCCACAGAGATAGTCAAGAATATATAAGTCAAATTATGGAAAGAATAAAAAGTAAGATTTCTGAACAGCCTGAAATCCAACCAAACAAAGCCTTCATCACCTCTTGGAAACCATAGCTGGATTGGCACACGCCATGCGTATACCTGACACCAAATGTATATCAAGGTACCGTGAATGTTGACTGTTGCAGGGTAAGGCAGCAGGCTTATTCCTTATTCTTATATGAATTGTATTGAAAAAGGTTTGCATGGTACTTAATTCTAGGCAGTTTTAAGTGCAATTTACTTTGGAAGCATCCTGTACAAAAGCTCGTCAGTCTTTGCTTTCTCAGCTGCAAGCTCAGCTGTTCGCTCAGCGACAATGTCTTCCAAGTGATCTGTGTACTTTTCCATCATGGTGATCATAGTATCCATAATATTGAAGTCCCTGAAGAAAACAAGCAGAAATTACAACAAATTTACGAATAGTGTGTCTCTCGTAAGCCATCATCATAAATGCCTCAAACCCAAATATTTCTGAAATTACTGACAATACCTTACACTTCTTTGTCTTTAAAATGTGTAAAGCAGAGACTTAGTGTTTTGAGATAGATGTAACAAACGTGTGTAATGAAACTGTAATTACAACAGAAACCTTCCAAACTCGGTCATCTGTTCACTTACTTTCCTTTGTTCATCCGCTTAAGATATTTGATGCAGTCCGAAAACTTAGGCCTGGCGAGTGGGTCCTGATCCCAGCACAGTTTCATCATGTCAACATAGAGAGTATGTCCTACAGTGTCCTTGGTGATACGTGGGCGGAAGGATGGGATCTCTCCTTTTTTAACACGCTCAACAACAGCTTAAGAAATGTTAAATCAAAGTTATACATAAGTGGAATTTTAGATCATAAAAATAAAAACTTCAACCTTACTTGAAGGTATCCTTAGCTATGCTTGTGTAAGTGGTAGTTTTATGTACCATTGTTCACTTTGAGTGGTAGATGAGTGAATATGAGCAGATGAGCAATAAAATAGGTGGAATTTTTAGGTTCCCCCGCAAAGTGTGCCCATTTATCTAATATCCTTCCTGTATGTGAAAGCTTCAGATTAGCAGCAAAGTATACAAGGCTAAACCAACATTTTGGTTTGTTTTAAAGCACTAATTCTCTTACAAATCAGTACTGTCAATACTTGATTCTTTTCAAATGGTATCAAACAAATTCCCAATTATTGCAGAACTAGTAGGTTTCCGTTTCTGATAATTGTAGGTCATTGAAGCAACACTCAATCCTCCTAGAAGTGCTTCCAATCATTAATTTTTATCTTTCTGGGTCTAACTGATAAAAAATGTTTGTGACCCTGTTTTTATAGTTAGTTAGACTTACATTCATGTAATGTAGTTTCAGTGCTACCTTAAAAAAATTGGCACAGAATACATACCCTGAGCTGACAAGTCCTCATACATGCTGAAGGGTAAACCACGAGTTACAATTTCAGAAAGGATGATTCCATAGCTGTACACATCTCCAGGTTGAGAATGAGGATACTGGTCATTGAGGATGTGTTCTGGTGCTTTCCAAAGATTGTCTTAAATTAGAAAGGAATCAGAAAATTATTGGACTGAACCAAACTCCTTTTCCCATCAAAAATGTATTTACCATAATACTTGGAATCTTCACCAGCTTCCACATCAATCTCCTGTCCTTCTTTGAAAAGAAACAACCCATGGTCCGTTAGTTTGCATGTCCAGCGGCTGTCAATCAACACATTTGATGACTTTAAGTTGCCATGTATCTGAACTGGACTATTCTGCAGGAAGTGCATGCCCTGTTGCACAATAAATTGATGGAAAATATCTTTTGATGAATGGGACTATGAATTCAGCTGATGCTATGGGATTTGATTAAAATGCAGCTTATTTGAGAGACAGGAAATGTTTATTTTCCTAGAAAACCAGGCAAATCTCAACTAAGTTACACTGGATAAAAATTATTTTCACTACTAACTAATTATTCAACTAACATACTAAGGGTGTTGAATTGTTCATTTTAAAGCAGTTATTAAATAGGGAGGAAAGTGACCAAAAGTGCTCAGTAAAAATATTGTGTACCTTTTGGTAAGACATCACAAGGAATTTATCTCAAATTGTGTAGCTAGAATATGAAGATGGTAAGGTTGATAGAGCATCAAACTGACTGCAGTACTAAAAACTGTACACACCTTTGCAATGTCCGATGAAATTGACATCTGAAACATCCAATCCAACTTCAAGCTGTCATTATGCAACACATCCTGAAAAATATTCAGTTATGAAAAGAGTGCACTTTTTTTGGTCTGAAAAAATAAGACCTCAAGACCCAGTTAAGTGCGAGATATGCTGATAATTTGTCATTTCAAATCAGTTCTTATTTTACCTGGAGACTTCCTTTGTTGCAGTACTGGGTTAAGATGCAGATGTTTCCAGGATCAATACAGACACCAATGAATGTGTTGATGGTTGATATCTTTCATCTGAGTAAACAAAGACCTTTTCGATAGAAGTCTTATAGCAATTGCAAATTTACAAAATAAATAAACATTTTTAACCTCATTTTGATGGCTTTCTACTGTTCAGATACATCTGATACATTCATCTGACTCAGACTTTTGGAGCTTTTTTTGTTCTAAAAATATTATTATAATGTAGAAGCGGGGAAAGTTATCAAAAAGAGGGAAGTTAAGACTTCAATTTTCTGTTTTACCTCTTTCAGTTCCAACAGCACTTCACGTTCCAGAGCAACTTTGGCCTTCTGTAATCTTTTGACAGCCACTAAATTCCCCTGTCAAGAATCAGAGTCCATAATTGACAAGGGTTACAATTGTTGGGAAAAGCTGAACTATGTAATTAAATTAATTAATTAATTATAAGTAATTAAATTAATTGAATACATTTATATAGCGCCATCTTCTATTAATTGTCCATGGCACTTTATAATACTCTAAAAACCGTAAAAATTAAAATCCTAAGAATTAAATATACTACAACTACAAGTAAAAACTACAAATCAATTGCACGCTTAAAAAGATAAGTCTTAAAATTAGCCTTAAAAGCTGCCTCTGATGACGAAAGCCTGATCTGGAGTGATAGTTTATTCCAGAGCCTTGGTGCCACCACAGAAAAAGCCCTTTCACCATGTTTTAAAATTCACTCTATGCTCATCAAGCAACCTGTTGTTTGAAGATCTAAGTGTGCGATGAGAGTCATTATACTTCAATAGGTCTTTAATGTAATCTGGGGCCAGTCCATTCAGAGCTTTGTAAGTCAGCAACAATATTTTTAAAACTATCCTATAATGAACTGGCAGCCAATGTAAGCTCCTTAGTATTGGTGTGATATGTTCCTGCCTTCTAGTCAAGGTAACAAGGTAAGCTGCCAAGTTCTGTAAAAGCTGAAGTCTATTAATCAGATACTTCGGGAGACCATACAGTAGGGCATTACAATAGTCCAAACGTGATGTTATGTAAGCATGAACAATAGCCACAGTAGTACTCTGGGATAGGTATCACCTAATTTTAGCGATACTGTGAATGTGGAAAAATGCACTCTTGCATATTACTTTCACAGGTTCTTTGAAATCTAAATATTGATCGAATCCAACTCCTAAGTTCCTGGCCTGTTTACTAGATTTGATTACTTCTTTGCATATAGTCCAGGGGTGGTCGTGGATGATAATTAGAACTAATAACCAAAAGTTCTGTTTTATCCTGATTTAACTTGAGTTTGTTGCACAGCATCCAGCCTCCAGTCACCAATGTCCTTAACAGATAGCTCTATCGCCATATGTATGTTGTAAAGTAAAGACAAGGTTTTACTATGAAAGACTTTAAGTTTTAATACCTTGATTCCTTAATATACAACAAGTACAAGAGTGATATACAAAAATGAATAAAGAAACTGCATTAACTGATAAACCCCAAAGGCCTTCACAAAATCAGTTATTTAATCTAAAATTATGCAGATTCCAAGTTTGCAGCATTTCACTAAGAGAGCTTTTTGTACAAGGTATTTAAATTGCACCAAGTATTTTAGTTACAGTATACAACCATGAATTTCACATGAATAAATATTTCCTCAAAGATCAATTTCATGTTTGTTAAAATGACAATCCTAAGATGAGAAATCTGACGAGTAAACAAATAAATTAGCATTTGTTCCTGATGAGAAATAAAGAGTTAAAGAGAACCTCATAAATTCCAAGAACAGTGAATATTTGTCCTCGGAGGTCCTCTATAGAGCCACGCTCACTTGCTGCTGTCATACTTCGCTGCAGAGAAGAGTTAAGAAGAGTTAAGAAGAGTAATTTATTAGTCTAAAATAAGTATTGATGCTTAGATCTATGATTGGGCAATTTTGTAACACAGTCCAAGTTTTCCATGTTCTCTCTGTTCATTAAGATGTTTTCATTATACAAGAATGGTTGGAGAATAAAGTTGAAAGAGTTAGTCTTCGATGACTGGAAAATAATACAAATTTAAATAGGAATTGACACAGAGCATCAGTCATATCAACACTACATACCCCACTCTTTCTGCTCCCTAGCTTTCCTTTATTCTTTGGCCATTGTATGTCATCATATTCCACTTTCCATGTTTGAGCCAACAGTGATGCTTCAAAAGCTTGTTTCCTATTAAACACCAACAAAGATGAGGGTGAAAAAACAAAAGAGATTTCAGAGACTGTCGTTAATATTTTGGTGGGTTTAAGTCTTTTTCTATACCATTTCTCATCCAGGACGTTGAAGTTCAAGAGATTACTAATTATTTTCTAAACACTTACAAGCTTACCTCTGCCACAATAAAAACCCAACCAGAATTGAAACAATCAAAACAAAGGTAAGACATCCTGCCAAGATGTATGGCCAAGTAGGATCCTCCTCTAGAAAACAAAAGTTATGACAGTTACGATTGAAATCAATGATGAACTTAAAGGTGTGATTATGTTGGAGATGTTAACTTCACTTTTAGGTGCACTGTTATTATAACCCTCTGGGCTCAGTTTTTTCAAAGGCCAATTAGTGCTAACCCAGGGTTCAATTTTAATCCAGGTTTCTTTATTTCTTTGTTCAAAAGCCTTTAAGGGAAAATTTTCCTAATTCTTTTTAGAACATACAATGATCAAATTACAAGAAAAAAGATGTGAACTGAATTTTCTTTTCAAGCTTTCAGACCTGAAATCAAATTTTGCACTTACTCTGGGTTATCTTAACCCAGTTTTGAACAACTTGGGCCTAGTCTTTTGACATTATACTTGCCCAACAATCCATATTTTTGACCTGGTTATCTGCATACTGGAATTAACATACACTTTCTCTTGCTTACTGTTTTCAATGTGTACAGGGAACTCAAACCTTGTTCAATTAGACACTATAAATTTCTTCTTTACCTTTTGTGGCCTCTTTGCAAAATTCATTGTCAAAACCACATGCTGGTCTTCCAAGGGGAATCTCTGTGGCACCACCAGGCCACAGGATAGTTTGATTCAAAAGCTGAAGTTCTCCAGTTGTGCCAAAGAAATTTGCAACTCTTACACTTGACATGCCAGGTAGAAATGATTGCAGCCTATAAGAGGCAACTCTGTCTCCCTTTTCATCAATACCAACAGGACCTGATACGCCTATTAGCATTGGAGAATAAAGAATTCACCTCAGCTCTTACATATGAGTATTCACAAGCTGTTTCTTTCTTTGGGGCTCAGTGACACAGTTTGCTAGAAAATTAATGTTGTTGTAGTTGTAGAATACTGACACAAAGGAGGTTTATGTGTACTTAATAAAATAATGCAGATGACAATATTGCTTGAGAGGGATATTTTTAATTCATGTTAATAGCTGAAACTGCTGGTGTATCAAAATGGATCCATCTTATCAAGAATTTTGCTTAAAAGCATGCTTACCTAGGAATTGCTTTCCTATCAGTGACTTTGACACATTTGCCCCTTCAGTTATGGCCACACCTTGGGTCAAAGATTCATTTAGGGCATATGCATACAAAAGAATGGCATCATGAAGGTATGCAGCATAGATGTTAGTCTAGCAGAAAAAATCAATAATACAATTAAGTCATTTGATGATCAGTAGGCTGATAACGAAGTGTTGGGATTGATAGGGGTCTAAGGAAGACTTATTCATGATATCACTTAGTGCATTGATGAGTTTTGCCCTCTTTCATTTGTTTCATTTCATGAATCACAGTACAGGATTTCAGGTTCAAGGGTAAATGTGCCTTGCCTTAATACATTTCAGGCATGTAAGAAATGTTCTTACTTCGTTAGGTGCATTCATTGAGTAGTTCATTTCAGGCATCCTGTTGTAAACAGCTGTTGTAAAATCTGTATAATCCTGTGAATCTGGAATATACTGACTAACATCAATGATTCCTTCGAAAGCTTTGCAAGCCTCATCATCTCTGGCATCACCAGCTTGGCATGAATCATAAAGTGTCTCCAAGGCAACTATCACATATTCCCCATTCAACAGGCCCAGCTCATTGAAGATAAGCATTAGACTTCTCATAGCATCACCATAGCAAAGTAACATGAAAACTGTAAAGTAAAGATAAGTTGGTCACTATACAACTCATTTTATCATGATCTTCAATTTGATATTAATTATTAAGCTTACAACAGTTAGCAATTGTAATAAAGAACACAAAAGATTATTTTGCATCAATATTGTCTGTATGCATGTCCTCTGTCAAGTTTGTTCTTGTTACTTACCACGTGCCTTGGTTGCCATTGACCTGACCATGGATTTAAGTTTGAAGAGGTCAGTTGCTCCAGGGGAAAAGCTACCAAAAAAGGGTACTGAATATTTGCCATCTCTCTCAAGGGTGACCTTTGCTGTATTAGCAGCCTCTGAAAAAACTGTTTCTGTTGAAGACATGAAGCCTATGCGATCCCATTTGTAGTTTTCTAAGAAGGCCCTTAAGAGATCTCCCAGACCAGTGTATGTGCCAGCCGTCCGTACAAAGTAAGGATACTGTGTTTTGTCTGATAGCACTGAAGCTGTGCATCCCCAAGATATCATGGGAATATTCCAGTGAGCTGCTATGTAGGCACCAGGGACACATGCAACTGAACATCCAGGGCCAATGTAGACATCAACTTTGGGGTTTTCTATTGTGTAGTAGTCTACCAGTGTTGCAAGAGATGTTCTTGCTTCACATTTGCTGTCTTTAAGTACAAAGGTCAGGTTATGTCCTTGTAGCCAGTAAGGGTCACTGTTTACTTTGTCCCTAGCAATCAGAATTGCTGATGCCATCCTGGGACCACCAGGCCAACCACCAGTGAAAGGAAGAAAGACCCCCATTTTGATATCTCTTGCATAAGAAAGAGAAACTAAACAAAGGATAGACCCAAGCACAAGAAGAGGATTCATTGTTGTTTCCTCTGATCATATGTTTCTGAAAAATGAAAGAAATCCATGAATAAATAGGGAGCTCCCTTTGGCTTATTATTAACGCAGAGGACGTTATACCACCTAGATTTTTCTCAAAGAGCTCTTCAAAACCTGACTTTAAAACAACTGATGTTTATTTTTCTTTGTTTTTAGACAGGTTTTTTTTTTTTAAAAAGCTGTCTTACTTTTCCAAACACAACAAATCAAACACATGGCTATCTGACCTAATTTAGCACAGGATGAATAACCTATAATTACTTTTTAAAAAAGGATATATCAACAGCTTTTATATTTTAAGCTTGACAGACAAATGAAAATGTAGCACCCACGCAGATGATTTCTGTTATTGAACCTTTTCTCACATTTTATCAGCCGTTTAGGATGAAAATTTTCACTGTTTGGAATCAGTTTTTGGCATTTTTGCAAATGGGGCTTGTCTTGCAACAAGAATGTGAAGGTCGTTCATTTTGAATAAAAAGAGAACCTTGTTAAGATAAAGTCGAATATCAATTTCATCTTAGTATCGACTTCAGTTTCTGTACATTTGTTTTTTTGCTTCACCGGCAAATGTAAGAAACAATGAGAAAACTCTATTAAATCGAGCAATATTTAATTTTAGGGGAATTTATGGAGAGGACTTAGGCAGAAAAATGGCGAATATTCTTGCTCTAAGGAGTTTTCGCAAGGTCTTTTTTCGTACTTTGCCACTGTGGTGAAAACTGCCGTCCGTATTCGCCATGTGGCTGCTGTTAACGATATAATATTTTTGGGGCGCATTGGAAGTCTTTGGTCCAATTGTTTCTCCAAATGCTTGCATTTATTACGATCAAGTAAGTTAACGAGTTATGTCCCCTCATACTTATTCATCTCGTTAGTTACCTCAGGTCACCTTTTCTAGAAGTAAGACAAGCCTTGTAGAAGACCCTTAAAGAACTTCGATCGAACTCCTGAAATCCCAACCTGTCACAACAAAAAAGAATATTTGTCAACTGCCTACTTAAAAAATTATCCATACCATACTTTAAAACCCATTCATGATATAACCATTAGACGTAAATTTCAGCTGGTTTTGGAGCAATAGTACGTTGTTCTTTCAACTATGCCATTTGATCTAAAACTCAAATTTTCTCTATGAATTTGAGTTACTCACGTTGTGATATTCCTAGTAAAACTTTTTTTACAGTCCTGTCAAATCGTAACTTTTTCCGAGTGTAAGACCCCTTTTAAGCTAATCACGAAAAACAACGAAACTATTATAGCACAATTACAAAGGTTTTCAATGAAGAAAACAATTCTTCAACCCAGGAGGCGTTGACACCAAAATGTGAGGGCGCTGCGAAACACGAGGCGAAATCTGATTGGTCGGTACATCAGATAACGCATTCTGATTGGTGTGTTCAAATGAGCCTTTTTAATGTATTCCCGCCATTTTGCCATGACGTACCATGCAGGGTGTGCGCACTGCATGAAGTAAAATTTTGAAGAGTGGACGATGAATGAAACGGATAAAGCGGAAAAATTAAAAATGTTTCTTACTTTGAGATGGATTGTATTAATTCCTGTCTCTGTTTTATGTTGAAAGCAGTATCGAAATGTTTAACTACCTTCGGTGAATTGTACGATGCTAGGCAGCTTTTTGATGCAGGAAAGGCTGAACCGAGTAGAAGGGTTGGGAGCTGGGCGGAGGTGGGGCGCCCGGGGCGGGGAGCAGGCAGAGGGGAAATTTGCCACCGATTAGGCCTCTAAAAGAGGCTTTCACTTCTAATTCCTGCCTTTCATTCTTCTCATCTCAGCAAAGAATATTGGTATTGATTAATAGGATTCACAGGACTCGTCAAAATCCTAGAGATGTTTCTATTACTTGGCCAAATCAGCGGTTAATGGTGAGGAAATGTTGACTGACTTTTCGTATTAAAGTCATCTCTCGTCAAGGCCACCAGAGGATCAGAAAGACAAAATTCTCGTCAATTCTAGACTCCTAACAACATATCAAGTAAAAGGCACTTTGATCATTTTACGCATAATTTGATATATCGTTTTTGCCTAATTTGTCTCGACTACCTTTTGATATATTTTTTACGCACATTTGTTGTTGAGAAAAAAAAGAAAAAGTATTTGTCTGCAATTTCCTGATTCCTGCATAGATGTGACATGAAGCCAAAAACTGTCTTGTTTTTCCGGGAAAGTAAATTGGTGACAGGGTAAGGCACTTTGTCCAAGAACAAGGAATAATTAGTTACAAGAATTTGGTATAAGATCAACAACAACTTCTATCTGATAAGTTTGTCAATGAGTATTTTCATAACCTGTTTGTTGCATAACGTATGGATATTATAGGGAGAAGTTGAATGTTCATCAATTCTGGAGTTAAAGGGTTAACTACACATAATGTATACTTTACAGAATGCAGTCAAGATAATGGCTAAAGATCTTCTGAGAACCAATAGATATGTCGAGAAATTTATGGTGATGCGTGCAAATGTCCAGGCGGTTTCACTCAAAATCCAGGTAGGTTGAGCACTGTCTAAAGGGGGCCTCTACAGTTTGAATGCTTAACCCATTACACTCTAAAATCAGTATGCTTCTTATTTTGTATAACACTTTTAAATGAAAACACTGAGACCAAGATAAAACTACAGTGAATGGACAGATGAGCCCGCGACGAGCCTGAAAAGATTTTAAAAGAACAAGTCTTTCAAACAAATGTTCATATTGCCAATAAAATGACTCTACGGAAGGTAAGGGAAGAAAAAGAGTTTAATTGATTGCATCTACTTAAAAGAGTGCTCTTCCATGCTATCCGCCATGGAGAGATCCGGAAGAGGTTTGTAAAATCCTTCTCTTGTTTTTAAGAAATACGTAAGGATGCTCCCCTTGCCCTGAAAGTTAAATGAAAAGCTTGATTACAATGTACCGTCATTCTGGACGAAGCACGTTGAGTTGAGATTTTAGAATATCGTAAGCATCGAATTTACAACTTATATTTGCTGCTTCAGAGTGCTAATAAGACTACTCGCTAACTTATAGCAGGTCGTCGTCTGAGGCAGTTACAGATGATTCTACGAACATTTGAACACAAACTTCAATATGCATTCGATCCTAATTGCTTCATGCCAAGAATATTCTGATAAGCTCTCGCAGTAACAAAGCACTTGCTCTAAAAGATTTGATCATGTAAAATAGATAAACGCTCGCTTACCTTCATTTCAACGAAACCTCTTTCTTGCAGCACGTATCCGCCAAGTCTATCAAGAACTTCTTTGCATTCTGGACTCACGTGAATTCGAAGAGCTGAAAAAATTGTAGAGCTCTGGTAAGTGAGGGAGTCAAAGCCGGAAAGGCGGACTGAAAATGAATTGCCCACAATTTTTGAGAAAGGGGGGACCAAAATGCAGAAATGTTGAAAGCTACTCCACAGGTAAATGAAATTTGAGTTAAATTTTTTATGTGACAAAGGGAGGGAGCATGGAGTGTAAGTACCGACGAAAGAGTTAGATCGGCATCCAAGATGATTGGTATTTGAGACCCTGGAACACCGCGTGTTCCAAGGTCTCAAGATATATTGTTATTTTTCCAATTTCTGAAGATAAAAAATGTCTTCGGTTCCAAGGAATCATGTTTCTTAGCTCAACGCTTGTTAGTTAGACAAGCGGGATCTTTCATACCCAAACAACCTAGGCCCTTTATAGAACCCTCTTCATTATAGGGAATAACACTGAAGCCAATTTAAGATTGAAATCATCGCGAAAAACGGAATTTCCTACAATTCTCCCTTACGTGTGAGGCATGCTGAGAGGCTCTTCCTTACCCAAACCGGAAGACTCCATTCTTGACGCATAGTTGACCGTGTCACCAAACAGGCAATATCGCGGCATTTTGAGACCAACAACCCCGGCAACCACGGGACCTGAAAGGAGGCATTGTTTAAGTCAGAAACACAAATAATTTCCCCATACCGACTCTTTCATTTTTCTTTTGTTAACTTTTCCAGGGTTCCATAAGGGCGACGCTGAAGTGGTGATAACTCCCTTGTTATGGTGATAATTATTTTACAACTTGGCGTGCCCCCTAATGTCAGCAAGATGCTAATTATATGCATAGAACTGATCCCCATAACTGAAGATCCCGCTAAACCCTTGTGCAAGTCAGTTTATGAACTCATGACCTAGAATGTAGCTAAGTTAGCTTAAGAAAGGTTTCTAACCTGTATGAATCCCAATTCTGAGTTGCAGTTGCCTTCCTGGAACATGCCTTATCTTAAAAGCAGTCATTGCTGACAGCAAATCTAAAGACATGTTACTGATCTCGCCAGCATGTCTGATTCCATTCCTGTTTGGTAGCCCGGAAGCGACCACGTAGGCATCACCAATAGTCTCAACCTGAATTATAAGCAATGGATGTATAAATGTGTTCTCCTGTCAAGGCATTCTATTAAAGTGACTCAACTACCACTGAGTTTTACCTTGTTTACGCTGGAGAAGACATCTTAGTGTTCAGTCATGTAACATGTCTTACCTTGTAGACATCATGCATGTCAATGATTTCGTCAAAGCAAGTGTACAGGTCGTTAAGCAAGTCAACAATCTATAAACGGATACACAAAAGAAAGTATTTTCTAACAAATCGATATTACGAGATCGACTTACGACATGTATATTCGGGAGTACATGTACCTGAAGGGGTGTGCTCTCAGATGCCAGCTTGGTGAAACCAACGATATCACTGAAAAAAAGTGTAGCGGACTCAAAGGTTTCGGCAGTAACAGGCTGCCCTCTCTTAAGTTCCTCTGCCACAGACCTGTAATCAGACAAAACCAAACAGACAGATAAATGGCATGAGAGTGAATACAAAAGATGTCATCATACATATACCATCAAATATCGCAAATATCAGCGACCGTGGGCACGGGTTATAAGAATGGGTCAGGGATTACACAAAATGGCGGCGTATTTGGATTTGAAGAAATGTGCTCTTCGGAAGTGGTTGTCATTTTCCACAGAGAAAGTCAAGAATATAACAATCAAATTATGGAAAAGATAAAAAGTTAGATTTATGAACAGCCTGAAATCCTACCAAATAAAGCCCTCATCACCTCTTGAAAAACATAGCTGGATTTGCACACGCCATGCGTTTACCTGACACCAATTATATCAAGGTACCGTGAATGTTAACAGTTGCAGGGTAAGGCAGCAGGCTTATTCCTTATTCTTATATGAATTGCATTGAAAAAGTATTTAATTCTAAGCAGTTTTAAGTGCAATTTACTTTGGAAGCATCCTGTACAAAAGCTCGTCAGTCTTTGCTTTCTCAGCTGCAAGCTCAGCTGTTCGCTCAGCGACAATGTCTTCCAAGTGATCTGTGTACTTTTCCATCATGGTGATCATAGTATCCATAATGTTGAAGTCACTAAAGAAAACAAGCAGAAATTACAACAAATTTACGAATAGTGTGTCTCTCGTAAGCCATCATCATAAATGCCTCAAACCCAAATTCTGAAATTACTGACAATACCTTACACTTCTTTGTCTTTAAAATGTGTAAAGGAGAGACTTAGTGTTTTGAGATAGATGTAACAAACGTGTGTAATGAAACTGTAATTACAACAGAAACCTTCCAAACTCGGTCATCTGTTCACTTACTTTCCTTTGTTCATCCGCGTAAGATATTTGATGCAGTCTGAAAACTTAGGCCTGGCGAGTGGGTCCTGATCCCAGCACATTTTCATCATGTCAACATAGAGAGTATGTCCTACAGTGTCCTTGGTGATACGTGGGCGGAAGGATGGGATCTCTCCTTTTTTAACACGCTCAACAACAGCTTAATAAATGTTAAATCAAAGTTATACATAAGTGGAATTTTAAATCACAAAAATCAAAACTTCAATCTGACTTGAAGGTAGACCTTAGCTATGCTTGTGTAAGTGGTAGTTTCATGCACCATTGTTCGCTTTGAGCGGTGGAACAGTGAAATTGAGCAGATGAGCAATAAAATAGGTGGAATCTTTAGGTTCCACCACAAAGTGCACCCACTTATCTAAATTGTCCTTCCTGCATGTGCAAGCTTCAGATTACCAGCAAATTATGCAAAATTATGCTAAACCAGCATTTTGGTTGGTTGTTAAGTACTATTTCTCTTATGCATCAGTTCTCTAATGTGATCAGAATGTGATTCTTTGTTTGTTGAATGCCTGCCTTTGAGATTCTCTTGTTTTTTCTGAATATTTCCTAATCTTTTTGCTTTTAGAGCTATGTTTTGCTTATTTCTGAACTCAATATTTCTTCTCCTTCTTGTCATGTATTCCTTCATAAAAGTTTCCTTTTCATATTTCATAAATTGGCACAGAATACATACCCTGAGCTGACAAGTCCTCGTACATGCTGAAGGGTAAACCACGAGTTACAATTTCAGAAAGGATGATTCCATAGCTGTACACATCTCCAGGTTGAGAATGAGGATACTGGTCATTGAGGATATGTTCTGGTGCTGTCCAAAGATTGTCTTAAATTAGAAAGGAATCAGAAAATTATTTGACCAAACCAAACTACTTTTTTTTTTTTATCAAAAATTGATTTACCATAATAGTTGGTATCTTCACCAGCTTCCACATCAATCTCCTGTCCTTCTTTGAAGAGAAACAACCCATGGTCAGTTAGTTTGCATGTCCAGTGGCTGTCAATCAACACATTTGATGACTTTAAGTTGCCATGTAACTGAACTGGACTATTCTGCAGGAAGTGCATGCCCTGTTGAACAATAAATTGATGGAAAATATCTTTTGATGAATGAGACTATGAATTCAGCTCATGCTATGGGATTTGATTAAAATGCAGCTTATTTGAGAGACAGGAAATGTTTATTTTCCTAGACAACCAGACAAATCTCAACTGAGTTACACAGGATAAAACTTTTTTCACTACTAACTGTTATTCAACTAGTATAACTAAGGGTATTCAATTGCTTAGTTTAAGCAGTCATTAAAAAAGTGATCAAAAGTAAGTGCTCATTAGAAATATTGTGTACCTTTTGGTAAAAAGCCACATGGAATTTATCTCAAATTGTTTAGCAAGAATATGAAGATGGTAAGGTTGATAGAGCATCAAACTGACTGCAGTACCAAAAACTGTACACACCTTTGCAATGTCCGATGAAATTGACATCTGAAACATCCAATCCAACTTAAAGGTGTCATTATGCAACACATCCTAAGAAAAAATTCAGTTATGAAAACAGTGCACTTTTTTTGGTCTGAAAAAATAAGACTGCAAGACCGAGTTAAGTGCAAGATGTGCTGATAATGTGTCATTTTAAATCAGTTCTTATTTTACCTGGAGACTTCCTTTGTTGCAGTACTGGGTTAAGATGCAAATGTTTTCAGGATCAATACAGGCACCAATGAACAGGTTGACATTGTGATGGTTGATATCCTTCATCTGAGTAAACAAAGACCTTTTCAACAGAAGTCTTATAGCAATTGTAAATTTATGAAATAAACATTTTTAACCTCACTTTGACAGCCTTCTATTGTTCAGATACATCTGATACATTCATCTGACTGAGAGTTTTAAAAGGGTTTTTTTTGTTCTCAAAATATAATAATAATGTAGAAGCTAGAAAAGGTGTCAAAATGAGGGAAGTAAAGACTTCAATTTGCTGTTTCACCTCTTTCAGTTCCAACAGCACTTCACGTTCCAGAGCAACTTTGGCCTTCTGTAATCTTTTGACTGCCACTAAATTCCCCTGTCAAGAGTAAGATAGTCCATAATTGACAAAGGTAACATTTGATGGGAAAAGTTTAACTATGTATGTTGTAAAGTAAAGACAAGGTTTTACCATGAAAGACTTAAGGTTTTAATAACCTGATTCCTAAATATACATCAAGTACAAGAGTGATATACAAAAATGAATAAAGAAGCTACATTAACTGATAAACTCCAAAGGCCTTCATGAAACTGTTTAATTTAAAATTATGCTGGTTCCAAGTTTGCAGCATGTCACTAAGAGAGTTATTAGCATAAGGTATATTAATCACACAAAGTATTTTTGCTATAGTACATGTTGTTGCTGGACAACAATTAAACTGTACTGGTCTGTTATTTCACACACATGCCCATGGCCCCTAGCAATGAGCTGGCCTGTCATTTGTAACATAGCAACACAGCTAGAGATGAAAGTACAGGAAGCAGGAGGGACAGTACACAACAATGTAGTTCTCATAACTAAATATTGCCTCAGAAGATGGATTCCTTGTTTGCTAGAAATAACAATCCCAAGATGAGAAATTTGATGAGTAAACAAACAAATTAGTATTTGTCACTGATAAGAAATAAAAACAAATTTTAAGAGAACCTCATAAATTCCAAGAAGAGTGAATATTTGTCCCCGAAACTCCTCAACAGAGCCATGCTCACTTCCTGCCATACTTTGCTGCAGGAAGAGTTAAGAAGAGTAATTTATTAGTCTAAATTAAGTATTGATGCTTAGATCTATGTTTAGACAATTTTGTAACATGGTCCAAGTTTTCTATGTTCTCTCTGTTCATTAAGATGTTTTAATTATACAAGAATGGTTGGAGAATAAAGTTGAAAGAAGCAGTCTTAGATGACTAGAAAATAATACAAATTTAAATAGGAATTGACATAGAGCATCAGTCATATAGACACTGACGTACCATACTCTTTCTACTCCCTAGCTTTCTTTTATACTTTGGCCATTTTATGTCATCATATTCCACTTTCCATGTTTGAGCCAATAGTGATGCTTCAAAAGCTTGTTTCCTATTGAACACCAACAAAAACAAAGGCGAAAAAACAAAAAGAGATTTCAGAGACTGTTGTTAATATTTTGGCAGGTTTAAGTCCTATTCCATACCATTTCTCATCCAGGTAATCAAAGTTCATGAGAAGGCAAATTTTATCTAAACACTTACAAGCTTACCTCTGCCACAATAAAAACCCCACTAAAATTGAAACAACTAAAACAAAGGTAAGACATCCTGCTAAGATGTATGGCCAAGTAGGATCCTCCTCTAGAAAATAAAAGTTGTAACCATTACAATTGAAATAAATGACCAACTTAAAAGCGTGATTATGTTGGAGATGTTAACTTCACTTTTAGGTGCACTGTTATTATAACCCTCTGGGCCCAGTTTTTTTCAAAGGCCGATTAGTGCTAACCCAGGGATAAATTTTAATCCAGGTTTCTTTATTTCTTTGTTCAAAAACCTTTAAGGGAAAATTTTCTCTTTTTTTTTTAGGACATCTAATGATCAAATTGCAAGCAAAAAGATTTGAACTGAATTTTCTTTTAAAGCTTTCAGACCTGAAATCAAATTTCACACTAACCCTGTGTTATCTTAATCCAGTTTTTGAACAACCTGGGCCTGGTCTTTTGACAGTACATTAGCCCGACAACCTATATTTTTGACCTGGTTATCTGCATGCTGGAATTAACATACACTTTCTCTTGCTTACTGTTTCCAATATGTACAGGGAACTCATATCTTGTTCAACTAGACTCTATAAATTTTTCCTTTACCTTTTGCAGCCTCTTTGCAAAATTCATTGTCAAAACCACATGCTGGTCTTCCAAGGGGAATCTTTGTGGTACCACCATGCCACATGATTGGTTGATTCAAAAGCTGAAGTTCTCCAGTTGTGCCAAAATAATTTGCAATTCTTACAAGTGACATGCCGGGTAGAAATGATTGCAGCCTGAAAGAGGCAACTCTGTCTCCCTTTTCATCAATACCAACAGGACCTGATGCACCTATTAGCATTGGAGAAAAAAGAATTCTCTTCAGCTCTTACACATGAATATTCACAAGCTTTTTTTTCTTTGGGGCTCAGTGACACTGTTTTGCTAGAAAATTAATGTTATTGTCAGTAGTGATGTAGAATAATGACACAAAGGTGGTTTATCTGTACTTAATAAAATAATGCAAATGACAATATTGCTTGAAAGGGACATTTTAAATATATATTAATAGGTGAAACTGGGTGTATCAATAAGGATCCATCTTATCAAAAATGTTGCTTAAAAGCATGCTCACCTATGAATTGCTTTCCTATCATTGACTTAGACACATTTGCCCCTTCAGTTATGGCCAAACCCTGGGTCAAAGATTCATTTAGGGCATATGCATACAAAAGAATGGCATCATGAAGGTAAGCAGCATAGATGCTAGTCTAGCAGAAAAAAAGCAATAATATAATTAAGTCATTTGATGATCAGTAGGCTGATAATGAAGTGTTGGGATTGATAGGGGTCTAGGGAAGACTTTTTCATGATATAACTTGGTGCATTGTTGAGTTTTGTCCTCTTTAATTTGTTTCATTTTATTTCATGAATCACAGTTGATGATTTCAGCTTTAGGGGTAATGTCTTGCTTAAATACATTTCAGGTGTGTAAGAGGTGTACTTACTTCATTAGGTGCACTCATTGTGTAGTTCAGTTCAGGCATCCTGTTGTAAACATCAGTAATAAAGTCTGTATAGTCCTGTGAATCTGGAACGTACTGACTAATGTCAATCATTCCTTCATAAGCTTTGCAAGCCTCATCATCTCTTTCATCACCAGCTTGGCATGACTCATAAAGTGTCTCAGAGGAAATTATCACATAATCCCCATTCAACAGGCCCAGCTCGTTGAAGATAAGCACTAGACTTCTCATAAGATCATTATAGCAAAATACCATTACAACTGTAAAGTGAAGATAAGTTGGTCAATTTACAACTCTATTTTATCATGATCTTTTATTTAATATAAATTATTAAGCTTACATCAGTTAGCAATTGTAATAAAGAACACAAAGGTTCATGAATATAAGCCAATATTGTCTGTATGCATGTCCTCTGTCAGGTTTGTTCTTGTTACTTACCATGTGCCTTGGTTGCCATTGACCTGACCATGGATTTAAGTTTGAAGAGGTCAGTTGCTCCAGGGGAAAAGCTACCAAAAAAGGGTACTGAATATTTGCCATCTTTCTCTATGGTGACCTTTGCATCATTAGCAGCCGCTGAGAAAGCTGTTTCTGTTGAAGACATGATTGCTATGCGATCCCATTTGAATTTTGCTAAGATGGCCCTTAAGAGACCTCCCATACCAGCAAATGTACCAGTTGTCCGTACAAAATAAGGATAGAGTGTTTTGTCTGATAGTACTGTCGCTGCGCATCCCCAAGATACCATGGGAATGTTCCAGTGAGCTGCTATGTAGGCACCAGGGACACATCCCACTGAACATCCAGGACCAATGTAGACATCAACTTTGGGGTTTTCTATTGTGTAATAGTCCACCAATGTTGCAAGAGATGCTCTTGCTTCACATTTGCTGTCTTTAAGTACAAAGGTCAGGTTATGTCCTTGAAGCCAGTAAGGGTCACTGTTTACTTTGTCCCTAGCAATCAGAATTGCTGATGCCATCCTGGGACCACCAGTCCAACCACCAGTGAAAGGAAGAAAGACCCCCATTTTGATATCCCTTGCATAAGAAAGAGAAACTAAACAAAGGATAGACCCAAGCACAAGAAGAGGATTCATTGTTGTTTCCTCTGATCATATGTTTCTGAAAAAATGATAGACATTAATGATTAAATAGGGAACTCTCTTTGGCTTATTATTACTGCAACGGATGTTATACAACCTAGCATTACTCAGGACTGATCTATAATGGGATAAACTTCAAGAAGTAACACATTATTGTCTCATAAGAAACTGATCTCTGTTGTACTGTAGCACGTTGATAGGTTAAACTGGAGGAGTACATTAAATGGAGAAGTGCATTTCCCAGCTATGTTTCTGATTTTTTGTTCATATTTATAGATTTTTTCTCAAACAGCTCCTCAAAACCTGACCTAAAAACACTTGATCATTTTTCCTTAGTTTTCAGACAGTTTTTTTTTTTAAGCTGTCTCACTTTTTCAAAAACAACAGATCAAACACATGGCTAGCACAGGTTGAATAACCTGTAATTATTGTTTTTTTAGAGGGCACGGTAACGAATCTTGCAATCTGATTGGTTCTTTACCCAGTCAGTATTTTCTTATCTCTGCCCACGGGCCACGGTAACGCTTTCGTGAGTCGCCGAGTACATCCCAACTTTAGGGGCTGTCCTGGTGTACCGGTACACGAGGGAATTTCTTTTGTTTTCATAACCATACATGGAGTTATGACGCAGTTCGTTAATGTTTCCTTCCTTTGTGTACCGGTACACGAGGACACAACCCAACTTTCGTTGTCATTTTTCATAAATATACCTCGTTTTCCGGCTGGGCAGTATTTTTAAGCAAACACGTCGGTCACTACCTCAAGCCGATAAATAACTTATGAATCCTCTCTTTTCTCTCTATCAAATCACTTTGGTTGACAGAAAAATATTGGTTTCAGAATGAATTTGTATAAACAATAGTGTCATTACGTTGGTTGACAAGCGGCCTAAAAACCGTCTGCAATTAATTTTAATCGTTCACAAAAAGTACCCAGAAAGTTGAAACGTGAGGTATTTGGTTACAGTTAAACTGAACGATGGAACTTTCATTCATTTAATATCTGAATTTTCTCGAGCAATTTGTTCATAGTGAAAGAGCGAGCGAAGTTTTAATTTAAGTTCTACAACAAATATACGCTCCTAGTGAGTCTTTCCAATTCCGTTCAATTTGGACATTTGTACCTTAATTTGCACAACAGAAATTGAAGGAATTTTTTGAGAAAAGGCCGCATTACATTCCCTTGTGTCTCGTTGGAGTGTGCCGTTCGAATTTAGTTTTTGTGAAGGAAAGATCAGAGTTAAACACGCCATTACAGCAAACAAACGAGCAAACTCTCACAACTTCAAAATAAAAAAAATTGAATTTACTCACAATTACTTTCCTCGCCGTTTACTTAATGAACAGAGGTAAATCTTCGTACATGAATGAATGGTCGATGAGAGTGAATAATACTTTCCGTTAGATCATTGACTGATTTTGAAGAAAATATTGTCGTGACAGTCCTTGCCAAACTAGTTCTGTTGGTTTTCAAATGTTCCTACGCTTTTTTTTTTCTTGCGCGCTCTCTAATTGACAGATGTCAGATTGTGACAGATACTTGTAAAAATAATGTTTCAAAGTTTGTTTGGAAGCCTTTTAAATCACCTTTATCGTTACGGAAATGAAAATGTTTCGCTGAGGCATCTCTCTTTAATTTGCATCACCTCTATTTCAACTACCATTTACTCACTCAAAAATTGTTCAGTTTATGGAAGATCTTGCCGTATTTACGGCTATAAATTATTCGCGTTCTTTCGGAAAGAATTTCGTCAAGTTTAAAAACAATAAATATGTTATTTACCGGCTAAGGGTCGGTCCGTATGGTGGAAAACTGTGACCTCGGTCATGAAAATGCTGCCCTCGGCCTACGGCCTCGGGCAGTATTTTCAAGACCTCGGTCACAGTTTTTCACCATACGGACCTCCCAGCTGGCAAATAACATATATTTATTTAAAAAAGGATATATCAACAGCTTTTATGTTTCAAGTTAGGCAGAGAAATGAAAATGTGGCACGCACGCAGATGATTTCTGTTGTTGAACTTTTTTCCACAGTTTATTAGCCGTTCAGGATGATAATTTCCCCTTATGGAATCAGTTTTCGGCATTTTTGCAAAGGGGCTGGTCTTGTGACAAAAAAGTGAAGGTCGTTCATTTTGAATAAAGAGAGCACCTTGTCAAGATGATGTCGCAATTCAATTTAATCTAAGCAACGATTTCAGTTTCTGTACATTTTCCTTTTTACTTCGCCGGCAAATGTAGGAAACAATGAGAAAACTCTATCAAATCGAGCAATATTTACTTTAAGAGGAATATATGCAAAGCAAAAAGCAAAAAAATGGCGAATATTCTTGCTCTAAAGTGTTCTTGCAAGGTCTTTTTTCGGTCTACGCCACTATGGCGAAATCGCCAAGTGGCCGCTGTTAACAATATAATATTTTAAAGGCGCATTGGAAGTCTATGGTCCAATAGTTTCTCCAAATGCTTGCATTTTTTACGGTCAAGTAAGTTAAGAACGAGTTATGTCCCCTCATACTTATTCATCTAGTTGGTTACCTCAGGTGATCTTCCCTTGCAGTAAGACAAGCCTTGTTGAAGACCCTTAAAATTTTTACAGAACTTTGTCCGAACTGCGGAAATGCTAGCCTGTAACAACAGGAAATAGTATTTGTCAAATGACTACTTAAAAAATTATCCTTACTAAATTTAAAAACCCATCCATGATCTAACTATTAGACATAAATTTCAGCTGGTTTGGAGCAATAACATGAACTTTCAACTACACCATTTGATCTGAATCTCAAACAAATTTTTCCCTATGAATTTGAGTTACTCACGTTGTGATATTCCTGATAAAGCTTTTTTACAGTCCTGCCAAATCGTAACTTTTTCCGAGTGCGGAACCCCTTTGAAGCTAGTCAGGAAAAACAACGAAACTTCAACCCAGGAGGCGTTGACGCCAAAAAATTTGAAGGCGCCGCGAAACAACAAAACGAAATCTGATTGGTCGGTATATTAGATGACGCATTCTGATTGGTGTGTATAATGAACCTCTGATGTATTCCCGCCATTTTGACGTAGTGACATTCGTGACATTCGTGACATTCATGACGTAGTGTGCAAAGTGTGCGCACTGCATGAAGTAAAGTTTTGAAAAGAGACGACCACGAATGAAAAGGATGAAGCGGGAAAATGAAAAATGCTTCTTACTTTGAGATGGATTGTATTAATTCCTGTCTCTGTTTCATGTTGAAAGTAGTATCGAAATGTTTAACAACCTGTGAATTGCTCGATGTTAGGCAGCTTTTTGATGCAGGAAAGGTTGAGCCGAGTAGAAGGGTTTGGGACTGGGCGGAGGTGGGGGCGCCCGAGGCGGGGGGCAGGCAGGGGGGAAATTTGCCACAGATTTGGCCTCTAAAAGAGGCTTTCACCTCTAATTCCTGCCTTTCATTCTTCTCATCTCAGCAAAGAATATTGGTATTGAATAATAGGATTCTTAGGACTCGTCAAAGTCCTAGAGATATGTTTCTACTACTTGGCCAAATCAGCGGTTAAACTATCTTTGCAACTAAGCTATCAAGGTGAGAAAATTTTGGCTTTGACTTTTAATAATTAAGTCATCTCTGATCTCGTCAAGGTCACCAGACGATCAGAAAGACAAAATTCTAGTCAATTCTTAACTCTTAACAACATATCAATTAAAAGGCGCTTTGATCATTTTATGCATAATTTGATATCGTTTTTGCCTGATTTGTCTCGGTTACCTTTTGATATTTTTTACGCACGGTTGTTGTCGACTTTTTTTTTTGTTTTCTTGCCTTCTACTTATATTTTTGCTTGTATGAAACCACAACTAATTGATTAACTATCCATTTTATGACCATAGATCAATAGGTGAAGCCGAACTTTACTGATCAGAGAATTATATAAATGAAGTGCACAGAAGGATACTAAGTATGAGGAGATAAAATTCACCGCTAAAATCCAAAAACAAAATCCACCGTAAAGTCGGTGTTCGCTTAATATAGACTTCACTTAGTACTGGTTTAAGAAAAATAATGTCAATGTAGTCAAACGACAAACGGAGCCGGTTATTTCTCCCAGCAGCAGCTATGGCGAGCTTTGGGTCAACGCCATGACGTCAGTTTCCCCATCGAGTCACATGACGTATAAATTCGCGATTTGAGCCCACGATTCTACAGTGACGTCGAGTTTCTATTTTGGAAATTTAACTAGTAAGGCAGGCTTGTAATCGATCAAAATTGTTCCAGCTTTCCTCGATTCAGAAACATTTTACTCTTCCAAACCTAGTGTAGTGAAAGGATTTGGTCATGGATTTTTTATTTGGCAAGAGGAAGACTCCTGAGCAAATGCTTAAGCAACATCAGAGAGCTTTAAACAGAGCGATGAGGTTCGTGTTATTTTAGTTTTCAGAATTTATGTACTGTTTTCCAATGTCTTGTAAACTTTTAGCTGATATTGGATTCTAAAAGGCAAATGCTGCTTGCTTTTGTATAGTGTGCACATTTAAAGAGACAGTTTTTTCGTAGAATTTGTCTCTTTCTGCGTAAGATTTGTTTCCAAGGGAAATTATTTATATTTCACTTAAGAGCGAATGCTTGACATGGTGCTGTAGCTCTAACTACTTAGTACGTCGAGTTGTTCGAGCATTTCGTTCGACACAGTAATCGATTATCCTGTTATCGCAAGCATCTGAATTGATTTATCATCCTGGGTCGTTCAGTGGTAAAAATTTCATATTTTGCCATGGCTTCTGGTATCTCAGCTATCCTTCATGTACAACTCAGGTTATTTCAGTCCAGTTCTTCATCTCTTATCATTTTTAAGAATTTTGAATTCATATATTTCAGAGATCTTGATAGAGAGCGAGCCAAAATGGAACAACAAGAAAAGAAAGTCATAGCTGATATAAAGAAAATGGCAAAACTTGGACAGATGGTATGTCTGTAAGAATTACAGATTTATTATGTTGTTTTTGAAACCTTAAGATGTTTTAGCTTCCACTCAAAATAATTATATAACTCTTGATAGCTACAATATTATAGTATGTGACTGTGACTGTTTTACCTTTTACCAGACATGAGTCTGTTTCATGCCTCGTGGGGTTTCAGATCTTCAGTTTAAATTGGTATCATTGAAAATTCTTTATGATTGCCAGGAGAGTAAGCACAGTAGTTGCCCGTTTATTTCAATTCCCAAGTTTGATTACCTGTTAAACATATACTTTAACCACTCATCCTAGACAGACTTCTGAGTATTATATCTTGTAGCTGAAAACCAGTGGAAAAGTTGAAAATCCAGCTCAGTTTGCCAGTTTTGATTTATATGGTATCTTACCACAATTTTTCCCATACCTCACAGTGTCTCTCTAAATCGACTTCATTTGTGTCTATATTCAGCATATATCCCCTGTACATGTACATCTCCCCAACAGATATTTTTCTCATCTTCAATTCTTAATATTTCAATATCCTGGTATGTTCAGTCACATTTACTCCTTGAATCTCATTCTTGTGCATCCAAGCATTGCAGACCAGCTGTTAAGAAATTTTAACTTTTATGTTTGGTTTTTCCTCCCCAGCTCCCTCAGGCTCCCTTGAAGTTGTGGCCTGTGTCCCCACCCCCTCTCCTCTCCCTTTCTTCCTATGCCATTCCCTTCCAGCCCTTTCTCCAGGGGTGCCTATGTCTATACCCCCCCCACTACACAGCATGAGTTTTCTATTCAAGTAGGAGGCAGTTCCCTCCTGTTAACCCTTAAATTCCCAAGATCTGATTGTACATCCTCCCCTTTAGCTGCTGCAGATTTCCTTGTAATTAGTTACAAGAATTTGGTATTAGATTGACATAACAACTTCTATCTGATAAGTTTATCAATGAGAATTCTCATTACCAGTTTGCTGGATAATGTATGGATATTATAGCGAGAAGTTAAATGTTCATCAATTCCTAGAGTTAAAGAGTTAACTACACATAATGTATACTTTACAGGATGCAGTCAAGATAATGGCGAAAGATCTTGTGAGAACTAGAAGATATGTCAAGAAATTTATAGTAATGCGCGCAAATATCCAGGCAGTTTCACTCAAAATCCAGGTAGGTTAAGCACTGTCTCAAGGGGGCCTCTATCAGTTTGAATGCTTAACCCATTACACCCTAACATCAGTATGCATATTCTCCATACTGCTCTTTATACATTTCCTAAGGAGGAAAACAAGGAGAATTTTTTTACCAATCGAAAGCTTCTTTTGTTGGTGATCATTTCCTTTATTCTCATGACCTTAACATGTGATTCAGGGCTGATATTGTTGGGAGAAATTTGATGCTAACAGGGCTAAAAATTATTCCAGTGCTTGGTGGCCAGTTGGGCCAGTTTCCTTGAATTCTTAGTGTCCCATCCCAAAATGAAGTTGCCCTGGATTTCCTCTAGTTTAAAATGAAAAACTTGAATAAATGCCCCTTGGCTTTTAACAGAGTGTTAATTCAAAGGAAAGAACACAAAGTTCAGAGTCACTTGGTAATCACAAAATCAAAATGGCATCTATATGTTGTGAATGTAGATCACTTGTGAAATCACTGTTAAAACAGCTCGGAATTTCCACTTCAGAACTAAAAATTCACTAAAATGGATGATCTTAAGAGTCCACACAAATTTCTATTTTTTACTTTGTACTTCCCATAATTTACATTGCAACTTTTCAAAATTCTGTAGCATAGTCACACATCGGGCGTTCAAACCTTAACCTTTGGTGGCCCTGTTCAGTTTTAACTCACCACTGGCAACCATGCAACCGCCAATTTTTAGCCCTGTGCTAGTCATTCTTAGGGTTTAAAGGGTTAAAAGAAAGAAAGATGTCAGAGATTTGTTGCGAAAATTCTGAGTTTCTCTTGAAGGAGATTCCCTCAAAATGATATATACATGTAAGGAAATTGATATGACTGTGCAAATTGCACAGAGTAATTTCCACAGTGTACCACAGTTGTGTATGTTGACTCGTAAAAATAATTGGTGTGTGAATCATTGATGGCGCAGTTTAATTGTTTGGATGAATCTAATCTAGGGAAATGAAATATTAGAAAGGAGTAGATTTTGCCAGAAAAAAAAAAAATTCAGATTTTTTTTTTATATTTTAATGCTTTGCTAAATACAACTGTCAACTTGTTGACCCCTTACAGTGACCAACATGTAATTTCTCCTGAGAAGATCCCCTGAATCAAACATTAAGGTCATGAGAATAAAGGAAATGATCACCAACTAAAGAAGTTCTGGATTGTTCAACAAATTCTCCTTGTCAGCACCTCAGGAAATGTATAGAGAACATTATGGAGAATATGCATACTGATTTTAGAGCGTAAAGGGTCACTAAACACTTGTTTATTATGGAAATTAATCACCAAGCTGCACCTCCCCACAACTTGTCATCATATGCTTTCTCAATGTTGTTTTCAATACTACTGAATGCAAAAAGATTTATATTTAGTTGAAATTAATGTGTTTTCCCTTTCTTTTTTCTAAAGGGAAGGCCTTGATTTTCAAAGATTTTGACATTTTTCCTTGCCTAAATTTTCAAATCATAATTTTAGGTGCTACAATCTTGTACCCAGGCAAATCAATTTTTTCTCTTTATTGACAGAGATAAGTTTGAAATCTTGTTAATTATCCACCTGAAACTAAAAAATACACAAGATAAAAATAGCAACTGTCAATATTTCCAAACTTACCTTCATTGTTCTTGTCCTGAAGGAAAATTATTTTACATTATTTTATAATAAGTTTGTTAGAAATTGTCATTATCCAGATTATGTTTTGGGTCTTTTTAAATTTTTATGGGTGAGAGATGCAGCCGGTTTATGAGTAACAAAATACAAATTGTATTAGCATCTTGAATTCGACAATATAATTTTCCTCCCATCAAGAGATGCAGCCAGTTTATGAGTAACAAAATACAAATTGTATTAGCATCTTGAATTCGACAATATAATTTTCCTCCCATCAATTCAATCATTTGTACAGGATTTTGAAATTGGTATTAAAAGAAGTATTCTGGTTACCTGAAGCTATTGGATAAGGTAGTTTATGCAACCATTGCCCCACTATTGAGAGTTTCTCGATTTAAATTTTATTTTGACACCGTTATGAGCAATAACTTGAAATGCAGATTTTTATCAATTAGATTTGAACATCCTCTAACATCTGGAAATGTCAAGTGGATAGAGTGCCTTTTAATTGAAAAAAAAATTGGTTTGATTTTTGGGCTGAAGAGTGTACTAAGAAATAAGTTTTTTAATAACTTCTTTTTGTCACTCAGATCTAATAACATCAACTGTAAAATTTACCTTTGCTTTATAATTTCTCTTATTAATACTGGTTTTAATTTTTAATTCCTAAATGATTTGACTAAATTTCTTGCAATTTGACCCTGACTGATTGTATCAAATGGAAAATTTACCTCAGTTTATTATCTCTTGTACTGGTTTTAAAAGTCTTACCTGTAATTCCTAGAAAAAAAATCTTTTTTGCATGTCAGTGCCTTCAAATTTGCAGCCATTATAAATCATTCTTTATTACAAATTTCCAACTAAGTGCAACGTAATGTATTAAAAGTACTTGTGGTTGTAAACTTCATTTGGCAAATGTATAGGTTGCTCCTTAGTTTGGTTCCCCTGATTAGCTTCGCATGTGGGTTGAGTGTGTTGTTGGTTCTCATCTTTGCATTTAGGTGTCTCTTGTAGTTCTCCACTTTTCCTATCTCAGCAATAAACCAAATTCCATTCAATCTTGCAGAGGGCTTCACTTTCAACGTTTGCTTGAGTGATTGGTTTGTTTATTTTACAGACATTGAGATCCAATAACGCCATGGCACAAGCAATGAAGGGAGTTGCAAAGGTATGATGTTTACAATGGAAATTGTTAATTAACCCTTTAACTCCCAGATCAAATTTGTTATTCTCTTTACTGTTGACCACACAATTATTTTAATGTTAGTTCAGAGAATTTAGTTTTGGATCAACTTATTATCCTGAAATTGATATTTTTCTTTATTCTCATCACTTGTCTGGTTGATATTGTATTGATACTGTAAGGAGAAATGCTGTCTTGATCACTCATGGGAGTTAAAGGGTTAAGGAGAAGATCAAACTGGCATCTTGACTGCTCAAATGTTTTCAAACATGTAAACTCTTGAGCAAATGATGCATTTGACTACTGGGTGTGGGTTTTGTAGTGTTTAGTAGTCAGAGTCACATATTTTTGAAGATTTTGTGTGTACAAGTTATTAACCAAATTACTGTTTGGTGGAGTTTTTGGCCTGTAATCTGAAAGAGGCTTTTTGTAACTGCTTATGCACAGAAAGGGTGTGGGCAGAATGAAGGTTTTGATACAACATCTACTTCTCCCTATGTTTCAGAGGAGAATACAAAAAATTGTGGATGGGAAATCTAATCTAAGAGTCTTACTACCAGAAATTACTTGAGGATTTTTTTTTCTAAGTGCCCCTTTGAAATCATTATAACAACTTTTTGAGATAGCTAATAGTTTTTTGTTTTCATTCTTTTCTGTTCAGACAATGGCAACCATGAACAAACAATTAAAAATGCCACAGATTCAGAAGATCATGATGGAATTTGAAAAGCAGGTGAACTGTAAATTATGGAAAATCTAGACAGTCAGGGTTGACTTTAGAAGCTGATAAGTGGCGGAAACCCTGTTGGCTGTCAGACAATTTTGTGCCAGCTATTTTGTAAACTGTGAACAAAGACAGAAAACAAGTATTTTGATTATAACATCAATTTCTGTTCAAGAAAACTTAATCAGACAAATTTTTCCCAGAATGCTGGAAATCACATTTGAGAGAGTTTCAAATGTTTGTAGGGGAGCATACCTTGCAACATGTTAGGCTTCCTACCCAAGTATAACTCAATAGTGCGATAACTCAATTCAACCAACACGCAGTTCAGATCATACAATCATTATATTTTTTAATGACCACCCTGGCCTTCAAGATTTATTCGTGTTAGTGATTTTTTTTTTAAAGAGGATTTTGAATGAAAGGACTGGTTTTTACTTTCAGTCTGAAATTATGGACATGAAAGAAGAGATGATGAATGATGCAATTGATGATGTCATGGGAGATGAGGAGGATGATGAGGAGAGGTAACAGAGGAACCTGACAATTTTTGGGGAAATTTTATTGGGAGGAAGATGGAAGTATCTTTTAACCAGTGGTCTACACACTGAAGGGAAAATATGGGCTAATGCTCAGTGCACTGGTACACAGGGTTGAGAGAATCAGAGTGGAGACCTGGCCACGTCATTGTATTGTGTTGTTCGACAAAACGCTTAATTCCCACAGTGCCTCTTTCCACTCAGGACAGGGTTGTTCAAAGCTGGGTTGAGATAACCCAGTGTTGGTGTAAAATTGGATTTCAGATTTGAAAGATTTAGAAGAAAATTCAGTACAATTTTCACTTTTCTACAATCTGGTGATTGGATGCTCTTATAAGAACAGAGAAAATTATCAGGAAAGTTTTTATACAAAAAGGTTCAGAGAAACCGAGATTAAAATTTAAACACTGGCTTAGTGCTAATCGGCTTTCAAACAACTGGGCCCAGGAGTATAAATGGATTCCAGCAAATTAGCAGGAAGGTTTGATTAAATCCTGGGAGGTAACCTTGCAATGGACTGGCATCCTATCTAGGGGGTGGTAGTGAAGCCACTAGTTGCTTCATGCTAATTTACACCAAGTTTAGTAGATGTTCTCCACAAAGACCCAGTCAGGTGTGGATCCATGAACCTGTTGATCAGAAGCCCAGTTCATCAATAAATACTCTACAAACGTAAAGGATGGCTTAGTTGTAACTCTTTCTAATGATCTGAAAGAACTCCACAAATGTTAGTTTTTTTTCCTCTTTAGTGAGCAAATAGTACAACAAGTGTTTGACGAGCTAGGACTGACACTGAATGACGAGGTAAGTGTTACCACAGTCAAACCTCCTGCAAGTGAGTACTATCAAAAATGGCAAGCCTTTAGGCACTCATAACAGTCAATGACAACTGTAGATGCACCAATAGAGCAATTTTCTATGGAGCATTATATGTTATCAGGAATTGCTTTGGTTTAATTTAACTCTGTGATTGGCCCAGAAAACCCGTGCCATCCTCTCAACCAATGAGTTGCCAAACTTACAACAACCGCGTCTTAGTCATTCGCGTTTTCCCGCGCTTCAAGCAGTTTGCTTGTTTTCCCTTCGAGATCTCATTGACTAGCGGTAATTTAAACCTTCGTTCCGATTGGTCTCTGTGAATACTTAAGTTTTATTTTTTCGACGCTCAATTGAAAACAGCTCTAAGCTTTGTGCGGGAAGGTTTGATTCCTCCAGGGTTTAATTTCTCACAAGTACTCAAACTTTTTTCTGTCCTACGCCCACACTCATGATAAGATGAAGAAACGTCTTTCTTCATTTAAGGATGTGAAATTTTGGAAAAAGTGATCGCAAACAATAAGGGAGTATTAAAAATTTTAAGCTTGAAGCTCAAAGGACTTTGGTATCCTTTTTCTGAGTTAGATCAACTTAAGGTATATCACATTTGATACTTTTTTTCAGCTTACGGGACTGCCGACCACTTCGGGAGGTATAGCTGCTAAAGAAGCTCCAAAACAGGCCGTAGCCACCGCCGACGCCGACGCCGACCTTCAGGCCCGGTTAGATACTTTTTGTTTTGTTTTATATACTGTGGATGCTTTCAACACTGCTGGTTCCAGAAGTATCCAGGGCACTCGTCAGAAGTACTCACGTGTACTGCAGCACCCCACGCGCGTCATGCGCCTGTAATTAGGGGGAATTACGCGCGCTTCCAGAGCGTCTAGATACACGCATCATTATAAAAATAACACTTAAGCAGTGTTTTACATGCAGATGCGTGTAGTGACGCACATTGTGTGTGTTTCGAGCTTGCAGAGCGTGGGATTGCACGCGTGTCAAACTCGTGTGATGCTGCGGCACGCGCGAGTGTTACTGTACGAACCTAGCTACGGCTTAGCCCAGCAATGAGCTCTCAGTAACCTAGTTGAGAGAGCAAACGACCCTGAAATTCAGTTCTTCTGGCTGGGATTGGTATTCTTTGAAGAACTCAGAAGATTTTCTTTGTCCTACGTTCGCGTCTGTCCTTGCACATGACGCTTTTGACGTTACTGGCCCCACAGACATGGTCATGAGGGTTGGACATTTTCTTCAGCTCAACTTCTGTCCCTCCCCACCCCTATGCACTAAAGAGAAAACACTGGGCCCTCTGAGGAAACCGATCCTGACCTCGACCGTAAGCGTTTTTTTAATCTTTTTTTTCCCTAACTGCTGTAAGCCCCGTGATCCTTTTAATGATATAACAAAAAGCTAGTCTGACTTCCTTTCTAACTGATGTGCACTAGACCTAATGACCAATTTTGTGCGCTTTAAACGCCAAAAGATGATGACTTAAAAGCGGAAAATACTCGAGGTTCGTTCGAACCCTCAAAGTGAGGACAAATCTGAAGCACCGTATATTCCTACAATGACCCAGAGAATTAAGCGTATATGCGATCTACTAAAAGTTTCAAGTTTACTCAATGAAATATCGCAAACTTGAATTTCCTCCTGAAGCAAACTTTAACTTAACTTGGAAAAACATTTCAAGTCTTTTACTCCTACGATCAGCTCACTAGAACGCCCTTCTCTTGAGCGGATGTTCGTTTTCCTCGGCCGTTCGAGTTAGCAGGGTTCTCTCCTATGTGTTTATTTGAGTTTTAACCTGTTCTTTCTTTTAGGTTGGAAAATCTCCGAAGGGAATAAAAACAACAAAGTCCGAATTTGTTGGATTAAACTTACCAACTTTTACATTGTTAAAGAACGTTAGATTTTGTTCTTCTAATGTTGAAAATACGGTCTTAAGTTTCTCATCTGTATTTTAATCAGTGTATCTAATTGTTTTGTTTTGTTTTGTTTTTTTTTACATTACTATCGAGGAAATGTTTAATGATAAAGTCTTAATAGCTGTTGAAGGGAATGTTCCTCTCAGCTTGTTGTGTCTGAATGCTTTATGTAAACCAGGAGCGTCCAATTGGATGTAACATGTGAAAGGGTTCAGATGTGTTGTAAATACCACCGCGTAATTCTCTTCAAATAAACATATTTTAAAATGCCATACCTTATGTTTGAAGTGTTTATCTGGGTTTTCGGTGGTTATATGTAAACTTTTTCCCAGCGTTCTCAAAATATGCGTGTGGAAACATAGCATGTTTACACGCAAATTTTATGTACATGGTTAAACGAAGTTTTTGGAACGCTGCTCTTTTTTTGTCCAGGAGATGATATGATGGCCCTAAGCTGATATTTAAAATCTTTATCTATACTATTCAGACAACTTCAAAATTTCAGGAAGTTCAGAGAGCAGCAACCTGAACTTTAAAACTCCCAGAAAGAAAACTGTTCATTTCTCCTCATACTTCGCGTGGAAACAACTTGACCAACTGAGAAATATTGACGACCTGAAAATTTTTTTTCCGGTGAATTATTAAAAAAGTGGGGGATTTTTTTCTCTTTTTTTTCTTTTACTATGGGTGGTTACCATGACAAGTGAGACTGTTTTTAAGCTTGTTTTATACGTTGTTTTGTCTGCCTGAGGTAGGCGTTCTCGGCAGAAGGAGATTTCATGTCGATCTGTGAACTTTACCTTTCGTCGTTGAAAAAATGCGCTTGTAAAGTTTTATGCGAAGCGTTACGAAGACTTCTCAGTGATTTTAGCGCAATAAAATTAATCAGGCTGAGCCTAAATTGTTCTGAAGCGAAATCTTTTAACAACGGACTGAGATTGATGTGTTGATTGCAGGCAGTAATGAAATGAAAAAGGGTTGAGGAAGTCATCGACATTTACGAATTGAAAAGCTAAGGAGGAAGTTTGTTGGCACTGTAATTTAGGGAATTTTAGGTTTCATCAAATTGGTTTCTGATGGTGGTCATAAAATTCCTCCAAAAAAAACTATTAAACAGTCTGAAAATGATATCGAGTCGATGTTGCTTAATTATTCGGGGCCCGAATTGAAATGTGTGAAAGTTTTATTTAGGAAAAAAATCAGATCGTCAATCCTAATGAGTTCATTAAACTTTCACACTTTCCTTACAGAGTTAGATCAGTTTTTCTAAAAAGGGTCATTTCGTGAAAAGCATTTAAATTAGACATTGCTCTCTACAGAGCCGATTCCTCTGTATGGCGCTGATCTCTCTCCATAGCGCTGATATTACAGGCAATTCTGTATTCTTTTTGCTCGGTTCGAGGAATGTCCTAGAAACTCTAATTGCCTAAGAAATTAAACTGATAGCGTGAAGTTTTAGCAGACTATAAATTTGAGAATTATTTAAATCATAGCACTTTAAGCAATTTTTACCTGAGGCAATGAGATTTACTCAAATTTTTATCAATTTAATGGCAATTTGCCTTTCTAAAAATATACTTAGCTTAAGGCTATAAACACACTTTGTGTTCTCAAAGGTTTTTGGTGTAGTTTAATATACCGCGCTGCTGATATCGCTCAAACTCTTGAATCAGCAGAAGCGTCGTCGCTAGTTGTGAAGAAACTGTTACCAGTTCTAAGGCGACTGTCAGGCGTCAAACGACACAACATGAGGCTTTTTAGTTTCGCCTTTAAGGCGGGGTTCTGCGTGAAGTACACAAGAGGATTGGCAAAACTGCTTGTGAAAGTAAACATGTAAGCAAAGGTTAACAAGTTGTCCGAATAATTCACCTCTTTTCCAAACGTTATCCACAGCCAAACCACTTGATGCGGCAACATACAAACCGCGAACACAACAACAAAGAGAATTACCATACGCATGGCGCGAACGTGTCGCCTTGAGCGTTTTAAACGCGCCTTGTGCGTCCCTGAAATGATACTCGCTCCTTCCCGTTGACCATGGCGGATGCGAATAGCGATGCGTGCATAGCAGAAGGTGATGATTGTTAACGGAATCACATAATGGAAGGCGAACAATCCAAGCGTATACACTTGTGATCCGATTGCTCCCCATGTTTCGCTGCACTGTCCTTCCTCGAGACGCAAAAAAACGCCGTATGGCACCACGATTATTAACGAAAATAACCAAATGAAGATGACTGTGGCGAACGAAGACTTTCTTCCTGCATTTCTGCTTCGCATTTGGTGCACGATTCCTTTGTAACGTTGTATACTCATCGCGGTGAGAGTTAGCACCAGCGCTCCAAAAGGTGCTGTCTGCATTGGCCATAAAATGTGGCACATAAAAGGACCGAATAACCAACCATCGTTTAAAAATAACAAGGTAAAGTCAAGTGGAATGCTGGTGATTGCAACAGCAGACTCTGCCACGATCATGTTGAGCAGCAAAATGTCTTTGCGCGAGAGGAGGCGAGATCCTCTGTGGAGGAGGACTGCTAGCATCGCTGCGTTCCCCGCCATACTAAGCACGAAAATCATGCCATAACAAATCTGTTGAACAATTCTTTGTGTAAGAAAAGCTGGTATTCGTTCTGAATCTGTGGTGTTTATTGCCGGAACAGAATCAGCCATATTTTCGTAGCACGAATCGTTCATCATTTAAATCTGGTTGCGTTTGAATTCAGTGTCAATGAATATGCGCGCACTTTTGGCATAAACTGAGAGTTTTTGCCTTAGCCACCTCAGCATCTGATTCCTTCTGCTATACAAACCACTTATCCGTTTGAAAATGGAGCGGATATCCGTTTGTTTTAGTAACTTCCATTGAATTTCGCCTACGTTAATTGATGTTTTCTTCTTTATGGTTTTTAGGGGCACGAGAAAAGCGCCGCTCTATAATTAAACTTTAATGTCCTTGGGAGGGTTGATGCTACAAAATAAAATATGCAGCCTTCCGTTGATAATTTTAATTAGTTATATTCATTGTCATTTTAAAAGAAACTCGAATTTAAATATCGATTTTACTTCATAAGTGCCATTTTAATTATAGATCGAATGAAGGTAAAATAAACCGCCCGTTTAATTTTGGGTTAAATTGTGACCAACTGCTGTGGCTGGCTGACAAGTGTAAAATACGTATAAGGAAAACAAAGGCCAGTTTACTCTTGAAATAAGCCATTTCGCTTTATGGTAGCGTGTAATTGAAAGGCGATGCGTATTAATATTTAATCTTAGCCCCATTTCTGACAATCAAGCTTACCGTTTTTGATTTCAAAAGTGCTACATTTCAGTACAGAAGCTTTAATCTAAGTAATTTCACAAAAAAGTAGCGCGCAAGAATTCTTGGCGCAAATCTTAAACTGGGTGTTCGTGTTCCTACTTGATCGGTAGACTAAAGCCAAACCTAAATCCGTACTTTTCAGAATCTCATTATAACGGCTCAGAGGTTATTTTCAGAGCCGAAACTTTACCACTTTAGAATCCTACTTGAGATAAGATTTGTAAATATCCGATTTTTAGAATGATAAACTCTGTTTTAGGTTTTTTTTTTCCTTTTAGGTTTTGCTTCTTGATTAGTTTTATGATTATCGCTATGGTTAATGGCGCAAAAACTCAACTCTGTTTTTTTTTTACACAGAAATTTTAACCTGAATGTTTCAACTTAGTTTTGTGCGGGTGAAGAGAACCAGTTTTTTTGTTCAGACTTGAAGAATTTCAGAATCAAATTAAAGCTCAAGATTACGAAAAAAATTATCATGTCTTTACCGCATGACGTTATTAGGTTAATATTTAACCACACCGTCTTAGGCGTTACACGTGAGATGATATCTGAATCACCTTTGTTGAAAACCTTGTAACATTCTAAAGATTTTTTCTGGTCTTAAAATCAACTAAACTAAAGCTGCTAAGCAGTAGTAACTGCATGGTTGATACAGTTTATCTTTATCACTCTGTCGGGCATTGTAACGCATTTTACGCGCTTAAATGGAGATTTTGGCGGGCTAAATGTATATTTGCTCACTTACGTGCTCGCGTGATGGTCCACGTTTTAATTTCTCAATGCCCTTCAAAGTGAAGATAATATTAATACGGTTCGTATTCTTGGGTATTAATATAGGTATTAACGCTATTCTCAGGATCATTTTAACCCTCGCTTAGCGGCTTAAGTTGAAATTACTCAGAGTTGGACCTGAAGCATATTTAACCGTAACCCCTGTAGTTTTATTATGCTGTACAGAGTGATTCTAAATGAGGGCGAAATCCCGTGCGTGAAGCTACCGAGTAGTATCTTCATGTGGTACTGTGTTTTTCTCTATGGTCCACAAGGTGTTTCTTAAAGTTTGATTACATTGATAAAACTGTGGCAATTTAAATGAAAGCCACTAAGTACCCCTCTCATTGTGGTACTGTTTATCATACTTTCCAAGATGATTTAATAATTATGTTCCAGATGGTATGCGTGTCTAATTAAAGAGATTCAAATGTAAAAGAAATAAGAACTCACTTTAACATCAGATAAATTAATAAACTTTATTATTTACAATCTTCACAGCACTAATGATAATCTGAAACTGTCAAATTTATCTTTACACATATATTCTAACAATATTACAACCTTCTTTCTCTATATCAGACCGCAAATTTCAACAATGTTTTTGATACGTCGTTGGTTGCGTCAAAACCTTTATTAAAATGAATGTCATTTAAGGATACTTCTCGGAAGAATACCCCGAAAATATATTTTTTCAAGCTCGCTTTTAAACTAAAGTTTTTTGGGAAGAAAAAAAAATATCAAATCTTTCTTAAATTTTTTAAATATTCGTCTGAATTACTGGGTTTTAAAAGCATCGAGTGACACAAGAATTATCGTTTATAGCGTGAGCGTTCAGCAAGTGATACAGAACATTCTCGAATCTATCCGTTTCTAAGAAGACCGAAGCGAAAAAAGTTCATTTTAGACGGCGAGCGCACGTTCCTAATATCGTACCCAAGCCTTGCCCGTTCTTTTCAAGTGGGCGAGATCTGGGTGCAACATTACTCGTTATCTCAAGAAAACACCACGCGGATGATTTGAGACATGGATTAGAAACATGATGGATGAATTATAATAGTTTTGTTCAATTTTCCAGTTTTATGTTGCGTAGCGTTTGGTCCATTCTTTCGCTATTCTGTCGTGTTCTTCTCTGTCGTTAACAAACTGTGTGGCGATGCTTCCTACGAGGGGATCAGCTGAAAAAAGATGTACAGAGGAAAATAATTTAGAAACACAAAAAAACGATTCTTGAATTATGAACTTGATATTTGATTACTTATTGTTTTATAATCAATCGCCTTGTGCTTTTACTGTCTGATCCCTAAAAGTGACTAGAATCTAATTTCTCCTTACAATATCACCCCCGGGTCACGCATTCAGGTTACGAGAATAATGGAAACGATCACCAATTTAAGAAGCTCTTGATGGTAAAACAAATTCTCCTTGTCAACACTTAAGGAAATATAGCGAACAGTATGGAGAATATGCATACTGATGTTAGGGTATTAAGGGTAAACTACTTTTTCTGATAGAGTGCTTTTCGATTGGTTGTCGTACAACCAAATCCACAGTAATCACGACTGCAGCCGATGAGAGCTCAAATTTTCTGAAGCGCGGCAAAACGCGGGTAATCAAGCTCAGCCTACATCAGTTTTAGTCTTGAATCTGATTGGTTGAGGAAGTGGCGCAAATTTTGGACCAATCGCAGCGAAGTGAAGATAAACCAAAGCAATCCCAGGTTACTTTGCAACATTCAAATCAAAATCGCCCTTAGTTACCTGGATTACAGTCTGTGAGTAATGAACAAACGGAGAGAAGGACTTTTGAGATTGTTAGAGCTGGACTCCAGCTGTCTTTAAGAATGTCCAAACAAATCACACCCTGGAATGAAAACAAATAAAAATAATTAAAAATCAAATTCCTTATTCAGTTTTATTGACTCCACTGGGTATAATAACCGCCGCGTTCTATCCAAGCCCTTTACTTGAATTTATTGTCCATTATTCCGGGTAAGTAAAGCAGCTATGTCGCTCCAGGCTCTCTCTTTCTCCCGCTTTCTTCCTACAAGCCCCTCTCTTCTTCCTGCCTACTCCCTCCCAGGCTCTCTCTTCTTCCCACCTTCTCTCTAACAGGCCCTCTCTCTTTCCTGCCCACTCCCTACCAGGCTCCCTCTTATTCCTGCCTACTCCCTCCCAGGCTCCCTCTTCTTTCCACCTTCTCCCTCCTATCCCCTGAAAGATTTTTAACAAGAACGTAAAGAAGAATGATCACGACTGCCTGAGCCAATCTTGGTTTCTGCAACGCACAGGGAAAGTTTACTACTCATCATTTCATCATTTTGTTTCCATGATAGTTTCCATCGCCCGCTTTTAACATAAATCTACTGGCGTTCTAGCTGCAATCTGATTGGGTGCACCACTTGCAGTGTATTCCGTGTTATATGATAAGCTGAACTGTACTCGCATTTTGATTGGTTTTTACGTATGATCTATAAAGTGGAGGACAGACCAATAGATGACGTTATCATTAACCCTTTAACTCCTAAGATCTCATAAGTAATTCTCCTTACTGTCTGCCCGATGATTCTCACCATGTTAGTTTGGCGAATTTGGTATCGGATCAACTAGTAATCCCATCATTGATATATTTCTTTATTCTCATCACTTATCTGCACGATATTGTATCGATATAGTTAGGAGAAATTCTGTCTTGGTCACTCACGGGGAGTCCAAGGGTTAACAATATTTTCCCTTTTTTTTATATGTAAAACACATAGACTCTCGGCAGCTGATGACGTCAAAGTATGGTAAGAACATGAGGGACACGGTCACCTGTACCTCGTTTATCCCTTTTTTTGTTCTTACCACATTTTAACGTCATCTGTGATCTGTTACCGAACAGACGCACGGAAACATATGTAATATATTTGTTAACCCTTAACACCCTAACATCAGTATGCATATTCTCCATACTGTTCTTTATACATTTCCTAAGGTGCTGACGAGGAGAATTTGTTTAACAATCAAAGGATTCCTTCATTGCTGATCATTTCCTTTATTCTCATGACCTTAACGAGTGATTCAGGGCTGATATTTTAGGGAGAAATTTGATGCTAGTTACTCTTAGGGGCTAAGGGGTTAAATAGACAACAGATAGCATAAGTAGTCTATGCAAACCAAAGAGAATAACAACATGAGCCTTTCTCATTGCTCTCACCAAATGTCACGCCATAAAAATTCCAAACCTATAATCTAATGTAAAATATTCTTGAAGAAGTTGATCTCTTAACCCTTTAACTCCCATGAGTGATCAAGAGAGAATTTCTCCTTATAATATCAGTACAATATCAAGCATAGAAGTGATGAGAATAAAGTAAATTATCAATTAGGGGATTATCGGTTGATCCAATACCAAATTCTCTAATTGACATCATAAGAATTGTATGTCAGACAGTAAGGAGAATTACTAATGAGATCTTGGGAGTTAAAGGGTTAACTACAGGAGGGCTCAGGATAGGAAACAAGGTATTTACCACCAAAGATTTATCCATAGCCTTATGAAAGGTAAGAGGTGAAATTCCCCATACCACCCCTCCCAACCAACTTTTCAGTGATCCACAATACAGCTTGGAACGATCACGTCAAGTTACATGAAGCCAGCTTTTGACCGAGCCCTCGTTCGGAGCGCTGCAGGGAAGAGGGTCGCTGGAGGTGTGGCACTAATAGTGCCAGACCCCTTGCAGCTCTCTTGCAGGTTCGCGTTGCCTAAGGCTTAGTATTTTCCCGCGGACGAGAAACGCTAAAGAAATGCTAACGCGCTAAAAATGAGGGCTTGATCGCAGATTTACGGGGCACCTTCATGCAAGAGCCTGAGAGGGAGTAGGTTGGGGGGAGAGAGGGCCTGGCAAGAAGAGGGCAGGAAGAAGAGAGAGCCCAGAGCGTTATAGCTGCTTTACTTACCCAGAACAATGGAGGATAAATTAAACAAAGGGCAATTCATAACATAATCATAACAATGCAAAAGGCAGACTAACCTGGCTGTTGATATTACAATGATATATTCTAGTACGGAATGAAACCTGTGAACAGATCAAATACAAAATGCTTCGTTAAGTCGCCATACTTGCACGGCATCACTGCCTTTGATCGAACCCTTGCTTTGCGTGTTATTGGTTTACGATGGCTTCAATCACAGGCACACAAAGAGATGTAATGTCGCTATGGTAACAGAAGGGAAGATCGCATGTGCCTCACCATCCCCTCTCTAGTTACGTCCCAATTAGATATGGGAATTTTGTAATTGAATGTCGAAAATAACCCGGGATTGCATGGCTTTGCTTCACTTTGCTGCTTAACTAGTCAAGAAAATTCGCACCATTCTCTAAACCAGTCAGATTAACGACTTGGTCGCCCGCGTTTTCCCGCGCTTTAGAGTTTTTCTTGTTTTTCCTTGGAGTTCTCATTGGTTCTTTACAACACTCAATCGAAAAGCACTTTATCCGTGTTGAATTCTTACTTTTGGTGGCTTGAAAGGATAATCCGAAGGAAAATGAATGTCAAGAAAGAATACTCCTCCCTCGTACACTGACCCAGGTGGACCAAGTATTGTCGAGTTCCACTCGTACAGGTTGTCTCCCTTTGGGCCAGCGCTGCAAAAAAGAAAAAGAAAAAAAAAATCAATCATAAAAGAAAATTTTACGGAACACCGGTAGCGCTGCAAATCTGTTTCAGGTTTATGGCTATCTCGCCACCAAGGCAATCGACCAAAACATCGTCAAAACATGTTATCGATCGCATGCATATTTTTGACGACAAAACGAGTGTTCTGAAAGTTAATACGAAGATTCTGTTAACTTTTTACCTTAGAACGACAACGGGCAAAAAGTTAGAGCTCAGGAAAACGTACATTTATATAATAAAACATTCAATAACTATACTCAATATGATTATAACATTTGCTACCAGATGAGTCATCGGTGGCGAGGTAACACGCCTTGGTGGAGAGATCGATTACACTTTGGTGACGAGCTCGCCGGTAGCGAGGTGACTAGGAACCCTGATTCATACCATGACATAGAAATTACAGCGACCAACGATAGGACTTTGCGAAGCACTTTCCTCTCGATCATTGACAATGATTGTAAAATCTTTTTAAAATTGTTCATTGATTTAAACGACACATTAAAAGAAAAAAAATGCTTGTCAAAAAAAGTTATTGAGGTGAAACACTTCAAGAAATTGAACACGTTCCTATAATTTATTCCCCTTATATTTGAGGTAGTTTTAATTTAGCCAAAAGTTGAATCTTGATAAGGCGAATATCACCGAACTGGTTTTTGAGTTGAGGTTGCGAGATTCCCTTGAAGGCGGCAGTGTTGCCATGGCAATGCAGTGAGCCGTGGATTTAAAAAAGCAAATTCGTATCAACCCTCTAGGGAATCAAATATATAAATAGACAATAAAATAAATTGTTGATCCTTCATGAAACTGGTGCCAAAAAATGGCAAGGCTTTACATTGTTTGGCGAGTATTTCAGAGAAGAGTAGATAAGAATTAATTATTTGTTATCAGATTTAATGAAATCTATGTTCGTTATTCTGGTTGGGCAAACGTATATCACCTGTCATCTAAATGTTGTTTTTAGGAAGAACGAAAACGTCATTTCGGCCCGTCTGTCCCTTAAAACGAAGTCGGTTCCAGTACGGAATAAGACAATGGCCGGACAGAAATTGAGACCGAACGAAAGCTAAGCTTTTAATCTGTCTGATTATGCGTAACTTTAGGAGAGGTAAACTAATAACCATTCAAGATTCGTACATCCGGAGATGTGGTCTACGAAAGCTATGGTTTAACTTACATCTACTATCTACTGAAGCACTCTAAGAGTACCTCTTGCAAAAATAAGTGTTTTACTAATAAATGTCTAAGATATTTATTTTGACGGCCCATAGAACTTGCTAAGGCAAGATCGTCGCTGTCGGGACAACCGAAAAATCACATGAGATTTATGGCTTAAAAACCCAATACTTCCTTTCTGGGCGACCTTTACTCTAACACTTCCGCTCTCTTCACGAACACAAGAGCTTTCTAGGGTTTATAAGGCATAAGTCAACCATTTCATATTATCACGTTCCATGCACTTGAGAAAGGCTATTTAAATCTACGCGCGAAAAGGTCAAAGCTCAGATGAAGTAGGCGATAGACGAAGATCGATTGGCTAAATTTGGAAATGTTGAACTGTAATTTGTCATTGCTACCATTCCGCTTTATAGAGCCCCAATTCCATGGTTTAGCTTAATATCCTCGATCAGTTTACTGGAGAGAGGCGAAGAACGTTTGCATTTAACCGATAAACTGAAAAATTTCGTAGGGAGATACGTGATTGTACTTCGGTGTGAAATGGCAAAATTTTCCTTACAACAGCTAGAGATAGCATCGTTCAAATCAATTTTCAGAACATGTCGTGTCTTTGAAAGAGTTTGAAAAACTGTTGAAATGTTAATTCATACGAATCAAAATAAGTAAGTGGCGTTGTCTTGTAGATTTAAAATACTTGAATTTCAATAAGTGTATTCAGAAGAGTAAATTTTAAGGACAAAAGCGGTAACTTTTTTGATATGGAAGCTGTAGATTTAAAGATTCGAACGAAGGCAAAGCTTATAAATAAATCTCGTTAAGTTTCAACGCCGAGTTACTCAGACCAGCCGAAATGCAGTCGGGTCGAGCCGTTTGCCAAAACAAATTTAAAATAACCGGTGTTTAAGTCATTAACAGAACAAAAGGGTTTTACAAACACACAGTAATCAAACAATATTGTACAATGCAAATTCTGCTCGAAAGGAAAAGAATGAGCCGAAAAATGCTGCCATGTTTCCAAATCGTGAGAAAGTTTTTCCAGAGAGCGGCTTCGATCGAATGCACGAAAAAAATACAAGTTCCGATGAGTTATAAAATAAATATGGTAAATTTGATCACGCATTATAGGTACTTAGAATTGACCAAGGAGCGTGATAATAAATCTGCGATACGATACGAGAAAATCTAGGTTATTTGCGAAAAAAGGAAGACACTTGCACTTAGTTATCTCCCTTTTTCGACGTGCATTCAGAAGTATCTTGCGCCCGAAGGAGATATTACCGTTTAGGTTCGCTCTTCGCCAAACTTAACAGCGCTCTCAAAATCTCTTACAGGTATTAGTTGCAAAAGCTTTCGATTGACCGAAACTTGAAAATTCAGGTCGAGTGATATTCTGCTTGTACAAACAGCGGATGAAATGCGAATAAAAAACTGATGAGAATAAACGAAAAAACATCGCGATGACTTGAAGTAATTTCAAATTCGACCGCAAGCACTAATTGAATAAAATGAGCATTATCAGTTATTGGCTGCGCCACGCAAAAATAAGAAACTAATCCGAACGCAGGTGTCGGAGAAATTGTTGATTTACATACAATAAGTCATAACACGGAGGAATCAATCAAGAGCGATGCATTGGAAAGCAGACTCCAAACTCTTATATATTCAACGTATCGATTACCTGATTACCGCAAACGTGAACAGAAGTTTGTGAAATTAAAGAGGAAATCTGGTGATACTGAATTCAATTTGTTAGCCGCTAAAATAAGTCGCTAAATGTAAAGAACTATCCACGCGTAACGCGTATTTTTTTTAGCATACCTTGTTAAAGTTAACAAAACAAAGACTTTCTATCCCACGTGGCTAGATTAAATGTCTTTACCACTTTAAAATAAATAATTCAGCCTTGTGTGTCTGTTTTATTGGCAGAAATTCCCTAACTGATGAAATATTTGACGAATGTTCCGGCTGTTTGGTTATTAAGCCTTTGCGGTAAATTCTGCTTTCGCTAAAATGAAAAGAGCCGAAGCATGTTTAAAAGACAGCTTACTATTCGAGAAACAAAACTCGCAATCCTATTGTTTTGAGACCAAACAAAAATTTCAAAAGTCCAGCATCGCATTTTGAGCTCGAAGAAGGAGAGAAAGTTACCTGCAGTTCGGCGGCGGATCGAGGGCAATTTCAGCCAATTCTCGTTGAATTCTGAAATACAGCACATTAAAGAAAATAAAGAATTATATTTTATAATTAAGAGCTACCACGAGAAAGGGAAATATGTTAATGAAGCTAACCTTCTACGGAACATCTTTGGTAGCACTGAGAGTCTAACAATCTCAGATCTGATAAATTATAAGGCCGATACTTAAAACAGTGTATTAGGCACTCCTGACAATATCAAGGCCAATAACTCGGCTTTCAGTCGAAAGAACAGAGAACGCGGACGAAGTGAACTTAACATGCAAATTAGAGATGATCTGATGAATTGATGTGATCGCTGTCTCCGCCTAAACTATCTTGTGGAAATTATGCGCAATCTGCGGCTTTGCGCCAGTCAACTTACCTCTTGGCGGAGGTTGATGCAGATTTCACGGGCCGAGAGGCGGCTCCGCGACTGCGAGCAGCCCGCTTTGTGCCCGTAGTCCCAGATGATGGGCCCTCATTCTGCTGAACGGTTCTTCTGTCATCGGCATTAGACGAAGAACTCAACGCGGTGTGTTCCGACATCGTCAATAAGATGAAGCTAGCGTAGGATTTCACAAGGTGAATTTGTAAATCTGGCCGCGACCCCTAAGATGGTGGGAAATTAACGATATTACTTGATAGCCGAGGATTTTTCAGTTAGGTCCACTTACACAGGCGCGCTGTTTGACACCTAAAGACACTCCTCAGATCCTTTGATGGCAAAACAAATTTTACGCGCCCACACAGTCTAAATACGGCGAATAAACATGCCATGATGATAGAGCGCCTCCCAAAGAAAACTGAAGGAGATCAGCACACCACGTGACAATCTTAAGACAGATTTGATTAAAGGGCAGTGTCACACTTTAATGATGGCGGCCTGTTCTACCAGATTCAGAACGCTTCCCGTTATACTCTGCGTACGAGTTCACCGTGATCTGTACTGCAATTATATTATCGCCCATAACAAGGCCTTTAGACAAAGAATTATTTCTGTTAGTAAAGATACGATCTTCGGCCGTTTTAAATAGGAATTCTGCCTCCCAAAATTAAACTTCCCCGGCTCGATAGATCGTGTCTGACTCAGTCGGCAGGAAACTCTTTAGACGGCACGGTGAAACATGAACAAATCATTCATGATACAGTGATATTAATAACACTCACGTAGTCCTAAGAAGATGTCCTAACCTTTTAGAGTGAAAATGGACTGTTTCGGTGTGGATGTGACGATTATGAATGGTTAGAAGATAACTCTAACCGTAGATGGAGCAAGCTTTTCGGTCTTCCACTTTTCCCAGCTGCCGAGCCTGTTCTTGACTCAGTAATCAAGCGCGCAAGGCATTACTATTGGTCTCCGCCTGTCAAGGAAAGACGTCATTAAGTTATCAATAGACTGCGTCATAATACTAATTTATCGGCCATCGACACGACGAGAAAATCGACCAATCACAGGCCGTGTGTGGTGAGCTTTTGAAGGGGGTCGAGTATCACACGAAACAGCTGTCGATGATTCCCAGGGGAATAAAACAATGCCCGTCGTCTGTTGATTGACACCCTCCGAGTCAAATACAAATAATGGTCCCAAGGACTTTGTTTGTTCTCTGAAAGACAATGTGGAAATACAACTTGGAAACCGGAGATTGAAAGGCCTCACACAAGGGAGAGGAATTGACTCTCAGCAAATTGTAAATTTGCAAATAGGAAGCCCACAAGTTTCCTAAAGTGAAACTCAAACCATTGCGGTTTACCAAAGTTGCCTGGATTCCACAATTTCCTTTGCCCACTGAACTATTACTGAGATCCTAGCGTATCGAATAAATTTTCAAATTTGCGTATCATAATCGAAACATGGGTGAAATTTATTCATTTATCGTCTTATTTCAACATATCACGAATTGACTAGGATTTCTTGGCGTTTTGCAACATTCACACAACATGTGTCTATTGTTTGGCAAGATTTCGGAAATTGCGGTTTTGAGAAGAACCCTCAAGGAGTATTTCATTTATTTGAGTTATTTTTTCTATCCCTGGATAAATATTTTTCAGTTCTGTAATCGCGTAGATGACAAGTTGATCGGCTTTTTTTTATATGTCCAATAACAAATAGAATGTTGAGCTTTAAGGTACTGGAATGTACGAATTAACAAGAGGCCAAAGGATTTAAACTTTATCCAATCACTTCGTAAAATGATTTTTTAAGACTTCTCAGGGCTTATTGAAATCACTTTACATAAGCTCATTATCTGTAACATTAAGATTCGACCTTTCCTTGAAATCATGACCAGTAGTCCATAGTTGAAACAAAAAGGCCACGTTAAATGTTTTGTAGTCCTGTTGTTGTACAAACTCGTTAATAATCTTTTGAACAATGCCTGTATTGCGCGGACTTAAACAAAATATTTGCTATTGTTTTGAAGTGTTATTGAAATTTTCACGCTTCGATAAATCGCACGCTTGACAACACACGAAAATTCCCAAGGGGTCATCGTAGAAAAAGAACCTATTTTTGCCATTAACACAGATAATTATCTCTTAATTACAAGATAACAGTTTTGTAGTTTTAAAAACTCTCCTCCAAGGAAATATTCTAGGAGAAAGTTATTTTGAGTGATCAGTCAACGACAAGTATGCAAATTTTCTCTCTACAGTGCTCATAAAATATTAATGATTTGAAATAATATTCACAGATAAGCCAGAACGCAAGAGAGGTGGACAAAGCTTTGATAACGAGTTGAATGGTTTAATTCAACTCGTATTAATCAAACTCATTTTCACCAACAATTTTAATGACAACTCTACGAAATCCGTTTCTAGGAATGCCCGCCTAAAATTACAGACGCAACAAAAATTATTTTAGTAATTATTTGGGTCTTCAAAGTCAAACAAATGGCTTCTGACTTTGAAATGAATAACCGTAGTTCGGTCTGGCAATCAAATGGGTAAACAAACTGAAACATTGGGTAAACACAGGATCTTCTTACGGCAGAAATTGAAAGTTTTATATTCTTAATAAAATTTTTATTCAGCAAAGACAGGCATTATGCAAGGGCCTAGAAAAAAACCGGCTTAATTCGGTGCACAAATGTTAAAACTTTAATCTGAAGGCAAAATATATGAAAAAGATTTTCTATTGGAAAATGAATTTATTAAAAAAATCTACAAATTAATGTGCTATAAATCAAAATATAGGAAATATCAAAGCAGCCGTCAATTGGCAGAGTTAAGAAAGGTATCTAACCTTGTTTTGCTGTATTGTTGGGACAGCTCTCCAAACTTATCGCGCCGATAGGTGATATATTATTTAAGTTTTGTTTCATTCAAGTACGTTAGAAAGAAATCAACAACAGCAACAACTCTATGATCTTCAAAAATATGAAAGTAAAACAGAACTCTATGAATTTTGATTCGACTATCATTTCTTTGAAGGTTTTTATGCCGATAAGAATAAGTGATTCACTCTAATCGAGAGCGGCATTGATCCGGAAACTTGAATTACAGCCTTCGCTGGCGTGTTCATTTCTAAATTGGTGTCAGCTATTGAGAAAAATCTGTTGCACTGCTTACTGTTCTTTCTTCCCTTGAAAATGCTTCATTAGTTCATTACAACAGTCTAAAATTCAGAGTCATATCATTGGACTTAACGGGCAGTCTATGAATCTTTTATCTGAAGGCAAGTGTTATGATGATACGCTGCAATCACAGTTTTATTATCCCGCAATGGAAAGTTTCATTCTCTGTTCACCTGATTTATTTGTGTATTCAGATTGTCAAACAGGTGCTACCCATGATAAAAAACTACCAGTCGTAAATCAAATATTGAAATGCTTGCAAATAGGTTTACCAAATAATATAAACTACATTTTGTCCCTAACACGGCTGCTTCGACCAACAAACGGATTACCTTCTTGCTTAATTAGAACATGATGTGCTTGAGTCGTCTCTGGAAGCGCTACTTTCGCAAAATTAGGCTGCTAAAAAGCTATCTAAATGATCTATTGACGACACTTTCATTTCAAAATAATTTTCAACGTTCTCTTCGCTACGCAGGTATGAAGAACGGTGTTTAAATCTCTAAATATGATGCCAAATCCTCTTAAAGCTTAAATCTTTGTGACATGTCAAAATGCCTGATATAGGCAGACGTTGAATTGAGGTGAGCCGAACCTTTTATCTGCTAATCAATTTACAAGACCTCAAAAATAGGTTGAAAGTAACCAGTATTAACCCACATTCAACTGATAACTCCCTTTTCAATAAAGCGATTGGTCTTAGGGAGATATTTCTTTGAACTAAATTAGTGTCTACGCGCACTACCATTAATTAATTGTTGACACCGCGTTGACAGGCGGAAATACTCGACATCTTCCAAGCAGACGGCATTTGTGACGCCTACATGACGGGTGGGCTGCGAGCTTAAAGTTCATTCTCATATCTTGCCTTTGTGACAAGTGTAACGAGTCCGAAAACCTCCTAGAGACACACTTCATTTCACTGTGAGTGTTCTGACGTGCGTTCTGTCGTAACACGAGCATATTTTGCGCTGTTTTTTATGTCTGGGGACGTAACCGCAAAGACATCTGCTGGCGGCCATGTTTGTTCTTCAAGATCTCTCTCAATGCTAAAGTGTTGCATTTTCTCGAGATCGCGAATCGCTTGCCTCTCGAAAGTAGACTTGCTTGTAGTCCATTTATTAAGGAATTCGCCGGTCCATTTCCTGTAATGAAATAATTCCTATTTGGCTGTATGTTACAGCGGCCAGCTTGCTTGAGCTTCAGCTTTTCACACATCAGCTCGTGAAAGCTCTTATAATTTCCGCGTGTTGTTTCAATGAGATTTCTTTATAGCTGTTTGTGTATTAAACACAGGTTTTATCTAGATGTCTGGGCGGGCAGCAGAGCAGGCAAACCGACCAACAGCTGAGGAGAATGACAACGCAAGAGCATCGACCTTGAAAAGAGAGCTTCGTGATAGGAAAGGGGGTACTGCAAGATCGCCTAAGACATTATCAACTGCTGTTAAAAGGTAGACCCTGGGAGATTGCTTTTTTTACTTCAACGATCAATATTCAATTTACCTCTTACATGAAAAGACCTTTTACTAACCATACGCGTTCTCTCAGGGCATGGCGTTGTCTAGTTTCTTAGTTCGTTGTAGCGTGAAGTGAATGTAACACAAAGTCCTTGTTCACTTGATGCGTCGGTTGATCGTTAATTTGCATGTTAACTTTGTGAAGCTCGCTCGCGCTAGAAATTTGTCCGATTGCGTTCAGAAATAGCTTGGTATTTAGTAAATGTCTCAAAGAATCGCCTGATTTGATCAGATTGGGAAAAACTGAGCGAATTTCGCGAAAACGAGCGCGAGTTTGGTATCGCGGCAGAGGGTTATTTGTGATCTCCGATATTGACGTAAGTCTTTATCTTTGTTTGCCTTCCACAGTTGGGAATTGGGACTATCAGCTTTGCTAAAAGGAGGCAATGACAGATTGGTTTTTTCTTACTAAATTGGTTTATTTTATATTTTCAGAATTCAAAGGGAATTAGCAGAAATCACACTGGAACCGCCACCGAATTGCAGGTAATTCAGGCCTTCACAAGACGCTCACCCTTCAAAGCTCTTGTTTGGAAAACAATGGTTGCGGTTTTTGTTTCGTATTGTGAATGAAACATGATGAAAAAGTTTTATCACGACTACGGCGAACTGTCTGTTCCTCTTTTCAGTGGCAAAAAAAAAAAACCACATCGAAACAACAAAATTTCTTCCAAAGTTTGACGAAAGCGGCTTGAGTCAATTATTGTGGACTGATAAGATGATATTAAGGCGTTGTGAGGTATTTTAAAGTGTACGAAGGCTTTGTTACCGAAGCCAAAACTAATTATGCGTCGGAGCTCATTGTATATTTTTAGAATGTCGTTGCCCCGCTGCTATTTTTGTCTTGAGCTTGGTAAACACACAAGTTTTAGAACACATCAAATGCCTTGTGAGGTTGATACCGGTCCACATCTTTCAACCTGAGTCACCGCTTCGAAAACGGAAGATTTTGAGATCTGGATGTGTTCATAATTTATGCAAAGAGGTTTTGGACACCTGCCTCATATCATAGTAAATGTTGGCGGGATGAGGTTTACATAACAACTGTGACTTGTCATCTGCGTTGCATGAATTCGTACACTCTCCATACTTCATTGCAAAAGGTTATTGTCAACCGGAACTTAAAAATTTTATCCCTGAAATTAACTAAGTCCAAGATGTTCCTGAAACCTCGAAGGCGTATTTAATTCGTCTCTCTCAAACTAGTAAACATTCATATTTTCAAAAGCGCTTTCTCGTAGATTTAATGTTTGGAAATTGTCGCAAAAAATTATCTTGAATGGATGATTGTCCCAAAAATTTCCACTCCAGTGATTAGAGCTAATTGTTGAACTAACAAAACTCACATCACCGAAATTCTGTCTTTATAGCGTATTTAAATCAATTCTGCTCAATCGATCACCCAATTAAGATGATGAACGAATTGCATGCAGACGAATGAGGTTTTCACATATCCGTATCCAAATGTTTTTGATTCGCTAAATGACACAAAGCTTCGCTTACATGCTCCCCGATAGATTTATGGTTGTCCTCACCGATTTCAGTTTCTCGAATATAATCGCTCTGGGCACACGCTTAAAGTCACGAACATTTGCTGCTGGTAGTTTTCCAAGAAATCACGAAAAATCATACAGAGTTACAACAAATCTCTTATCTTGCCCTCATCGTTGTTACTGTTTTTCGATGGCGAGTTTTCCTTCGTCGGCTTACGGTTGGAATAATTGCATCTGTTTCCCTCACATGGAATTTCGTGGATTGCTTTGAGAAGAGAAATCTCTATGCAACTCAAGCGAATTGAAATTTAGCCATGCGGTATAGACGGAAAACTGACGGAGACATTCTTCAATTGATTGACACTTCGACTTATCAGTGACCTCTAAGGTTATCAAAGTGATTGTTAGCAAGAACAATCCTTTTATAGAACCAGTTATCGCTGCTAGATAAAATGACTTTTTAGATTTTTCATTTCATACAAAAGTAAGAGAAATCCTATCTTTACTTTTCTCCACGGTTTTGTTCCAAACGCTGAGACTTTTCGGTGACTAAATGCCCGGCATAAATTATGGACTGAATGCCCGGCGGTCAGAATACACTCACGAATGTAAATTCTGTTCAATTTACAGTTCGATCGTTGTCGGTTCATAGACTTTTATGTCTATAACAGACATTAAATCTCAAGTATCCTCCAAGCGGGAAACCTCTTAGGAACTTGGATTGGCTGTTGCTTGGTGTAAAATGCATTAATGTAAGAACGCGAATCTCTTAATTCATCGAATTTCGAGTATCTTTAGCTAAAAGCACAGCGGTAGGAAACTCTAACACAGATTGACGTGAATTATAATACATACATTTTCGCGTGGTTTACATCTGGGTCAACTGTTTTGTCTCTCCAGAATTTCCATGTGTTTTCTATCTCGCAAGACGTTTGAAAATAACTTTGGTAAACAATTCTTCTTTAAACATGGCCGCGCCGTTAAGACATTTTTTAGCCTATGACTAAATAAGGAAAAATCGAAATTTTCGTGTATTGATAATAATAAATAAAATCATTGTTTTGTCGGCAAGAAAGAGATATTCAGTTATTTTTTTGCGAGGTCATTTTGTCTGCTATCCGCACTGTCAGGGGGATTTCAACACTTCTCAATTATGTTGACAGCTGAGAATTGCATGTTTCGTTCGTAACGCGATATCTTTTATGCCTTTCGTTACAGCGCTGGTCCTAAAGGTGACAACCTGTATGAATGGAACTCAACAATTCTGGGTCCACCAAAGTCCGTCTACGAAGGAGGAGTATTTTTCCTGGATATTCATTTTCCAACAGATTATCCTTTTAAACCACCCAAGGTATGAATGAAAATATTATCTCAATATATGAAGTGGGTTCTTCAAAATTCATCGCGTGTCGGTCTTTTATCTTTTTCCAAGAGAGGAAATCGTCATACTTAAATATTGGCATCTAGTGCTATTTTCAACTCCAAGTATCTTTGGTTGACGTAATTAATGCCTGCTATTAAATTGCATTCTCGAGCTTGTTTCATCAGACGATTTGTACATTTTTTGTAACTTTGTAGCCAGGAAATTTTTCACTGTACCGGTTCATTATTTTAAGAATTTCTCGAAATTTTAACAATATTCCTTACAATGTCAATCTTTATTATATGCCAAATAAATGAAGGGGGTAAGTTTCTAAAGAAACTGTAGTGCTGCGTCGGTGGGAGAGTATAACAGGGTAATTTAGTATTATCAACAGAGTTGATAACATAAATTGGCCACCGCGCCGTAAAGAGTTTTGATGCTAATGTTTCGTGCGTTAGCTCTTCGTCAGAGCGGTAGATGAAGGGCTACCGCTCGAAACGTCAGCTTTTAAACTCTTAAGAGTGGCCAATTTACGTTATCAAGTCAGTTGATAATACTAATAATCCTGTTTATCATATGTCAACCTAACGTGAGAAACCTAGTGTTCTGAAAATAACTTTTTTCGTATTCTGCATTCTTAAGTTATCCGGTTATTTTGTAGGAAACGAGTCAACTTCACCAGACATATTTAGACCGTCCGGGGTTCATAAAATGGTGTCAAATAGTTGATAATCGGTAACAATTTTGGCGCTATAGAAGTTTATAGCGTTTTACAGTTTATAAAGAGTTTATCATAGGTCAAAATCATGATTACTTGTGCAATGTAAACTTTTTAATTTTTCTCCGAAGGTCACTTTCCGAACAAGAATTTATCATTGTAATGTCAATAGCCAGGTGAGGTTTTTTTTTTAAATTTGAATTTTTGCTTTTGGAGAGACAATAGGATCAACTTGCTAACGAATTTTTGAATAGGTTCAATTTATTAATTGTAACAATATACCTGAAAAAAATTACACGCGTCTGATTGGCTGGAAAAGAGTGCTTCTCGTGTATACAAATAACACGCGCGCGCTGCCAAAATTTACGTCTGTCTTCACTTTCTGTGATTTTTTTATCTAAAAGTAACAAGTAACAAAATGATTTCTCGTGCAATTTGGTGTTCTAAGCTTTATTAAATTTTTTAAAGACTACAAATTGCACTCGCCCTGCGGACTCATGCAATGTTATTGTCTGAAAAATTTACTCGTGCTTATTAACACCAAACTGCGCACGAAATTAAGTTATAACCTATACTTAACGAACTAGAACTTTGTTACTGCCCTCCCTTGGAAAGAAAAACTCGGAAATTTATGTTAGTATACAAACTAGAATGTGATCTGACTTCCTGCTAAAAATTGATGGTGACGAAGCTGGTAATGTCTCAGTTAAGTTCAACGTTTTTACATTTTTAACTGCTTAATGCGGCATATGATAATATTTATTGTGATTTTTAAAGTCACGGTACAGAAAACACGAAGGAGAAATTGAGCTTTTTTAATCCTGTTAGAATGATGGCAATTTATCGTGAAGTTTTCGCTGGATAGTCAAACGCGGGAAAAATTTATGAGCAGCTTTTTTTTTAGGGTTTGATAGAGTGTGATATTTCGCCAAGGATACGAAAGTGAAATATTGCAATAGTTTGTAATAAGGATATCCAAGCTAAATATATGCACAGGCTTGGTAAACAGACTCTGTCGAGTGTCAAAAGGTTTGTGTTTATTTTCCTGTATTACAGTTTTTCATTTGTTTTTTTTCTCGAATGCCTGGGTTTTAATTGGAAATATCCAACCATTCCTGATCAAAAAAGGAGACATTAGAAGACATTGTAACAGAGGACAGAGAATAAAATCCTTTTTTTCGCTCCTGAAGAAGAAAATAAAAGCAAAGAATGAGAAAACGTGATATTATGCTAATCAGTTTGCCATATGCAAACACTGTTGACGTCAATGCCATCCGAAGTGACTTGGTTATTTACTTTAAAAAGAAGATGTCAGAATCGAGACAACGTACATACAGCTTTTGTTTTTCTTTTATTGTCTGTATGTTTATCGTCAAATGTCCGGCAAAGTTATGATTCAACGTTGAGTTGACGGGACAACGACATCTGTTTAGGTTAAGAAAGGACGAAACTAAGAACTAATTTATTAGCGAGCGCCATCATTCTAGTATCGAAGATATTGTGGTAAGGTCTGATGAGGACATCAACGGTGACTCTTGTAAATAAAGCCGGGTAGTGGCTACATCTGGATTTATAAAAAGATCAGACATAACGCACTCTCTCATTGGTCCATATGTGTGAAGAGTGTTTGCAAACAAGCCTGGGACATTTAAGTTTGGCGAGCAATTTTTAGATGTATTTTACGTGGGCGAAAGAACATTTTCTTCTGTGTTTACAATAGCCTCATCTGAACAATCAAGGGTCGGAGAATTCTCGAGACCTTTGCCTGCGTCTCGGGTTTGCAGAACTCTTTTCTTGAAAACTTTTAGATTTTTTTGCTCTCAATTTCTATGCGATAGAAATCTCGAACTCGTCCGCTGATGGATGAGTATTTCCATTAAGTCTGAGTTATTTTCTTTCCTGTGTGTGAACCTAGGTCAAATTTCAACGAAAAAATTACATCCGTTGTGACTCAGAACAGCGCAACTATTGTTTGTTTTTTTATTTTTACCTGTCTCATTTTGTAGTTAATTCTTTTATGGTCTCTGAGTTATTAACTTCAGTTGAACTCTTTTAACTTCTAAGAGTGACTAGCATCTAATTTCTCATTACAATATCACCCTTGAATCAAACATTAGGGTCACGAGAATAAAGGAAATGATCACCAACTGAAGAACCCCTTGATTGTTAAACAAATTCTCCTTATCAGCACCCTATTAAATGTATAGAGAATTGTATGGAGAATATTCATGCTGATGCTAGTATAGAGTATAATGGGTTAACACGATAATTTGTTTGTGTTCTAGGGAGTGATTTGTCTGGATATTTTAAAAGATAACTGGAGCCCAGCTCTGACTATTTCCAAAGTTCTTCTCTCCGTCTGTTCACTTCTGACAGATTGCAATCCAGGTATTTCAGCTTTTAAATTCCTTGAATGTTTAACATGTCAAATCGCCCGACAGTATTTACACATTATCCATCAAACTTGTGATAAGAATGTAGACAGTTATCATTCAGAGGATGTCATATTGATATAACACACAACCTCTTCCAGTTGTTCAAATAGTAAAACGGAAGACATAAACGGGGCTAGATAAGCGGCCGAGGGAAGCTTGGGTCGGGTCGCGTTCATTACCCGACCTGACCCGACTTAATCCTCTCCTTTTTTCGCTCCGCCAATGCTGTCGCGCCCTGAACTAACGCGCTCCGTTTTACAAACCGAACACCTGGATCAGGTGATGCAACACAAAATTCTCTCAACTATTTTAGTCTGAAGGAAATGTTAAGGAGCTAAATAACTGATTGGCCCATTTTGTCTTGTTCATATTGGCTGCCAGACTTGGGTAACGTCGGTAGAATTTGGTCGTTCTTTGTTGGCTATGTTAAGTGTCGAGTGAAATTACGACTTATCGACATGACATGAGAAAAACGGCGTAGGAAGGTCATTAGGCGGTTATGTTTTTGGTGTGAACGCGGGGACATAACGATTTAATGAAAATGCGATGATATGGACACAGTGTTTGAGCGCGGAGATTGAAGGTTTCTGGCTCAATTCTTTCTAGGGACGCAGAACTCTTTCTTTGTTCTTCTCACGCGCCAAGACGAAAAATATTTTTCTTTATCTCATTACCTTCTCTTTTTTTCTAACTATCATGTTATCAGCGGATCCATTAGTGGGAAACATAGCGGCTCAATACATTTCTAACCGCGAGGAACACGACAGAACGGCGAGGGAATGGACCCGACGATACGCCACATGAACTTGCTAACAGAAGAACATATTATATCGCTTTCAACTTTGTAAATAACTCACATTTGAGATTTCTGAGTAACTAGAGGAGGCCTGGGAAAGAAATAGAAGATCGCGTGGGAGCTGGAGATGAAAGAATTTATCCCCGTTTGTTTCCAGGTTCCACGCGAGATTTAATTTTCTCGCGATGTTATTTCTGTATCGAGGTGAAAATATTTAAGACATCTTTTAAAGTTTCTGATAAATTATTTTGTCATGAGTCATTTTTACACGACTTAGTTTTCCTTGACTTATCGCTCATGCAAAATGCGACGTAACCAGGGAATGTCATGTAGTTGTTGTAATTAAGGTCTGATCGACGGAATTTGAGAGATTTCTCACATTTGGATCGGTCATAAGAGACACTTTTTTCTCAACAATTCCTCTTAAGACGTCACCTTTCGGTCTCGAGGGCAATTGACTGTTAACAAACCTTAACTAGCTTTTTCAATGAGCACAAACAAAGAAGAAACGGAACTGTATTCAGAGAAACTTCTTGAAAAACTTGGTCGTGTAGAATCGTCTCGACAATAATCGTTGGTTTATACGAGACAAAGTATTTTGCACAGACGTTTTTGACACCAGAACGGCGACCGGAAGTAAAATGCGACTGTTTCTGGTGCGCCTTGGCATTCAGCCATCGTCCAGGCATTTTTTCTGAATGCTGCATTGTAAAAAGAAGAGAGATCCTCTGATAGCAGACTGCATTTGAAACACGTCTCTGCTTTATCTTCCTTTTAATTCAATGAAACAACGTGTACACTTTCGTTGCTGTTGTTATACATATGCATTCAGTTGGAATGCAACATTATTTAATTTAAATTTATCCCAGTTAAATTGCGCAAGGTGAGATCGGTGGAATTTTACTGTAAGTTAACACTGGCTCTGTCCGAGTGGTTTAAAAATAGTTATTGACTGAAATTACCGCTTTAAAGTTTGCTAATTGTTAATATTGCGAAATCTTAATTGCTAGCTCGGTTGGAAATAAAAACAAATAGTAATTGCGGTTTACTTGTCCCATTGCTTAGCGGGCTACAATTGTAGAACAATTGTACAATTGTATTGTCTACAATTCGTAGGAGGGGCAGGGGGGAACCAAGGCACCTGGACCGTTTTCACCTATGTTCTGATTTTTTGTTTTGTTTTCTCCTCTACTGCGGGATACTTTTACCACACGTGTTTCCGTCCAATCCGGATGCCGAATGGGTCTTCATTGTTTGCAAAAAGCAGAGTTGCCATCATTTTTGTCATGTTGGCACTATCCATGAAGACGGTTAAACGCGTCATTAAGCCCTAAGGACTAAGGGAGGGGCCTGTTCGGTTCCAGGTCTTCGTGAGGAGGGTTGGGACTGAGGTTGCCATAAGAGGAGAGGTTTTATTCAAAAACACTTATTGTAAACTTGAAGTTCACGGCTTAAGGTCAGTCTATTTAGCTTGATATATCAGCGCAATTTCATGCATTTCCCTTAACTTCAACCCAGGCTAAACAGGCATCTTGCACCAAGAACCGGACTTGAGAAAGGATTCCGTAAGTATTGGCTATATACAGGCTGATCTTTAAAAAGCATTTTCGAAGTTAAGTCATACATTGTGTAATTAACACTGGACAAATTCTTTATACGTTACCAAACAGGAATTGATTCAGAATTAATTTCGTCCTCTGCTGTTCACCAGGAAACTACAAATATCCGATAACTCGAAATAACTAAATTACAGCAGGAGCCCATTACATAATGGGCTCCTGATTAAAGTAAAAGTCATGATGAAAAATTTAAAGTGAGAAAAAAAAATCCTAATTGACTTCTTCGATTATACACTCCAAATCCGTGATAAAACTGAGCTCTTTTAAGTTATTTCTAACCTCACTGACGAAAGACTCGGATGATCACTCGGCCTACAGATTAACGTCCGTATCATAAATTTTAAAAATATGACACCGAGAAGCTAATAATCTTGTTGAAAACCACCGAAGGATAATACACAAGAGGATTCTGGTTCAGTAAAATGGCTGTGGCACTGATGTCGTTGAGGCCAGTTTAAACTCTAGAATTACAATGTTCCACAATGATCCACTTTTTTTAGGTTTAACATGTCTTCTCTTCCATTTCGTGACCTGGCGGCAAGAAATTGAGCGGAAATGGTCTTAAATAGCCTTTCCTGTCGGCAGACCAAAGATTTAGAAATAAAAAATCCAGCAGCTCCATATATAATTATAATAGCGTTTATATTTGTTTGCAGTCGTACACTTTTCACCAAAACTTGTCCTGCGAGAGTATCTCGGTCTTCCTTTAAGTCCAGATATTTGTAGAATCCGTCGATTATTTGCATGAAAAATTTGACACATGAAATGGAATGTACATGATTAATACTGTAGCTTTAAATGGACAGTTGACTCGGTGTTCTTTATTTGGAAACTAGTTATGATTTTCTGGCTTTTGAGTGAATTAAACAAAAGATCACAAGACACTTTTTAGAGTGTGTGACTTTTTGCTTGCTTGTTCTTAAGGCAATTCGTGCTCTCACTTATGTCGCACAATCAAGAAAAGATTTATTCAACTGGATAAGGACACGAGGTCAAGGCAGGCACCTACGGTTATCGTGATAAGGAAAAGAATCTTAAGTTTTATTTCGTTAAATGGCGCAATCATCGAGCCTGAAAAAATTAATTTTTCGGCCAGCTTATTACTTTCGAAAAAAGACCCTTTATTTTGGTAAACATTAGGGTATGTGCCCTAGTTTGTTTTCGTAATCGTGGTTTTACAAACGTTTAATTCCTTTCATCGGAAATTCCGTCTGTTTATTTTGTAACTCGATAATGGGTACTTTTCGAATTTGACGATGCCTTAATTTGAGTGGACTCTTGAAAGAGGCCTTTGACGGTTTTATTTGACATACTGCAGCTTTAGGAAATACGTTTTTGCAGGGAAAGGAAGTTAGAAATTTTGAATCAAAGTCTTAATTTCCTGTATGGCGACTCACGTTGGCAAAGCAGTTTAGTGGTCGGACCAAATTTATGTTCTGACATCTCGAAGATGATAGGCATTCCTCTAAAAGTCTACTCAAGTTTGCCAGTCTTGGCAGTTCTTGTTAACAGATACATGCATTAATAAGGCAAATGGAACACGACAAGTTTTATCTGAGGACATTTTTGACAGATCAGAGCAAGAATTTTCGGATCGGGTTAAGGTCTTCTACCTGCAGTAAGCGTTTAAGGTAAGATGTATTTTCTATTTTTTTTTATCACTTACGTCAGGTTACGCATCACAGAGGGATACTGAACTTTAGCAGAGCGCTTATTTAAACGGTACAAGGTTTTTTTTGAAGATCTTAAATTACCTGCAACGTAACAGTTTCAATCCGCCGATTCCTCTCCTTACTTCTACAGAAGTCCCTTCCATTCCGAATCTTCTATGACAGAATATAATAATTCTTTTAAAAACGAGAATGTTTGAGAGTGCGATCCGATACACATGACCATTTGTGCAGCTGGCTGCTTCCTGCTGAAGCGATATTCCTGAGTAGATTACAGAGGAGCTGTATGAGGGGTCCTTCACTCACCCCCTCAAGTTTCCTTGTACTCTCTCCCCAATCTTCGCACGAGACCTACCGCTAGCACGTCACAACTGAGACACCTGTCTTAGAAACACACCTGTCTTAACCGATTATTAACCTGTACTGACAGAGTCCCCATTGCGTCGTTTGAATTCTATAATTTTACGTAATCCTTCAAGTTTAATTCCCTCGATTATCAAAATTTCGAGCATACTTATGTTTGATCCCTGTGTGTGGTTCTCCAATAATTTACAATTGTACCAATGCTGTAGTTCAGGAGGTCAGTCGATGTCTGATGTAAAGGAAACTCACACTGCGTGGAAATCAGTTAGTTCAGTTGTGTCTCTGATGTATCTCTTGGAGGTCTCACAGTAAACAGACTTTTTGCCAAACTCGCTGAACAAGAGCACAATTCTGGCGCTATCCAACGATGAAGGTGGAAAACGAGTGCGGCAAAATCAACACATTTCCCTTAAGGTAAACGACGCCCAGTTTGCAACATAACGGCTGTTTCAGAGGCTTTTAGTAAGTTTTACCTGGCATTGAAGTAATGGATCAATTTGGTCATAACATAGTATTTTGTGATCGGTGGACTTGCGGCATCTTAATGTGATTGCCACAGAGGAAATTGCTTTTCTTTGACAAATTTAACACATGTATGAGCCTTTGGCGAAAAACACGATTAGCTTCAATCTGTCTCCATAAAACTTGATCTTGTGTTAATATATTTCAAACCGCAATGCAAGCGGTTAGAATTTTTCTGATTATAGGCAACAGATGAATCAAACAATATAAGTAAGAGATACTTTCATAAAAACTAAGTGTAATACAGCGACGTGTCAAGTCATAAATTTTCCTTCAAATGAGGAACTGAATATTTCCCGCTCATTCGGAAACAATGTGAAACGGATGTTGTAATTTGGAACAAGAATCCAACGAATACTTGCCTTGCTACTCTGCTCAAATACATCCCGAGATATTATCTTTAATCACGCATTTTAAGGTCAAAAGACAAGACGTACTTCTAAAAATCAGTTATTCCTAATGTAGAGATAAATCGATAGTTTACCTGATTAACAGCGCTCTGTTCTTCATGCCATAAAATCTTCTTCGATGGAAAAGATAACTTCACCATCATTTTGTAACAGTTTGAGTCTCCGCCATTCAAAATGAATACGCGCTATCTGAGATCTCCTTCGGTGTAATAGACGACATTGATTTAATTAACAGAGCACTACATACAAAAGAAGTTAACTAGGGTAAGCTTAATTAGTAAGCCATGTCACTTTTATTGCCGAGGGGAATCGCAAAAATACCCGAAACACAACGATAAATTCTCACGCGACATCAAAGAGAAGATCACGCTATCATCCAAGATTGATTTAAAAAGTTAACAACTGTGCTATAAGAGGAAGAAGATTCCTTTTTCTCGTGACTACAACTTGAATATAATTAATTTAGTGAATCAAATATGTTTTCACTCATAGAGCGATTAAGTAACTAAAGCTTTATTATCGTACAACCCGGACGCAATCTGATAACAACTTGGATCAAGTGATTTATGCGTTTTGATTTAAGTCTCGCCAAAAACAATCAATTAGACTGACCAAAATCAGATTACGGGCAACATACCGCAAGATTTTGGCTTGTTTTGAGAATCTCAGGTCTAAATTAGCCACCACACTGATCAAAATTAAACACTCAGTTGGACATTTTGTTCCCTAGACAGATTTTTTGCGCTACTCTTCTGGGAGATTTGCGGATCTTCTTACCCCATTGTCAGCAGGATTCTGACATCTCACACGACGTCCTAAGACAAGAAAACTCAGTCGAGTTTAAACTTACAATCTTGAATGTTCATTGTTGAGTCTTTTTAAAAGGTCCAGATTGAAAAAATATGATCTGATCGAAGCTAGAATTCTCCAACTGTCTCCACCAACAATACTCTTAATACTAATTGAATAATATTTGTGACAGTTTTATGAAATCCAACAGTATAACCAATTAGGTCATTGCAGTTGTCAGACAATCAATCTACTTTCAACACTTCTCTTCCCGAAACGCCAACAACCCCTAGGAATTAGGGTCATTTTTTATGTCTTTGACAGTTGAGGGCTTCTTGTGAAGCATTTAGTTTCAAAGGAATCCTGGAGTGTTTTTTCAATATCAACGAATACGGCGTGGAAACTCAGAGACATGTAGTTTACCAAGGTTAGTGGCATGATGTAAGTACAAAAATTGTAACATTGTGTTGAAAATGAAGAAGAATACATAGAAATCTTTTGAATGCTGTGCCTATTCATTAAGAAAGCAATGCTCGTAAAATGTAAGCGTGCAAAGTTTAAACGGAACTGCCTTTCATTGAATGATGAAGAACAGTTCTGTTCCAACTCATTGCGCGATTTTAAGATCAGCGGATCTCTTTGCAGTACATTGAAATTTTGATGAATAAGCTTTAATTGGCTTGGATCATCAGGAACGATCTGTTTTAATGTTGTGCAAGCAGTAATGACGTT